TCCTGTTGCCCTGTCCCAGCTCCTGCCAACCTAGCAGTTCGAAAGCATGCCAATGCAAGTAGATAAATAGGTACTGCTCCAGCGGGAAGGTAAACGGCGTTTCCGTGCGCTCTGGTTTCCATCATGGTGTCCCATTGTGCCGGAAGTGGTTTAGTCCTGCTGGCCACATTACCCAGAAAGCTGTCTGCGGACAAACGCTGGATCCCTCGACCTGAAAGCGAGATGAGCGCTGTAACCCCATAATCACCTTTGACTGGACTTAACCATCCAGGGGTCCTTTACCTTTTTTTTTTTTTACCTTATCACCTTGTAGTGACAAGAGCTTTTTTCATTGATGTTTGTCTGCTGAAATACAAGAGCCCCCATCTGGATAGAACTGCAAGTTTTGAAGGTGCACCCGTTTACACAAGCATTTGCTCAGTCTCCTGCCCCACCTTTCCTGCTTTAATTGCTATGTTCTTTTTAATGGGAATGTTTTATTGCATATTTTAATCACAGAAGTTTACATTTTGTTTGTTTAATCATGTATTATAATTATGGTGTGTTTTGTTGTTATTCTGTATTTTAACAATGTTGTGCCATTGGTTTTATGTTTTTGTAAACTGCTTAGGAGCCATCTGGGCATTAGTGGTATATACATTAATCAGTTAGTTAAAGGTAAAGGTAAAGGGACCCCTGACCATTTGGTCCAGTAGCAGATGATTCTGGGGTTGTGGCGCTCATCTCGCTTTACTGGCCGAGGGAGCCGGTGTACAGCTTCCGGGTCATGTGGCCAGCATTACTAAGCCGCTTCCGGCGAAACCAGAGCACCGCACGGAAACGCTGTTTACCTTCCCGCCGGAGTGGTACTTATTTATCTACTTGCACTTTGACGTGCTTTCAAACTGCTAGGTTGGCAGGAGCAGGGACTGAGCAATGGGAGCTCACCCCGTCACAGGGATTCGAACTGCCGACCTTCTGATCGGCAAGCCCTAGGTCCAGTGGTTTAGACCACTGCGCCACCCACGTCCCAATTAGTTAGTTAAAATACTATATGTATAGATTTGTACTTTTGATAGGAAGTTTGCCACAAAGCAATGATACTTATTTGATGTGATCCAAATATGCCTGATTGAGAATTCTTAACATAGCATAAATATTATATGTGCATGTATGTAATTTGCCTGGATTGCTTCCTAATGCATATATGAACCGTCCATTCGGAAATGCTGTATCTAAAAAAAGAAGGGGGAAAAGAGTGCACCAGGAGATATATTGCAGTATTCTGTAAGCCTTGCTTTGATCTACAGCTATTTTGTCTACCTGACTTGATTAAGAGGTCAGCAAACACTACTTTCTAGCAGGCAGGGCACTGGATGCAAATCTTCTGAAGACACTCTAATCAATGCTTCTTGAAGGCTGCAGCCAAGGAGTTGACTGATCAATTGAAACTAAGAGTATATACAGGGAAATTCCTGCATTCCCCCATCCAGGTCTGTGTGAGGAGAATCCTGCGGCATGTTAGCCAACATATTTTTGCAGTGGCGAACAGCATAAAATCAACAATAATATCACATCCGTTACACATCACAAATCAGTAGATTGGCTTAATATGTCAACATAGCAGAATTGCCCCTCAGCGAAATTGGGAACACTGGGGTCTAGTGGCTATTCAAGAGTGGTTGGTTTTTTTCCCTGCAGGCAGGCCAGCACCAGTGGGAGAATCTGGTCCACCCATAAGGCAAAGTGAGGCAACCACCTCAGGTGGCGGGATCCACAGGAACGACACAGGAGCTCCTTCCCTGACTAAACTGCTTCTGGCGCAACAGAACACCATGACAGAAACCAGAGCGCATGGAAATGCTGTTTACCTTCCCGCCGCAGTGGTACCTATTTATCTACTTGCACTGGTGTGCTTTTGAACTGCTGTTGGCAGAAGCTGGCACAGACCAACAGGAGCTCACTCGGTCATGTGGATTCAAACCGCCGACCTTCCAATTGCCAAGCCCAAGAGGATCAGTGGTTTAGACCACACCATAGTTCCACCCACTACCCTTGTGCATATATGTAAATTACCTGAATGGTGGGATTTTGTATAATTATTCAGGATTTGTAGACACTTGGATTAATGGTGTGGAATTCAACGGAACATCACATTTTGCATGTGTTTTGACAACAACTGGTTACAAAAAATAAGTATGTGCATGACATGCCACATACTTCCCGCCCCTTTATGATATACAGTATAAAGAAAAGCAAGTTGAATTGCTTTCTTTAAGTGCTTTTCCTTATGCATTAAAGGCAGTTCTGCATATAGCCAAATCTTTCAGTGCTGCAACACACAAATAATAGTGGTGTTTTGACCACAGGAGCAATGCAAATCTGCAACTTGATTGTCCCCTAGTGGCTAGTTCTTAAAATATGTTTAAAATACATTCCCTCAAAGCTTAGAATCTTTTCCACATAAGAAAATGGACTGACACAGCATCTAATGCACGATCATCTTCTTTTCTTGCTTTGCTTTCATTCTGAATTTCAGAAGCATCTTCCCAGAGTGTTAATATATTACAGTTGGAGCAGGAGACACACACACAACACAGAATACCTGAAATTGGATTTGACATGCCTTATTTGACATGCATAAGGTAAAGGTAAAGGTACCCCTGCCCGTACGGGCCAGTCGTGTCCGACTCTAGGGTTGCGTGCTCATCTCGCTCTAGAGGCCGTGAGCCGGCGCCGTCTGAAGACACTTCCGGGTCACGTGGCCAGCGTGACGAAGCTGCAGCTGGCGAGCCAGCACCAGCGCAGCACACGGAAACGCCGTTTACCTTCCCGCTGGAGTGGTACCTATTTATCTACTTGCACTTTGACGTGCTTTCGAACTGCTAGGTGGGCAGGAGCTGGGACCGAACGACAGGAGCTCACCCCGCCACGGGGATTCGAACCGCCGACCATACGATTGGCAAGTCCTAGGCACTGAGGTTTTACCCACAGCGCCACCCGCGCCACCCTTGACATGCATAGGATTGCACTATAAGCATGCCTATGATTTGTGCAGCACTTAAATGTTACTAAACTGGTAGCTGGGTATCTCTCCTGCATTAGTCTGTTTGGAATGAGGGTGTCAACAACACTATCACATGTAATAAACAGTCACATATTCCTGGCACAGGGCATGTCATTTTAGGAGGTGAAACTAATTACTTCACTAAGGAGTCTTAAAAATATTATTTTTGTGACTGGACAACTTTTAGCTTGGTAAGTCTACATCTGATGAAGAAGCACATAAACTGCTTTTGGTAAATGAAACTATTTTAAATTTATCTTCTGAAAATGTCGGGTAATGCTAAATAATAACAATAAATAAAAATATTCATTTGTAATGGCCCATCTAGTCCAGCATTCTGTTCTCACAGTGGCTGAACAGTTGACAAGGCATGATTCCATCAGCTGGCATTTGGAAACATCACTGCCTCAAAAACTGTGCAGGCAGAGCAAAGCCATTGTGGCTCATAGCCATTCATAGAATCTTAAGAGTTGGAAGGGACCCTGAGGATCATCCGGTCCAACTCTCTGCAGTGGAGGACTACGCAGCTGCCCCTTGGTGTTATCAGCACCACTTTCTAACCTCCTGACCTGTATGCCTGAAATCACTTGTGGAATCCTTGACAAGTCTCTTCTCCTCCATGAATTTGCCCAGCCCTCTTTTAAAGCTGTCCAAGTTGGCGGCTCAATATTGCACTTCCTGTGGGAGGGAGTTCCATAGATTATAACTATATAGTTCCCTCATGGCGAGAAGTGAGGTTACAGGGAACCCGGCAGAGGGCCTTCTTGGTAGTGGCACCTGCCCTGTGGAATGCCCTCCCACCAGATGTGAAGGAAATAAGCAGCTATTTAGGGAAGTTTTTAATATTTAATGCTGTATTGTTTTTAACACTCAATTGGGAGCTGCCCAGAGTGGCTGGGGAAACTCAGCCAGATGGGTGGGGTATAAATAATAAATTATTATTAATTTTATTATTGATTTTATTTATTTATTTATATTATTATTATTATTATTATTATTCTGTTGTGAAGAAGTGCTTTTTCTGTCCTAATTCTTCCAACGTTCAGCTTCATCGGGTGCCCACGAATTCTGGTGTTGTGAGAAGGGAGAAAAACTCCTCTCTTCCCGCTCTTTCTCCATGGCTGTGTACTTTTTAGAATCAATGACTTTGGAGGGGACCCTGAGGGTCATCTAGTCCAACCCCCTGCAGTGCAGGAAACTCGAGGAAAAGATCCACTCGCTCAACTTCTGCTGAAAAGCCTCCAAGGTTTCTACAAACTCCTGCCCTGCAGCCTCTTCTACTGGCCTTTCCTCTAAACCAGGCTTCCTCAACCTTGGCCGTCCAGATGCTTTGAGACTACAATTCCCATCATCCCTGACTGCTGGTCCTGCTAGCTAGGGATCATGGGAGTTGTAGGCCAAAACATCTGGAGGGCCGAGGTTGAGGAAGCCTGCGGGTCTAAACCAGTCTTTCTCAGCCGGGAGGGAGCAGCCGCCAGGTATCTGCTGGACTACAACTCCCATCATCCTCGACAGCTGAACCTGCTAGCAAGGCATGATGGGAGTTGTAGTCCAACATAACCTGAGCATTCCGCCCCCTCCCACCAGAGTTGAAACAAAAAGGCTGCGTGTAACTCGTGTAACTGAAAAGCCCACAACCGCAGCAACCGTGTAACTGAAAAGCCCACAACCTCATGGCGAAGGGCTGGCGCCGTTTCGACCCTGGAAGACATTTATACAGGCAGCGTCAGTCACCGTGGCGCGAAAGGGCCAACGGACAACCTGAGGTACCGTTAGCGCTGACGTCATTTATTTGCCCCGCCCCTTTCCCCCCTCCCCCAGTCACAACCCGGGAGTCTTAACCGCGCCCCTCCTCCGTTCCTTTCTCCGCCGCGCTCCTCTTCCGCCGGGATCTCGCGAGATTTGAAGCGGAGAGAGCGCGCGCGAGCTCCGCCTTCCCAACCCCGCGCTCCCTCAGTGGACGCGCGATAAAAGGTTTTGAAGTCTTAAGCTTGCGGTTGGCTCTGGCGGCGGCGTCCTTCACGCCGGGATCTCGCGAGAATAGGGTGGGGAAAGAGAGCGCGCGAAAGAGAGCGCGCTCGAGCTCGGCCCCGCCCCTTGCCACTGTGGGCGTGTCCAAATTTTGAAGGCGACGGCGGGAAGAGGGAGGCGCGCGGCAGTTGGAGCGTCGTAGCGGCCGGGTCGGCTTCTGGTGACCTGCGCTGAGTAGTTCAGGTGACACGGGTCTTTTGAGGGCATGTGAGGAGAGGGCTGGCTTGGGAGGGCGGCGCCGCCCCCCGCCTCCACTTTCCCTCTGGGTGGGGTTTTTATTGGGATTATTGTTATTATTATTATGTCTATACTGCTTTATCTTTTGCAAATCGCTTTGAGGTTTTTCCACGACCGAGCGACGTATGAAGCTTTACGGAATGAAAGGAATTAAATACACACGTTCATCAGTTTCCTGCGATAGAGAACGGGGTGCCAAGTCTATTATTACCTACAGGAGAGGGATGAGATTGTAAGCCGCCTTGGGCGAGACAAGGCGGCCTGCAAAGTCAATACACAAGAATACAGGCACCCGTAAATGAATTTATGACCCATAAATGAATATATCGCGACACGGGTTTGGGATGAAGCTGCTTTTTAAGCGGTTTCTTCTCCCGCAAGTTCTTACAGGAATCGGGCAGAGGAGAGGGGGGAAAGCGAATGGCAAACGCGGCCAAGGACCCGTTGAAATGCTGTCGCTTTGAAATACAGTCATACCTCATGTTATGTTTGCTTCATGATACGTTTTTTCAGGTTGCGACCCAGAAGTACCGGAAAGGGTTACTTCCGGGTTTCGCCGCATGCGCAGATGTGCAAAATGACATCATGCGCAGAAGCGGTGAATCGCAACCCACGCGTGTGCAGATGTGTCGCTGTGGGTTGCGTTCTATGCATGTTGCGAACGGGCCTCCGGAACGGATCCTGTTCGCAGCCAGAGGTACCACTGTCTATTCAATTTTAATAAACATAATGAGGTTACCAGACGTTAGGCTATCTTTATCCAGATAGGAATGCAGCTGGGCCATCAAGCAGTTTACAAAAATAAAAATAAAACAGAAAAATTCACAGCCATACTAAAACAGGTTAAAATTACAGTCATACCTCAGGTTGAAGTAGCTTTGGGATGAATACTTTCGGGTTGCGCTCCGCAGCGACCCGGAAGTAACGGGCTCCGTTTCACCGCTCGCGCATGCGCAGACGCTCAAAATGACATCACGCGCAGACGCCGAATTGACATGACGCGCGGACGCAGGTTGCGTTCACTTCTGGATGCGAACGGGGTTCCGGAATGGATCCCGTTTGCATTCAGGGTACCACTGTACCTCAATAAAATAGTCAAAAATCAACATGAATATTTATTGCAATAGATATGCTGACTCCTGTATTCAGCCACAAATCCACGGACACATCATGAACCACTGGAATGATGTTTGTGGACCATTGTTGGTCCATGAACCACAGTTTGGGAACCCCTGTTCTAGGTTCAATCCCTGGCATCTCACACTCCCAGATATCGAAGAGAAAGCTTCCTATCTAAAACCTGAACAGGTGTGGCACATCAGAGAAGTCATTGGTTTAGAATGACAAGTAGTCTGAAATGATAGAAACTGACAGTTTGCTCTTTATGTTCTTTAGATTAGGCATCAGTATGTGTAGTATTAGTGGCTCTTGTAAGTGGCTCTACTATCTTCTGAGGCAAAAGCACATAACCTTTCTGCTCCCCTTTGAGGGCATTTTTCCAAGGGCTGCATACTGACCGTGGGTGGCACAGAAGCCACTGTTTGGCATGGTACCTCCTTTACTCTCAGCCTCCATTACCCCATACTGCCAGGTATGGGAAGTCCAGTAATTTTTACCTGAGGCCTGAACTGATCACTTGCATAGGGCTTCTCAAAATGGGCTGCATATTTCTCACTTGTGTGCCCTAAAGAAATGAGAGGGCATGTGCTAAAATAAAAAAGTGACATTGATTTTGAATATATTCCACCTGTGGAAACTGCAGGTGGTTTTTCTGAAGTTTTGTCGTTCTAATCTTGCTTGTTAACTACTATGGAAACCTTTGGTGGGAAGGCAGAATATAAGTGAAATATGAAATAATTTAGAACTAGCTTTCAAATAAAAGGGTTTGCAAAGTAATACAGGTAGAAGCTTGTGTTTAGGCAAGTTGAAAAAACTTGGAAAACTCTGGTAACTAGGCATAATGGTTGATCCATGGTGATGCGAACACCTAGTGAAGTGGGTTCCATGAATGTACAAGATTCAGTTAAGTTTTTAAAATGACCCATTTCTTTGCAGCTATGAAAGGGAAGAAGTTCAATATTAAGGAGACCTTTGAAAAAGCTCAAAAAGCTCACCAAAATCATGCAAAACTTGTGGCATCCTTGAAGCACATGTACAATGAGGTAAATATTATTAATTTCATGCTTTTTTACTTTAACCCCCAAGGGTGGCTAACACATTCATAAAATACATTGGTCTCACTGAAAACCTTACCCTTTACACATCAAAACCATGCAATGGTTGCTTCAAGAAAGATATTGGGTGGGAAGTAGAATATGTAACAGAATATGTAACAGGAAAGCTTGGGCAACTGAGCATATCTAACAGGCATGTGAAAGTACCTTCACTTGCCTGCCTTCCCTAAATAAATACAACTGCAGAATATCCATATGGATTTGCAAGTACAGTGGTACCTCGGGTTAAGTACTTAATTCATTCCGGAGGTCCGTACTTAACCTGAAGCACCACTTTAGCTAATGGGGCCTCCTGCTGCTGCTGCGCCGCTGGAGCACGATTTCTGTTCTCATCCTAAAGCAAAGTTCTTAACCTGAAGCACTATTTCTGGGTTAGTGGAGTCTGTAACCTGAAACGTATATAACCTGAAGCGTATGTAACCCGAGGTACCACTGTAGTGAACCATGTTCAGTTTACAACAGTATATTTTGTAGCAATAAACAGTGCTTCACTTCCATATAACAGTTCTCAAAGTGCTTCATGTTATGTTGGTACAGAACCCTTGTAGTATTATTGTATTGCCTAAGTGGAGGAGGAAAGCAAGGATTGAAAGCGGCGTACTTATGGTCACCTATTGAGTTCAGGAGAGATGACATTTGTCAATGAATCCAGGAAACTATTAACTATAGGAAACATTAAGTCATTCTTTTGCAGGGAATGATATTGTAATCAATTGCTATGTTCTTAATATGTTATATTTCCCCAGATTATTATAAGCTCCAGCCTTATTTCAGACATTGTGATATATTGAGATACCGCAATGTTTAGCTGGCGATATATATTGTGATACTGAAAACCAGGTATCGCCCATGCTGTCATAATATATGTTCTGTTGATACTGTTATGAGAAAAAACCCCTTTTCACTTATGGGGTACCCAAGAGCCCATATAGAGTCCTTTTGTAGGTTCTCTATTGGTAGGAGAAAATAACAGAGACCAACCAGAGAATATTGAGAAGTGAAGCAGCTAGTAAGTCTGATCTTTATTAAAGCTGTTGCAACAGGGTGCTCCCACACACACACAAGGGGGGAAGGGACCCAGAACAAATGTGTGCCCGCCCTTATATAGACTTTGAAATTGCCCACTCTCAAACTCCAGACCACCCCCAATACATCATACATACATCACAGGGGGAGGTCTAAAACAGAATCCTGTGTTGTTTATCTCCTGTCTGCCATTTACCTGATTGCATTATCTGGGTTTTGGCCACTCTGTTATTATAACTACTTAATTCCTGAATCCAGGTCACAGGCTCACCCTATTCAAACCTTAAATGTGCCCTTGGCAGGATTTGTGAGCACAGAGACAATGGGGAGATTTCCCATTTCCTTCAACCTTGCAGAGAAATATTTGAGGTCATTTTGGGAGAGAAAGTGGTTTCAGGACTTTTCTGTGGGTTTCACACATGTGGTTTACATGTGTTTGCTTGGTACATCAATGAATATTTTGTATGTATAAGACCTTAAAATTCTTATAACAATACTAAGTCTTCTCATGTCACAGTACAGTACAATGGAACCTTGGTTCTTGAACAGCTTAGTTGATGAACCAATCGGCTCCCGAACGTCAAAAACCTAGAAGTAAGTTTTCCGTTTTTCAGAAGCTGAACGTCCAATGTGGCTTCCACTTGAGCGCAGAAAGCTCCTTCAGCCAATCAGAAGCTACACCTTGGTTTTCAAGTGGTTTCAGGAGTCCAAAGGATTAAGTTTGAAAACCAAGGTTCCACTGTACTGTGACATGAGAAGACTGTAAGTATCAACAAAACATAGATTATGACCAGTATTTCAGATTTCAAGTCTTAATCTGGAATTTTCAAGCTCTGTCCAAAGAACCAGTTCTCAGTGGAAAGGATTTTAACATGTCATTGGATCTGCCCATTTTTAAAATAAAGGTCTGTTCCACCATTGATCAATTTTGATACTGAAATTGCATTACTTACTGTGTAACGTTGTTCTAGTTGCAGGACAAAATCTCTTTTCATGAGGAATTTGTTCATTACCTTAAATTTGCCCTGATTGTCTACAAAAGAGAACCTGCAGTAGAACAAGTGATAAATTTTGCGGCCAAGTTTATTGTTTCATTTCATGAGCCAGAAAAAGATGACACTGAAGAAGAGGAGCAAGTGGAAAATTCTCTTCTGAATTATTTGTTCAAGTTTCTGCTTGAGGTACCTTAGCAATAATGTAATGGTGAAAAAATAACATTGGATGCATAATGCTCCTCTTTATAGCATGATCTAATGGACACCGTATGAATCTGCATATAAATGGGGTGTATATTCCTATGCTATTTTCTTAATGGTGATGTAAAATCAGTCTTGTTATATTGGGTAGAAATCACATTGAATGCAAGGGCTGTGTTATCTTTCCTGCTCTTAAAGACATAAAGCAGGCATACTCGGCCCTCCAGATGTTTTGGGACTACAGCTCCCATCATCCCTAGTTAACAGGATCAGTGGTCAGGGATGACGGGAGTTGTAGTCTCAAAACATCTGGAGGGCTGCATTTTCCTATGCCTGACATAAAGCAATGATAAGTGGGCTTAGCTTTTGTCTGAACAATCTGTGCTGCTGACCAACATTCACCTAAGGCCAGAATTTCTGAAGTGCAATTATAGGGGTCTTGGATGCAGTTGCTGAGGCTCCAGTTTGCTCAATTGATTTCTATGGGATATGGCTGTGTTTTGGTTATAATTACAGTCTGCATTTATGTTCTAGAGTCTTGCATTCAGCCACAGCTGAAGACCAGCTTCATAATTGCTGTCTTAAGCACCAAGTTTATTTTGCACAGCCATTCAGGTTTAAACCTGGTGTCATTCATTCATGGGTTAAAGATCCTTTAAATGGAAAAATAAATAATTTAAGATTAAGACTGACTGCCAGGATTGTAAGAATAAATGAAGGGGGTGTTATACCAAAGAATACATTTGGTACTTAAATATTGTGTGAATTTATGAGATTTTTATATGTAAATACAGTGGTGCCTCGCAAGACGAAATTAATCCGTTCCGCGAGAGTCTTCGTCTAGCGGTTTTTTCGTCTTGCGAAGCAACCCTATTAGCGGCTTAACGGATTAGCGCTATTAGCGGTTTAGCGGCTATTAAAGTCTTAGCGGATTAGCTGCTAAAAGGCTATTAAAGGCTATTAAAGGCTTAGCGGATTAGATAAAGGGGGGGAAAAGCAAAAAAAAAATCTCAAGACTCGCAAGACATTTTCGTCTTGCAAAGCAAGCCCATAGGGAAATTCGTCCTGCGAAGCAACTCAAAAACAGAAAACCCTTTCGTCTAGCGGGTTTTCCGTCTTGCGAGGCATTCGTCTTGCGGGGCACCACTGTACTTGAAACTATTCATATTTTTTATACATAAGAACAATAATGCAGGAATACTAAAAATCAACTCCTTGCTTCTTTTTAAGTCTCACCAAGCAAACAGCAGTGCAGTACGATTTCGGGTGTGCCAAATTATTAATAAGCTTCTGATAAGCCTGCCGGAGAATGCTCAGATTGAAGATGAGCTATTTGATCAAATTACCAATGCCATGTTGCTCAGAGTGAAAGATAAAGTTCCAAATGTGAGAATTCAAGCTGTGCTGGCATTGTCTAGACTTCAAGATCCAAAGGACAGTGATTGTCCTGTGGTTAATGGTACGTTGTTACTGTATCAATGACATTTATTTTAATTTAAAGATGTATTTTTATCTTTTCAGTTCTTAAAAACTGGCTATAATAGTTAAGACATTAACATTAGTATTGAATTCTGCCTGGGAGACTTGAATGTAATTATTCAAGCAACTGTGAAGTAGTTGATACTTTATAATATTGGAAAATAGATATGTATGAATATAGGACATAGGGTACAAGAACAGTTTATGGTAATGGCCTAGTTGGGGAAAAGAAAAAGTTAGAAAACTGGCCTGGTTTGGAAGTACCGTACTTTTCCTGGCTTGTTATGGTATAGTCTTGCTTGCCTTCCCCCTTCATGAAACTGAAATCTACTGAATAAACATTTGTTTCGAAATCTAATTTTAAAAATCTGTTTTCCTTTATTTTTAAAAAAGTTTTGAACAATACATTTTTTGGGAAATAACCTGGTTTAAAATGATATCTGAACATAATGCAAACAATCTCTTAAAACTGAATTTATGACCCTCTTATAAAAGGTTGCTTTATTTGCAGTGATAACAATAGGGGGGGGGCGTTTCATCAGTCATCAAATAGTTCAGTTGTTTGTGTCAGTTTATTATGACTTGTTACTGGGTTCCAGGGACTGGAAAGTTAACATGGGTGTCATCCACAAAACGGTGACCTTGTACTCTTGTGCTATGCCTAAATCATTTGATATCTGCGGTCAATTCTTGAGTCGATACTCTAATCAATGGTTTATATCCAATGCTGTGGCAATGGGGTTCTCCTGGTATAGCAGGATTTCTGTTTACTTCCTGTCCCTCTACATGCCCACAAATCCTCCAGAATGGATTTCGAAGAAGCATGGGGAACTGGAGGGGAAGAGGAAGAGGGCATCAAGCCAAGACAGCTCTTCCTACTGTGGTTAGGTCACAGGCTACTACTTTCTGTATCATGTTTGCCTTGGTTTGTGTCAAGTTTGCTACACTAGTGTAACTTAATGTTTCCTGTAGCAAATATGTGAAGTGTGACTGACATGTGCTCTGCCTTTTAAGAATCAGGGGCATGTGCTAGGAAGCCCTTCGCTTGTTGTCAATTCCAGCCTATTTCCCTGGGTATTTACATCTGGTGTGGAAAAACATTGTCATATATTGGCCCATCAACTAAACGTCTGGCAAAAATGTAGAAGTTGTGCATCTAACATGAGCATCATAAAATCTTAATGCAAAGGGTATTGGCCACTTGTTATTCATGTACATTTTCTTTATGTACATTTTCCGGTCATTAACATACTCTGTGTAATACTGTTTTTTGTTTAGTTTACAGTAATTTAATTGAGAACGACTCCAATCCGGAAGTCAGGCGCACTGTGCTGTCATGTATTGGTCCATCAGCTGAAACCCTGCCAAAAATTATAGGTCGTACTATGGATGTAAAAGAGACGGTTAGGAAATTGGCATACCAGGTAAGTCAATATCTTACTACAATTACTTACATTGCTTCTTAGTAATATATGATGTAAACATTTGGAGAAATCAACTTTATTCTCTCTGGGGAGCAAAATTATGTTAGGGGTACAGGTGTAAATTTATGTATAGGTGTATTTGCAGTGTTTTTTAAACTCGTTATAAATATTGCTGGTTCTGATCATTGTGCCAAGGAAGTCAGTTCAAACTGCATCATAGCAGTTTTTCCAATTAATCTACTGTATTCTGGCTGCCATGTGTTTTTCATCAAGATGGTCCAGAAGCAATGAATGTACATGGCAATTAATAATGAGTATTATTATTATTATTATTATTATTATTATTATTATTATTGGAATGCTCTAAATCTGTCCTAGCCTGTTCAAAACATGAGCAGAATTGAACTGCAGAGGACAATTGGGATATGCCAGGCACAGTTTTTGGTCCATTTTAATACAGCTTTTTATTGAGAATTATATGGTTGAATTTTGTTTCAAGCTCTGGTTCAGTGTTTCAGTGTTTAGTGTAACTAATGTAAATGTTAGTAAAGTGCATTATATTAACTGTTAAATATTGTGGCTCAGCTCTTACAGCATTCAGCTTGCCATAAGAAGTAATGAGCTGCACAGTTGCATCAAATATTGGGTGCAGCCACTTCAGAGGTCTGGAGGAGCATGATGCAGATGTGCATTTGTATCCATATTAACCACTGAAGTATGCTTTTTATACATGGGTATTCACTGCTGGACTGGGATTTTTGTCAATAAAACATATCACCTGCTCTTGTGGCCATAACAGGTTCTATGTCAGTGCAGTGAATGTCTCTTTGAAAGTCTTAAGAGTTTAGTTCTGGGACAAAAGCATAGTGACTATTTGGAAGTTTTCATGGGTTTCCTTTTAGAAGGAAAACAATATATAAACAAAACAAATACAGTGGCTCTTAATTTTCAGCCTGCTTACTTGCGAATCAATCCATTACATTTTATGATGGAATTAAAATGCCAAATTATATCTCTCATTCCACCTGCCCTAGTTCATGTATTCTGAGCTTTTAAAGTGTGTTTTAGACACAGAATTTGAGATTAACTCACAAAACTCAAGTTTCCCTTCTTGCTGTTTTATTACTTATTATGGCAAAATTCCCAGTATGTATCTGTTGTGATAGGCACATAAAGTTGCTTGCACCAATTTGTCAAAAATCATTATTAGTAAAGCCCTAAAATCTGTGTCCTCTTTAAAAGGTTTTGGCAGAAAAAGTTCATATGAAAGCTTTGACAATAGCCCAACGAGTAAAGCTTGTTCAGCAAGGGCTTAATGATAGATCAGGTAAGACATTTTTTTATTTATTTTATAGTTGCCTATATTGTGTACTTGTTCAGTGTGCCAATTCCTTATTTTTTCATTGCTAGCGAAATGCCTGAGAGCCATCTTGCTAACAATGGTAAACAAAAGCTGCAGTCCTAGGCATTCTTGGGAGTAAGTCCCATTGCAAACTAGTGGGACATACTTTTGAATAAACAAGTTAAGGCTTATATTGTAACAGTGGGCAATCTGGTTCTTCTGCTCCTCATGTGTGACAACATATGTAGTTCTCATGTTGGTGACAGGCTCCATCTCTTCTGCCAGGCTTTAACAGACATACCTCTGCTTCCCACATTAGCTGAAAAGCCCTCTAAAAAGGTGAAGGAGGAGTTAGGCAGTAACAATGGATAGCCTTATGCAAGTATATGCATGTTGCTCTGTTGGAGAAATCTGTCTGACAGCTAGGATCTACAAACAAGCTTCACAGTGACGTGAAGAGACAGTATAAATATAATAGAAGAATATACTAAAATACATTGCATCTGAAGTATTCTTTCTGGGAAGCCCTCATTGTTTATAGTAGCACAGCTTTCATAAGGAAATCCTGATTTAGTGAGTCAACATAGACACACTAATGCAAAGTGCCTTCATTCCTCTCTTCCTGCAAGTAGGAAAAGTTGGGGTCTGAATCCTGGCTTGTTTGGAAGCCATTTACCATAACTCAGTTTGCATGTAACAGGAAGCTGTTGTTAACTGTAGCTTCCCAGCTTGAATCTTGACTCAAGTGAAGGGAGAAGCGAAACAGAAATGAAGGTGTGTACAAAATCTTGGCTTATCAAGTCAGGAGTTGATAATGTGAACACTGCCATATATAAGTAGCTTATATACTGTTGAATGTGATATGGCAGAGACAGTCAGCTTAATCACTAAATGTGTGTGTGTGTGTGTGTGTGTGTATCATAGTCATTATTCTGTAAAGGGTTTTTTACAAAATATTTATTCAGAGAAATTATATCTCAATTTAAATTTCCCTGCTTAATAGAATCTGTAAAAGAAGTGGTGCAGAAGAAACTTCTTCAGACCTGGCTACGGCTGGTTGAGGGAAATGTGCTAGAACTCCTTCATCGGCTGGATGTGGAAAGTTGTCCCGAAGTTGGTATTCCAGCACTTAATGCCATGTTTTCGCTGTCACCAGTCAATGACTTGATTAAAAACTTCTCAGACCTTGATGAAAGGTATGTACGTATGTGTTTGTTTGTTTTTTAAAAAAACTTTATACTTGAGAGTTGAACTTGGGAAAGTAAGTTAAAGGTTTCTGCCTCATTACTTGCCTAAACTTTATTCCAAGGACTAGTGAAATAGCCATGTTGGTTTCTGAACATTTCTATGACATATTACTTTCTGAAAATAGTAAATTGAACTCATATTTGCTAAAATACCTATAAATAGCTAAATATCTGTAAGTAGCAGCCAGAACTTCCCGTTTTTAGGCAAATCAAAAAAGCAGCTACTAAAAGGCATCCTATTAACTAGTGAGGAATACTTTTTGGAAAAGCCATCAATGTATTAGTGGGCAAAGTAGCACCACTAAAGAGGATGTTTGTAGTGTGCATGCTGAGTGTTTGCAGACAGTTTTCCTGCTCCCTCCAACAACCCCTAAAGGTTTAGTCAGAATTGGTTGTACGTATGAGAAGAGAAATGTCCATTAAAATAACAGATGAGAGGTGGTAGGGTATATGCACTCTACCCCCACCCCCCGGCAGTAATACTTCGGAAGATATTACCCCTCCCTCAACCTGGGCGCAGATGGCAGCCCATTTATTTTGTTCAGTAGAATGCAATGCAATTCCAAGAAACTGGGGTTAGTCTCTTAATAATGCTAAAGAGTGACACTAGGAACCAACTTTCATATACAGATATTGCATTAATTTAGGATAAAGATAGTGCTCTGCTTACTAGTATTCGCCTAGCAACTAACTATGGAATAACATTTTGCATGGAACATAATTACATTTTGCTTCAGTGAGGCATTCCTGCTGGTTACCATGAGATAATGATCCTTAAGTCATTTTTTAAATCAATGAAATTGTCTACAACATAATTCTTGTAACAGCTGCTCTGTCTTTTCAGCTTTTAATGTGTGCGGCTTAAAATGTGAATGCCAGCCTGTATATTTGTCAAATACTGTGATTGCCTTCTTAATTGACAAAGCAACCCCCCCCCCGTTGAAAATGTAACGTGTATATATTTGTTTTCAAGGAAAGTAATTCCAATAGAAAAACTAACCGCTGAGAATGCTTTGTATTGGAAGACCCTTTGTGAGTACTTGAAATCTGAAGGGGAAGAATTCTTAGAGAACATTCTGCCAGAACCTGCCATATATGCAGATTATTTGCAGAGGTAAAGTAAACAAGAAAGTTAAAGCATTAGTCAGTGCTTTTTTCCAGAAAAAGAGGTGCCTGTACTCACCATGAAGTTGTTACAGTAAGTGGTACACATTTTAACAACAAAAAGAGGGGCCGGTAGTTGCGTACCCTTAAGTGCCCCCTGAAAAAAAATCACTGGCATTAGTTTAATTTATACTGCTTTTGGTCCTCACAGTTATTCTTCTCTTCATCTCCAGTTACTGGATTTGGACTTACTTCTGTGTTGTTCACAAAACAATAATTAAACTGGTTTGCTGGAACATAAAGATTACTGTTACTAATTTATGTTCCCGACTCCTTGTAGAGTGTGCAGAAGTAGCTATGTAGGCTAAAATAGGTCTGTGTGAAAAAGAATCTTTTAGCACTGGAAAGTAGGACATGCTCTTGGGAGGCTCAACTAGACACCTTCTAACCGCCAGTTTTTCTTCATGTAAGGCCCAGCAAAGGAATAAAATAAAAGCTGCGATAAATGCATAGTATTGTGAAGATTGACGAGGCAGCATTGTTGTCTGTGGGTAGACTCAGTCAAATTATATTTGTAAGCCCTTTAACTGGTACAGTAACCTGAAATTCAAATAAATATCAAGATGTTGCTTGCATCATACTGAATAACTATTTTTAAAAATTAAGTTACCTTCAGAATATGCCAGTTCTCAGTCAAGAAGAGAAAGAAGATATGGCTTGTGTTGAGCAACTGATGACGAAAGAGTTTATAGGTCAGCAGCTGATCCTTATGATAGGCTGCATGGATACCGCCGAAGAAGGAGGAAGGTAAGACTTAGTTTAGCAACAAAGAGATTTTTGATGTATATGTTATTCTGTTGACTTCGAATTGACTCGGAAATGTTTCAGTAGCTCAGTCCATTTTATTCAGCATTCTAGTCACTTGGTTTCATGTCAAAGTTCCAACGTTAGTATTCATCAGTACAGCACCAAATGACTTGGTTTAATGGTCAAATTCACGTAAATAGCTTGTTTTGAACATTTTTCTTTCTCTTTCCATCCTCCAGCACACTGAAACCAGAATATGTTTCTTGTCCTGTGACTGCAATGAAACTGTAGTGCTTTATACAGGCTTGGATAGGATGGCACTTACTACTTTGCTGTCCAACCAGGTTTTCCCCATAGATCCTGTCAGGTTCCTCTGTAGTTCCAGGATGAAGAATTTGCTATGTTCCAAGACAATAATGCCTACTCACAACACAAAGAGCTCATAACCCACCTACTCTCAGCAGCCAGAAACACCATAGCCAGACACTGGAGGGACCTGCTAGGAGTAAACATAGACCAATGGTATCAAATAGTACGGGAAACTGCCTTACAGTGGTACCTCGGGATGCGAACAGGATCCGTTCCGGAGCCCCGTTCGCATCCAGAAGCAAACGTAACTAGCGACGTCACGTCTGTGCACACGCGTGTCGCTTTTCGCCGCTTCTGCGCATGCGCGTGACGTCATTTTGAGTGTCTGCGCATGCATGAGTGGCGAAACCTGGAAGTAACGTGCTCTGTTACTTCCGGGTTGCCACGGAGCACACCTCAAACGCGCTCAACATGAAGCATATTCAACCCGAGATATGACTGTACAGTGGTACCCCGCAAGACGAACGCCTCGCAAGACGGAAAACCCGCTAGACGAAAGGGTTTTCCGTTTTGGAGGCGCTCACAAAGCGAATTTCCTATGGGCTTGCTTCGCAAGACGACAGCCCATAGGAAATCTCAGGGACAGCGGGAAGCGCAGCGCGTCTTCCCCACTGTCCTCGGACCTCCTCCGAAGCCTGGCGGCGGGGCGGGGACACCTCCTCCCGCCGCCGCCGGGCTTCGGAAGGCTCCTCCGAGCCGGGCGGGGGAGGGAACACCTGCCGCCGCCGCCCGGCTCGGGACGGTGCTCCGAGCCGGGCGGGGGAGGGAACACCTCCGCCGCCGCCCGGCTCGGGACGGTGCTCCGAGCCGGGCGGGGAGGGAAGACCTCCCGCCGCCGCCCGGCCCGGAACGGTGCTCCGAGCTGGGCGGGGGGAGGGAAGACCTTCTGAAGGCGGGCGGGGGCGAAAGTCTTTGCTCCCCCTGCCTGCCTGTCCCGGAGGGCTTTTGAAGGCGGGGAGCAAGACTTCGCCCCCGCCCGCCTTCAGAAGAGGTCCAGGACCTCTTCTGAAGGCTGGCGGGGGCAAAGTCTTTGTCCCCCTGCCTGCCTTCCCAGGGGCTTTAAATTGCCCCGGACAGCGGAGAAGTCCTCCGCTGTCCCGGGTGATTTTAAATGCCGCCCGCCAGCATTTTAAGATCGCCCGGACAGCGGAGAAGTCCTCCGCTGTCCCGGGTTTTAAAATGCTGGGGGTGGGAAGAAAGCCCTTGCCCCCCCCCCAGCCTTCAGAAGAGGTCCGGGGACAGACTGTCCCCGGACCTGGTCTGAAGGCGGTTTCCCTAGGAACGCATTAATTGATTTTCAATGCATTCCTATGGGAAACCGTGCATCGCAAGACGAAAAACTCGCAAGACGAAGAGACTTGCGGAACGAATTAATTTCGTCTTGCGAGGCACCACTGTATTAGAAAAACTAACCAACAAACTGAAACTAACACGGGGACAGATAGAAGAAGACGCCTTCACCCCAGTTCGGTTCCCCTTTATCACATACACAGCCCAACAAGACAACAAGAAGAACCCACCAACAGCATTCAAATCAATATGGCTAACCTGATCCAACCACACACACGCACCACACTCACACATGAAAACAAAGTTCACCACAGCCAATCACAACCAACCAACCAAACCCTAGGCCAGGGGTTGACATTTTTTTTTCAGCAGGGGGCCAGTCCACTGTTCCTGAGATCTTGTGGGGGGCCAGACTATATTTTTTTGGGGGGGGGGGAAATGAATGAGGGACGATGAACGGTGTGTGAAAGGGCTCCGGAGAGGGCCTGCTTTAAATGGTGGCCGCTAGAGATGGGCACTGAGCCAATCGCGGATCCTGTGTCTTGCGAGCGGCAGGGGCTGGTGGTGGCGGGGGGACGATGAGTGGCATGCGAAAGGGCTCCGGAGAGGGGCTAGCAGCAACAAAGCCCAGCCCCCTTACTCCTCTAGGCAGGGCAGGGAGAAGCCAGGAGGAGGCACCACCGCAGTGTGTGTGTGTGTGTGTGTGTCTGTGGAAGAGGGGTGGAAATGGTGCAGCCTGAACAATCGCAATCAGATCTACGCGGCGATTCCCGGACCGTCCGCGGGCTGGATCCAGAAGGCAATTGGGCCGGATCCAGCCCCCAGACCTTAGTTTGCCAACCCATGCCCTAGGCCAACCCCAACCTCTCTCACCACCAAAGGAATACAAGCAAATAGTAAAGAGAACCCACACAAGTGACGCTGACACAAAACCCCACATATACAATAAGTAGAATTAAAACATTGCCACCTCACTCCACCCCACTCACCATTTCCCCCTCCCCCTCTTTTTCCCTTTTCTTCCTAATGTAACACTTAACGTCTCAACAGATGAAACTGATCTGTAGAAAGTGTACCTTGAAAAAAGAGACTTTTTTCAAGGGACATTGCACATACTTTTGTAAACCAAGAAATCTTTAATAAAAATATATTTTTAAAAAATTCTTTTTGCTATGTTGGTTGGTGTTCTAGATTTCCATCTCTGCCATACTTGACTCTGGTCATGTTTGAATGTTTTGTTTCCCATCAGAAATGTTAGTAAAAGTTGTGCTTTGCTTTCCACTGTGGAAGAGATTTTGAAGAGATTCCAGTTGTAATAATCAGGTTCTGCAAGTGTGATGGCTGGGAAGGGAGGCACTTAAACATTTACACGTATTGGAAACACCAACATAGCTTATTCAAAGAAACTGCCTCACTTCTGAAGTAGCAGTTAGTTGCTAGTTCTTGGATTTTAAACGAGAATAGATATTACTCATTGTTTAGGGATCATTTTATTATTATTTCATCAGTGTTATTATTATTCTTAAGGAAGAGACTGCTGACAGTGTTACAAAAAATCCTTATGATGCCCACTACTTCAGCATCCCTTGTATCATCACTTACAGAGAATCTACTCCGCATTCTCAAAGATGACGACAGAAGAATCCAGACTGTAAGTTCTAATTGCTCTTGTCAGTTTATATTACAGGAAAAAAGCCATTAAAAATGTGTGTGTGTGTGTATGTGTGAGAGAGAGAGAGAGAGAGAGAATCACTCCCTGCTACATCCCAAAAACTTTGAAAAAATCAGAGATTTCAGGGAACACTGAAAAAGCCTCATGAAAATTTTCTCGTCTAGAATGAGTGTAATGCCTTCAAATATATTTTTATCTCAGACATTCTGCAATATTAGAGAATAATTCTGACGCATGCAACACTCAGATCCATTTTTTCATCCAATCGCTTCCTATGAGATATCTCAAAGCGATTTGACAAAAGCATCTATAAAACAATTTTGCAATGAAAACTATTTCAAATCCAGTACAGGTATAGACTGGAAAAATACATTCTAAAGGCTTTTTATGACCTTTGTTTTAGTTTGGAGATACTAGAAGTATCGTGTTTGTGCTTTCTTTCTACTTTCCTCTTGGTCAGCCTTTTCACAGACTGGGAAACAAATAGCATCTTGCCCTGCCTTGCTGTAGGATAAAAAGGTTAAAAGGAGTTGGGACAGAAACTTCAAAAGACCTTTTGTGGCTGCCAAAACTTCAGAGGAAAAATCTGAAAGGTTTTGTGAGAACTGAGTTTTAAGCAAGATGCACAGATGGAAGTCGGCTGCAACTCGTATTCACAATTTTGCTTGTACAAATTGTACAGATTTAATAAACATGCTAAGTAGGCTATAAAATTGTACTAAGTTAGGGGTTACCGAACTTTTTGGACCAATTGCCACATTTGTAAATAGAAACTTGTAGATACACCTTCCCCTGCCACTGCAATCAAGTATATACCACAATATTACGGTGCTTTTTTCAAATCTATTTCCAATGGGATTTGGTGCAGAGTAGAGAATCCTGTAGGTGTCAGGGATGGCCTTTCGGTGACCGATGAACTAAGATAAATAAATTTTGCACTTTATGTTGTTAAAGCAGAAAGATAAATTCTGGTTTGATAAAATTTTGGTTTGATAAGTATTTCACACATATATATTTCTTTAAAAAAAAATCCCCAAAGCTTCATAAATTTGGACATTTCCAACACACCAGATGAAGTGCTTTTGCACTCAGCACCTCCTTGCCTCCCACATTCCATGCCGGAGTGAGAGCCAGGTACCATGACGAACTGCAAGTGAAGCCCATTTCCCACCCCCACCCCCCGGGGGAATTTGCTGACAATCCCCAGCCAGTGTGGTGTAGTGGTTAAGAGTGGTTGACTCGTAATCTGGTGAACCAGGTTTGATTCCCCGCTCTTCCACATGCAGCTGCTGGGTGACCTTGGGCTAGTCACACTTCTCTGACGTTTCTCAGCCTCACTCACCTCACAGAGTGTTTGTTGTGGGGGAGGAGGGGAAAGGAGATTGTTAGCCGCTTTGAGACTCCATAGGGTAGTGATAAAGCGGGATATGAAATCCAAACTCCTCCTCCTGCTGTCATGGGGGCTGCCTCTATTAAGGCAGGTGGGACTGGAAGCCCTCATTAAGTATTTTTTTCCACACATTACAAAGAAACCTAATATAATTGCACTTGATAGCTCAGTATAGGAGCAGATAATTTTTTGTTTGTTTGTTTGTTTCAAATGCAGTACTGTATCCTTGCTTGCAGGAAGATGGTGTTTTTATTTATTAAAGCAATTTGATCAGGCACTTGGCCTTTATGCAGAAAGTAATACAGCGGTTCATCCTAATCATGATATCAAAAAGGCTTCTATATCCTTAGTGTTTATCTAGCGGCATGTGAACTTTTTGGGGGGTGGTGATGTTAAGGATATATTTAAGATGAAAAACGGGCTTTAGGGGAAAATAAATGGTCCCTAAAATCTGACATGTTTTTGTTTACTTGGTTATGTGGTGGCATTACCATTGCTAGAAAGAAGACAGGTTTGGGAGTGAAGTTATGCTAAGCAGCAGCATTTAGGAATGTTAAGAATCCTCCATCCGAAGCTTTACTTCACTGTTAAGTTTGGAGGGTTAGGGGCTTAATGAATGGATGGTCCAGCACTTAAACTATTTTGCATCCTTCCAAAAGTAACTGAAAAGGCGGGATGATTTTTTTTGGGGGGGGGGATAGAAAATACTTGCAAACTTCTTCAAAATTTGAGCTGAGTACTAACTTTCTTTGCATCACCAGGTCGCTGAAATCATAACGGAGGTTCGTGATGAAATTATTACAGTAGACAAGCCCCCAGATGCAACTGAAATAAGAAAGCAACAGCTTAAAGTAAGTGGTGATTGCAGTACATTTTTGTTTTAAAGATTTGTCGTTTAATGTAACTGTAGCACCGCTTGAATATTTTAACAGCCCTCCCCAGCTTTACCATCGTCTACTAATACAAACAGAATTACTAGGAAAGGAGAGGAGTCAAGCCGTCAACAGCTTTGAGCTATTGCAAGACAGTTGCAAGTTGTTGCAAGACAGTCCAAATTGCAGTAGAGCTACTAATGCAGTATTGTCGGTGCTGTGTGACATAGAATCATATAATTGCAGAGTTGGAAGAGACCACGAGGGTCACCTAATCCTGTCCCTGCAATGCAGGAATCTTTTGTCCAATGTGGGGCTCGAATTAATAACCCTGAGGTTAAGTGTCATGTTCCTGTAGTGAGGAGAACATCATTCATAGACTGAAAGTAAGGCTTATGCATTTATCAGCCAGGAAAGACAAAAATGATGCACTGTTAACATCCAGGCAAGAACTCTCCCACAGTTATAGCATAACTCATTAAGTTCTAATATCTTTAATCATAAAGACTCACGACTGGAATGTAGGAATTGAGGGGTATAATCTGTTCCAGAGGAAGGGAGCAGCATTATATGTAAAGGATGTATACACTTGTGAAGAAATCTATGACCTGGAGCATGAAAAGCAAATTGAGAGTATATGGGTAAAAATTGTAGGAGAAACAACAGTGACCTTACTGTGGGTGTCTTCTATAGACCACCAAGCCAGATTGAAGACTTGGATGGTGCTTTACTAGAGCAGATTACCAAACATTCAAAGAGAAGAAATATAGTAATCATGGGAGATTCCCCGATATCTGTTGGGACTAAAACTCTGCTAAGAATGTAAGGTCTGACAAATTCCTCCAATATCCTGCCAACAATTTCATTTCCCAGAAGGTGGAAAAACCAACAAGGGATCATCTATATTGGACCTGGTCCTCACCAATAGGGAGGGACTGATCGACGAAGTGGAAGTACTTGGAAACTTGGGAGGGAAGTGATCATGTTCTTCTGGGTTTCAGGATACAGAGGCAAGGGAAAACTGAGCATAGTCAGACACACACTCTGGACTTTAAGAAGGCCAATTTCAACAAGAAAAATGAATGCCCTTCTAAAGATGTTTTTATTCCAGACAGCACCAATAGCCAACGAAGCACAATGCTTTAAAAGGAATGGCAAAAAGATATAACTAGGTTCATATGGCAGGCTAAAAATTCCAGAATAAAATATAAGATTATGATTTATACTAAAGAAAGAGGTGGTTTCAGACTTAAAATTATACTTTGAGGCTTGTGTTGACTAAAGGAATGGATATTACTAAAGAATACTCAACTACAGTGGTACCTCGAGTTACAAACCCCTCAGGTTACAAACATTTCAGGTTACAAACTCCGCTAACCTGAAAGAGTTACCTCGAGTTGAGAACTTTGCCCCAGGGTGAGAACGGAAATCATGTGCCGGTGGCGCAGCGGCAGCAAGAGGCCCCATTAGTGAAAGCACGCCCCTAGCTAAGAACAGTTTCAGGTTAAGAACGGACCTCCAGAACGAATTAAGTTCGTAACGAGAGGTACTACCGTATTAGATCTGGAAGGGCACGGCATCAAATTCGTTTGGAATGTGTGCCTGTGGTATGATAAAGTTAAAATACACAAGGGTTTCTCGAACCACGTGATCAGAAAAGAATTATACAGGGGGAAACACATCAAAAATTGTTAGAAAGAAAAGCACTGTTGTGGCTGTCACCGGTAGAAGAGTTAACAAGGAGCACTTGCAGAGGGATATTAGACTTCTTGGGGGTGGGGTGGGGGGAAACGTAAGAAAAGAATGGAAGAGAAAAAAACTTGGTGATGGACTGGTTACAATACCATCAGCTAAATGCATTATTTAAGATGGACAAAAAAATAAGGACTTGAGGGTCAAAGTTCCCAGTTTGAAAGAGAGCTTTTAGGGGCAAGAGAAGAAACACTATGTAAGATGTATAATGTGTTGCTAGACTGGGAAACGAAGGAAATCATCTATGATTAACTGGGCTAGAGATATAGGGCACAATATTGACAGTATTAGGGGAAAGACTTCGGAAAACAGATTTGAAATTCATTGCATGCTACACATTGAAGGAAAATTACATGAAGATGATTCCCAGATGGTAACACCAAGCAGATTAAAGTTGTTCAAATCAGAATGAGGGAGATGCTGGAAGTGTAAGGAGACAGAAGGCGCATTCTACCATACATGGTGGACATGTGGTGTAGTTAAGGAATATTGGGTAACTTTTTCTACGAAACCCAGAAGCTTTTATTCTGGGGATTAATTACAACCGAAATCCCTAAAAGTCAGAATGAGCTCAGGCTTACAAGAGAGGTTAAAAATATTTAAAACAACGTTTCTTTGGCTATGTCTGAAGTAAGAGGAAGAACAAGCAAGTGGTAGGTCCTCTGTGTGGGGAAGATGGAGAAATGCTATTGGGTGAAAAAGAAAAGGCAGAACTGTTCTTAACTACTTTGCCTCCGTCTTTACCCAAAAGGAAAGTGATGCCCAACCTGCTGATAACAAAATAAATGATGTAAGGAGGGAGCTGCAGCCAAAGATAGGGAAAGAGGTACTAGGGGAACACTTGGCTGCTTTAAATGAATTCAGATCTCCAGGGCCTGATGAGCTGCATCCAAGGGTACTAAAGAAGCTTGCGGATGTAATTTCAGAGCCATTGTCTATTATCTTTGAGAATTCTTGGAGAACAGTTGAGGTCCTTACAGACTGGAGACAGGCAGATATTGTTCCCATCTTCAAAAAGGGGGAAATGGAAGATTCAGGTAACTACTGACCGGTGAGCTTGACATCAATACCAGGGAAGGTCCTAGAACAGATAATTCAACAAGTTCGTCTAGCATTTAGAAAAGGATGCTGCGATTACTAAGATCTAGCATGGGTTTCTCAAAAATAAGTCATGCCAGATCAATCTGATTTCTTTTTTTGATGGAATTACAAACTTGGTGGATCAGGGAAATGTTGTGAACACAGTGTATCTTGATTTCAGTAAGGCTTTTGGCAAAATCCCCCATGATATTCTTGCAAGGAAGCTAGTAAAACGTGGGTTGAACAAGGTAACTGTTAGGTGGATTTGTAGCTGGTTGACTGACAGAACCTGAAGAGTACTTATTAATGGCTTCTCATCATCCTGGAAAAAGTAACAAGTGGGATGTCGCAGGATTCTGTCCTGGGGCCGTTGTTTAATGTCTTTATAAACAACTATCATACTTTTAGAAGACATCTGAAGGCAGCCCTGTTTAGGGACGTTTTTAATGTTTGATGTTTTATCATATATTTAATATTCTGTTGGAAGCTGCCCGGAGTGGCTGGGGAAACCCAGCCAGATGGGCGGGGTATAAATAAATTTGTTGTTATTGTTGTTAATGACTTGGATGAATGAATTGAGGGGACGCTCATCAAATTTGCAGATGGCACCAAACTGGGAGGGGTAGCTAATGACGCAGAAGATAGAATTCAAAATGACCTTAACAGATTGGAGAACTGGGCACAAGCTAACAAAATGAATTTCAATAGAGACAAATGTAAGGTTCTGCACTTAGACAGGAAGAACCAGATGCACAAATATAGGATGGGAGACACTTGGCTTACTAGCATTACATGTGAAAAGGATTTAAGGGACTTGGTAGATCACAAGCTTAACATGAGTCAACAGTGTGATGCAGCAGTAAAAAAAAGTTAATGCTATTCTAGGCTGCATCAACAGAAGTATAGTGTCCAGACCAAGGGAAGTAATAGTACCACTCTGTTCTGCCTTAGGGGACATGGGTGGCGCTGTGGGTTAAACCAAAGAGCCTAGGGCTTGCCGATCAGAAGGTCAGCGGTTCGAATCCCCGCGATGGGGTGAGCTCCCGTTGCTCTGTCCCAGCACCTGCCAACCTAGCAATTCGAAAATACGTCAGAGTCCGAGTAGATAAATAGGTACCACTGCGGCGGGAAGGTAAACAGCGTTTCCGTGCGCTGCTCTGGTTTGCCAGAAGTGGCTTAGTCATGCTGGCCACATGACCTGGAAGCTGTACGCCGGCTCCCTCAGCCAATAAAGTGAGATGAGCGCCGCAACCCCAGAGTCAGTCACGACTGGACCTAATGGTCAGGGGTCCCTTTACCTTTTTATTCTGCCGTGGTCAGACCTCACCTGGAATACTGTGTCCAATTCTGGTCACCATAATTTAAGAAGGATGTTGACAAGCTGGAATGTGTACAGAGGAGAACAATCAAGAGGAGATATGATAGCCATCTTCAAATATCTCAAGGGCTGTCACATGGAAGAGGGAGGAAGCTTGTTTTCTCCTCAGGTGGATAGGACCTGAACCAATAGCTTCAAGTTCCAAGAAAGGAGATTCCCACTAAACATCAGGGAGAACTTTCTGACAGTAAGAGCTGTTTGACAGTGGAATGTTCACTCTCCTTCACTAGAGGTTTTTAAGCAGAGATTGGATGGCCATCTGTCTTGGATGCTTTAGTTGACACTCCTGCATTGCAGAGGGTTTGCATTACAGGACTAGTTGACCCTCAGAGTCCTGCTCTGGAGGGTAGGACTCGAGGCTGTGGCTTCAAGTTACAAGAAAGGAGATTACGACTAAACATTCAGAAAAACTTTCTGACAGTAAGAGCTGTGTGGCAGTGGAACAGACTCCCATGAGAGGTGGTGGACTCTCCTTCCTTGGAAGTTTTTAAACAGGTTGGATGGCAATCTGTCATGGATGGTTTAGCTGAGATTCCTGCGTTTCAGGGAGTTGGACTAGATGGCCCTTGAGGGTCCCTTCCAACTCTTAAGATTCTATGATTCTGTAAGGATAGGTGTACCTGTCGATTATTAAGTAAACTTCAGTTCCAAAGTGGTCACAAGTTAGGCATTAGTCCCTCACGTTAGATGTGGCAAGTTGAAGGCGAGGCTGTAAAAGCAATTTTAGAAATAATAAAAACTGCTTTCGTATTATAATTTCTGGTTTTCCTTCCAGCTGGCTGAAATTAAAGTGAAACTTATGGAAGCAAAAGATGCATTGGAGAAAAGTGTGGCTTTGCAGGATTTCAGCCAGGCATCCCTGTTGAAAGAGAGAATAATGGAACTGGAAAGCATTAAAAGTGACCTGTTAAAAGAGGCCGAGGAGCCTCCAGCCAAAGAAATATGCATGGAAAAGGTGCTGACCTTTACACCAGCTACTCGGGTTCAGTTACATCGTTTTTAAATAAGCATGAATGTATTTGTGTGGTTTTTTAAATTGGTACGAAGTAAACCTTAAAGAAGTATACTTCTCATGTTGATGTGTTGTAATGCTGACATCAAATAACAGTTTCTGTGTGATTATTTAGGCTTTGTACACAGTGTCTATTTCTCAATTATGAAGGACTAGAGAAACCTTCTTGGACCAACCCTAGTATCTTAAAGGGATGGAATTGGAGATACAGTTTGTGGGATGTGAAGGTGGCATTCTACAGTGTGTTCAAATAATTATTATTTTCTCCCCCCCTTTTTTTAAAAAAAAGAGTGATCCTGAAACATTACTGAAATGTCTGATGATGTGCAACGAACTTCTCAAGCAGCTGTCCCTTACGAAAGGATTGGGCCCAACAATGGATGCAATAATTGAATCTTTGGTAGGTGACAACAAAAGAAGACATACCTGGGAGTTGAGAATATGTATTCTGAGCTGCTTGAATATTAATATTCCATTTCTGAACTTTGTAAATGCATATTTGGACAACCAAGGACAGAAATCAGAGGGGTTAGGCTGGGCCTCAGAGACTCTCGCCTCATCTCTTTGCAGAACAATAGAATCTGGAGGATCAAACCATCTACTCCAGACCTGACATAGATCGCTAAGCATCATTTTTGTGCAATTTTTTAAAATTAATTTCCCAATAGTTCCCCAATAATAGTCCAATCATAACAATATCAGTTAATACAGTTGTTCAAATACCAATTAATTCCCAGTTAATACATTTTGGTTAAAGTGGTTCCCTGCGTAGTGGATTTAATGCATTCCTGATAATATATTTTTGCATTCCATAATCTTATTTATTTCACTTACATTACAGTTAAAATAGTACTGTAATACTTTATACTACAACTGCATTCTTAATGATTTCTAATTGTATTATTATATTACTTAACTTTATAAAACTTCAAGTGAGGAGCTATAATTGTTATCATTGTTCTGTCCTGCGTGTGAAAACTGTTATGTCCGTGGAGATTCCTTCTGATCATATATGGCAGGGGTCAGCAACCTTTTTCAGCCGTGGGCTGGTCCACCATCCCTCAGACCATGTGGTGGGGGGGGGGCAGACTATATTTTGGGGAAAAAAATAATGAATGAATTCCTATGCCCCACAAATAACCCAGAGAGGCATTTTAAATAAAAGGACACATTCTACTCATGTGAAAACACGCTGATTCCGCAGGCCGGATTGAGAAGGTGATTGGGCCGCATCTGGCCCCTGGGCCTTAGGTTGCCTACCCCTGATATATGGTGTATCTTCCACTTTTTCGACTGTTCCTTTTTCTCCCACAGCCCGCAGTTTCTTTTCATCCTTACAGCTGAGATTTATGGCCAATTATCCTTCAACTTAGATTGCATTCCAAATCATCTCAAGTGAGTGATATGGGAGGTTGGATTTGCTTTGGTACACACAGCCGATCTCCATCCTTAAGGCGCTTGTTGGTCAGTTCTGCTTAGCCTGGAATGCCTGATAGCCTATCTTCCTTGACTCTACCAACCACTGAAAAGACAGAGCAGTGAAAATTTCAGGGAGGAAGAAAAGTGATTCCATTTCTAATGTAAAACTTATGAAGAATTAGTTCTGTTCTTTATTCTGCGCTTTCAAATAAATGCAAAAATTACTATTCCGGGGTGGGAGTGAGGTGTTAACTAGACAGATTGCCTGTTTGAATATTCCTATGATAAGTTCTGAAAGGGTGGAAGTCAGGTGTAGATGAGAATCACCTTTCATTTTCCTGTTTAGTTGTCTGAAGGAGATTCTTACTCGCCCCAGATAAGCAATTTAATGACTGTTTGGAAGATTATGTCAAGCTTTACATGAAATGTGCATTACTGTTTGTTTAGATCATCCCAGGAGTTACTAATATCCATCCAGCTGTAAGAAATTTGGCAGTTTTATGTTTGGGTGGCTGTGGTTTGCAGAGCGAAGAATTTGCCAGCCAGCACCTTGCATTGCTGTTGCAGGTAAATATTCTACATTGTGACCTTTCTAAATCATCTCATTTAAATTAAGAAACTTTATCGCTTTGAAAAGTAGTGGGGTGCAAAGGCTCGTTTAACTTGCATATCTTTCCATGGAAAGGTGCAATGGGAAGCGATTTGCTAATTGATGAACCTGGCATATCAACAGTTGACCCCCATATTAGTAAACTTGGACTTTCTTTTTTGGCTCAGTACAAGAATGCATGGCCTCTTACTGTGTCATGATGAGGCAAGTTCTCTTGCATATTGAAATCTTTCATTCCAATTGGATGATTAAGAGGTGATTGGTTGTTACCCTAGTGAGAAAGAGAGCTGCAGAGCTGTAGTTTCCCACATATAAGTGGAGTTAAGAATTGGATCTCCAACCTTGGCACCACTTCATGTAGAAGGAAGCAAAAACAAATTAGAGATGAGCTTTCGGTGTCTCCAAATTTGGGAGTTGTGTACAGCTATTAACCAAATGAAAAACAACAAAGCCCCAGTCGTTCATTATTACCTAAGAATGTGCAGCTTTTCTTATTGTTTTTTAATCTTTTTATAACTTGGGGTTATTAGCATTTTCAGGATGCGGGTGGCACTGTGGGTTAAATCACAGAGCCTAGGACTTGCCGATCAGAAGGTTGGCGGTTCAAATCCCCACAACGGGGTGAGCTCCTGTTGCTCGGTCCCTGCTCCTGCCAACCTAGCAGTTTGAAAGCACGTCAAAGTAGATAAATAGGTACCGCTCCGGCGGGAAGATAAACGGCATTTCCGTGCGCTGCTCTGGTTCGCCAGAAGCGGCTTAGTCATGCTGGCCACATGACCCGGAAGCTGTACGCCGGCTCTTTCAGCCAATAAAGCGAGATGAGCACCGCAACCCCAGAGTCGGTCACAACTGGACCTAATGGTCAGGGGCCCCTTTACCTTTATTAGCATTTTCAGGGAGGAGGGATTAAGAGACAATAGTGTGCAAAACTGACACTGAAGGCAAGGGGATTAAATTGGTCACATTTATGAATTCAGATATCCTGTTCATCTTTCTAATGCCAGGTCTTGCAAATTGATGAAATAAAGGTAAAACTAAGTGCTTTAAAGGCTGTCTTTGACCAACTGATGATGTTCGGGATGGAACCTTTCAAAGCAAAAAAGGGAAAATGTGCCCAAAGTGAAAATGAAGAGAATGGAAATGAAGAGAATGAAAATGAGGTGACTAAGGAAACTGAAGAAGAAACTGCAACTACCCACAATCTCCTTCAGCTTCTTTCTGGGTTCTTAGACAGTGAGGTAAGGTCATGAAATCAGCTAATATTAATACATGGGGTTTTATTGTGTATTTTTTTAACAAAAGGATAGAAGTATGTTGGTTATTAAATATGAAAGCAACAACTGGTATGTTTATATTCTTGCAGCTTATTATTTCAACAGAGCTAAGTATGTAAAACTGACTTACAAAAGACATTTTTGCTGCTGCTACATGTTTGTTTACATAGATTCACTACTTTTCCTTATTTCTTGGGCTCAGGACAGGCAGCAGTAGGAGCTCACAGTCCTAGATAACATTAGTACGTTAAAGAGTTTTGCTTCCAAGATAAAAGGTGGAAAGACCTCATAGTTTGGAATTAGCATTAGGGGAAAAAATTGATTTATATATTTTCTCTGTGAACTAATTTAGGTCAGTGGAGATGACGAAAGTTAGAATAAATGATAATGGACCTTCTCTGGGGAAGATAATGTAGTTTGCAGTGGGGCAGCCCTTTCCGAGGTAGTGAGAAAGAACAATTGGTTCTTGTCTGACAGGTGTTGTCTTGGAGGTGTTGAACACATGGTATGGTGCGTTATGCTGCCATCTTGTGGCTGAAGGCAGGAGATTCAGACTGGTCTTTGTCCATTGGCCATGCCTCCATCACCTCAGTCATTTGAATGGATCAGACTAAACTCATGTAAGGAAATTAGTGCCTGAAAAGCAGTAAAACAATCAACCAAACTACAGAAACTTAGTAAAAAGGGCATTGCAGCAAACACATAGGTCCACCCAGTTGGCTGCCTTTCTATTTTTTCTCCTATCTATGCTGTCTCTTCAACACGTCTGAGGAATACCTGTCCAATGGACAAATACCGGTCTGCTTTCCCCATCTTTAGCCACAGGAGGGCAGCATAACCCACCATGTTGGGTGTTCACCATCTCTGGAGAGAGAAAAAACATTACAAAGGGTCACCCAGTGCAATTGCCTCCATCCCCTTTAAACTCTGTTTTAGAGGCTGTGTAATACGTGTGAGAGGTTTTACTTTTGCAGATGTGCTAGGGTGTCACAATTTATGGTTTCTTCTTTACACTGTTGCTTTTTATAGAGCTGATATATCTACTGTATGAGTGATCCCAGACCACAGATGATTGAGGGCTGTCAAGTGTTGTTGTATTAATCTTACTGAACGAAACCCAAATAGCTTGCTCTTTTTCCTTTCTAGGCTAAATGAACAAATGCAACCCTAAGTAAAACCTTTTTCTAGATTTCAGAACTCAGGACCGTATCTGCTGAGGGCCTAGCCAAACTCATGTTCTCTGGGCGACTGATTAGTGCTAAGCTGCTTTCTCGACTTGTTTTGTTGTGGTATAATCCGGTGACTGAAGAAGATACCTGTCTCCGACATTCCCTAGGTGTTTTCTTCCCTTTATTTGCTTACTCAAATAGGTACGACTCTTACCACTCCACTTTCCCCCTCCTTTTTCTACATTTTAACCAGTTTGAATTTAACATAATTGGACAACAGGAGGAAAAAAGTTTGTTTTCATGCTTTTATGAGAAAAGTTGCCTGACAGTGTAGTGCACTCCTATACATGCCTATTCCAAAGTTAGATCCACTGAGTTCAGTGGGATTTATTCCCAGGTAAGTGTGCATAGGATTGCAGTCTCATCTCATTCTTTCTAACCTTGTCCTCCAGATGCCTAGCTACCGTGAGTAGCTTATCTTGGTTTAGTGTGCTGGGCAAGGCCACTTTACATTTCTGTACCTCCCTATGGTTATCTATCCAATTTGCTTGGGCAGAGCCCAATATTTCATTTGTTCCTCACTTGAGTTTGGAAGAACTTCCTATAGTTTTGCTTTATTTCAAGTTTCTAGAAGTAGAATTTTGATATCAAAGAGCCCGGTTTTACAAGACTATAAAGGTATATTCCCCCCTGTATTGGGGATGTGCATGGGAAGCATAGATGACTTGGTCCTCCATTAATGCATAGAAATTACAAGACAAACAAGTTCCCTTGAATGTGTATTACAAGATCTGGACATACTTTCTGGAATGCTTCTTGTAATGCATTATATTAACATCTACTCCATTTTAAAAATCCAGGACAAATCAGGAATGCTTCGGAGAAGCTTTTCTTCCAACTTTAAAAATATTGTTTAATGCTCCTGCATCTTCACCATTGTCTGAAGTTGACGCAGCAAATGTTTCTGAGTTGTTTGTGGACCTGACAAGACCAAGTGGGCTGGATCACAGCGCTAAGAATTCACGGAACTACCAGGTATGCAGAGTCCTATCCTATTTTGCTGAAGCTGAGATTGAGCAGTGCCTCCTGATACCTGGTAAATGCTACAAGATGATTGTGGCACAGGAATTTTCAATATTTGATTCTTTCCCCGTCAGCCTTCCCCCTTTTCGGCGGCTTGGGAGCCGCAGTCGGGAGGGGCGCCGTTGTCCCACACCCCCGACGGCCCTTGTGGTGGCATCTGGGGGGGGGGGAGGGTGCTCTCCATTCCGGCCTTGGAAGGCAAGGCCAATTTTTGTAAGGTTGTGCTGCTTTGGGGAGAAGGAGCCATGTCGCTTTGCTGGCTACCTTCCCCCGTCTTTTCGGTGGCTTGGGAGCTGCGGACAGGATGGGTGCCTGTGATGGCCTGGGACTCGGACTCGGAGCCAGAGGAGTCTCAGTCTGCACCGGATCCTTTGCCCCAGGTGGCATCTGAACCTAGTCTGGGGCCTGATTCTGAAGAGCCCCAGTCTGCACAGGTTCCCCTGCAACAAGCACCAGCTGGGCCGAGTCAGGAGCCTGAGTCTGCCCTGGCTCCAGATGCGGGGATTACCTTGTTGCCTTCAGCTGGGCAATCACTTACAGCTGCCCCACTACCAATTGGGTCAGGGGAGGCTGAGGCGGCCTCTGGGTCTAGTAACCCACCGACGTCTCCCGAGCTGCAGAGACTAAGGTCTGAGAGAAGGAGAGGCCTGAGTACTCGCAGGAGGAGTGCTCGCCTTCAGGTGAGACAGGGAAGTGAGTCACCGGGGGATCAGGACCGGCCGTTAGCCCGTCAGAGATAAAAGGCTGCTGGACCCTGCCCCAGGTTGCGGGAGCAACATTGCTGCTTGCTGGAACCTGCCTTTTACCCTGTCCCAAGCCTTCCCCAAGCTGCCGAAAAGAAGGGGGGAAGGCCACCGGACTTTTTTTCTTTCCCCCTCCTTGAATTTTAAAGGTGTGGCTTATATTCGGGCCAATACGGTAACTGCAGAAAATTCTTAAACCATAAAGACACTTGTAATGTGGATTTTTTAAATTTATTTTTTGGTCATTATGGTTATATAATAAATAGGTAAAGGTAAACTGACCATTAGGTTCAGTCGCGGATGACTCTGGGGTTGCGGCGCTCATTTCGCTTTATTGGCCGAGAGAGCCGGCTTACAGCTTCCGGGTCATGTGGCCAGCATGACTAAGCCGCTTCTGGTGAACCAGAGCAGCGCACGGAAACGCCGTTTACCTTCCCACCGGAGCAGTACCTATTTATCTACTTGAACTTTGACGTGCTTTCAGACGGCTAGGTTGGCAGGAGCAGGGACCGAGCAACGGGAGCTCACCCTGTCCCGGGGATTTGAACCACCGACCTTCTGATCGGCAAGCCCTAGGCTCTGTGGTTTAACCCACAGCGCCACCCATGTCCCCTATATAATAAATAGATAAGGGTAAAAGAGGCAGTTAATTTAATCTTAAAGATGGAATGCATAGGGGAAGGGGAGGAGGTCTGAGGGTTCGAAAGAACTCTATTTTAATGTTGGAAATCGTTTTGTTTTATACGTATACAAGTTTTTCAAAAACTCCAAAATTATTTTAAAAAGGAAATTCTTAAACAATATGCAGTCAGATATTATGACGTACTATTACCTTTTCCAGGGGTTGACAGTTCATGATAATTTGGCAGTGAAAATATGCCATGAAATCTTGATGGATCCAAGTGCGCCTGATGTCCGTATCTATGTAAAAGCTTTGAGTTCCTTAGAACTTAATAAAGACTTCACAAAAGACCTGCTGGTTTTATTAGATGAGATCCTTGGGGTAGGTAATCACTTTTTAAATTAAATTTGGAGTGTTTGTGTGTGGAATAGTGCTTAAATGGTAGCCCCTTAGCTTCATTTGCCATAAGTAGAACTTAACTGAATAGGAGAGATCCTTTAAAACAAGAACTTCCTGACCATGTGAGATAACTTTGGTTTTTATGGTGCAAGTTGCCTCTGAGTCAAGTAATTAATAAATGACCCTGTAGAACTTCATTTTGGAAAACACGTATTGTTGATGATAAGCCTTTATTTGCTTTTATTCTGCCGATTCTAAAAAACCCATAGAATTAAAACGAGTGACTTTAAACCTTGGTATAAATGTTTTCCAGCACATTCCTATATCTCTCATGTTGCTGTTTGATTATTGGCAGTTATTAACTTGGGCTTCTTTGTTAATGTGTGTGTTAAAGCTGAAGTTAATTTAAACTGCTTCACATCTAAGATGGAGAAAAAGATGCATGTGTTGCTATGTTGATATATGCCCATTGCACAATTACTTTATAATTAATTCCCACCATTTAAGGTTGTATTAATATTCACCATTATCCTTCACTGCAGAAATTGAACGATAAAATGTGTTTACGAATGATAGAAAAAGTGAAGAGCAACATAAACGAGGAAAACAGAATTAATGGAGGCATCTCTGAAGAGGTACAGGAAACGGACCTTTCTCAAGTAACTCAAGACACTGCTAGCCCCGACAAACACCACTATAATGACAGAACATCTAATTCCGCTGACCAGAATGGAGAAGGTAATGTAAAAACAATAAACTAAAAAAGACCTCTGGTTGTTGTTTTTTAATTCTTCTCTCTAGAATAGCTGTCTAATGTAAAGAGTGTCTGCTGTCTAATGCTGCAACCCTGTACCCACTTATGTGGAAATAAATCATTGAGGCATATTTCTAAGTAGACATATGCAAGATTGCAATATAAATCAAGTTAACCTGAGAGAAAACTGTTCAACTTTATGCCTGATTCTGTATTGCCTCTGCATCAAGGAGAGCATCCAATAAGGATTTTCTGCACAAGAGCCACTGAAATGAGTGGGGAGGCATTTATTACATGTACATCCTTTAAATATTTTTGTATTTTGCTTTATTTATATCTTGCCTTTCCGTCAATGAACGCAAGGTGGAATACAGTGGAACCTCGTGTTACGGACAGGATCCGTTCCGGAGCCCCACCCGTAACACGGAACTGACGCGAGCCAAAGGGCCGCATCTGCGCACATGCGCGATGCGATTTAGCACTTCTGCGCATGCATGAGCGGCGAAACCCGGAAGTAACCTGTTCCGGTACTTCCGGGTTGCTGCAGGACGCAACATGAAGCGGACATAACATGAGGTATGACTACGTGGTTCTTCTCTCCCCTTGTTGGATAGCTTGGCTTCAGAGATGATGATTGTTCCAAGGTTACCTCATTGAGCATCACAAATGAGTGAGGATTTGAACCTCAACAGTGCCAACATCCACCCCCTCCACATTTTTACATGGCGATGTGCAGCAAAATTCTGGTTGAGGCTGCAGGTGCCTGCCATCTTCCTGGAAGTCGCCAGCCTTGACTTTGCTTTGCAAGGCAGCTGCTCTCGAAAGCATACGGATTGATATGGCTAACTTGACCCAACAATCAATCTCTCTTCCACCACATACGCAAAGAACTCTCGCTGCAGTCAAATGTTGTTGTTGTTTAGTCGTGTCCGACTCTTTTTGACCCCATGGACCAGAGCATGCCAGGCACTCCTGTCTTCCACTTCCTCCTGCAGTTTGGTCAAACTCATGCTGGTAGCTTCGAGAACACTGTCCAACCATCTCGTCCTCTGTCGTCCCCTTCTCCTTGTGCCCTCCATCTTTCCCAACATCAGGGTCTTTTCCAGGGAGTCTTCTCTTCTCATGAGGTGGCCAAAGTATTGGAGCCTCAGCTTCAGGATCTGTCCTTCCAGTGAGCACTCAGGGCTGATTTCCTTCAGAATGGATAGGTTTGATCTTCTTGCAGTCCATGGGACTCTCAAGAGTCTCCTCCAGCACCATAATTGAAAAGCATCAATTCTTCAGCGATCAGCCTTCTTTATGGTCCAGCTCTCACTTCCATACATCACTACTGGGAAAAAGACAACCAACTGTGCCCTGCCCCTGAGCCTCTCTGACTGCCAAGGAAAAATAATAAATGAATAGAAAGAGAACCTATCCAGGATACACTGGCACCCCCCCCAAACTAAAAGAATGTTAAGTTTTACCATCACACCCACCCCTTTCCCCCTCTTCTCCCCCAACCTTATACACTCATAGCTCAGGTTGAATATGCTTCATGTTGAGCGTGTTCGAGCATGCGCTCAAAATGACGTCATGCGCAGAAGCGGCGAAAAGCGATGCGTGCGTGTGCAGATGTGCCATCGCTAGTTACGTTTGCTTCTGGATGCGAACGGGGCTCCGGAACGGATCCCGTTTGCATCCTGAGGTACCACTGTACAGTGGTGCCTCGCAAGACGAAAAGAATCCGTTCTGGGAGTCTCTTCGTCTAGCGGTTTTTTCGTCTTGCGAAGCAAGCCCATTGACGGATTAGCGCTATTAGCGCTATTAGCGGCTTTTAGCGGCTTTTAGCAGCTTATCAGCTTATCGGATAAGCAGATAAGCGGCTTAGCGACTTAGAAAAAGAGGGGGAAAAGGAAAAAAAAAAACCCAGGAACTCGCAAGACATTTTCGTCTTGCGAAGCAAGCCCATAGCAGATTCGTTTTGCGAGGCACCTCCAAAACGGAAAACTCTTTCGTCTAGCGAGTTTTCCGTCTTGCGAGGCATTCGTCTTGCGGGGCACCACTGTATTGTATACAACACTAATGTTTCGCATCAAATGTAACTGATCTGTAGAAAAGATGTTACAACCTGAAAGAGAGACAAAGTGCATACTTTTGTAACCAGAGAAAATCTTTAATAAAAATTAAGGAAGAAATGAAGGAAGGAAGAGGTACCTACTGGCTACTGTCTCGTAAGCTCGCTTGGGAGCACTAGGGTGGCATGGAGTGATGGGGCTGATTCAGGGCTCCCCCAGAGGGTACCGTGCCATTTGAGTGGGGACATGTGCAGTAAAACTTTCAATTGGATTTTTGCCCCCTAAATTTAGGGCCTGTGATCCTAAACATTTTTTGTGTGAAAAGGACTTCAAATCTCAGAAATGCGTTTAGGGATGCTTCGATACTAATTTCTGCTTTTGATATTCTTTGTGTTAAGTAGAAAATAAAGAAACCACTCAAATAACTGAAGAGAGAGAAAGCACAACTGCAGTGTCAAGATCTTCAAGAAAGAAAACCACAAAAGGTATTTAATATTCTCCTGTAAATATATTAATAGTATTTGTTTTGTGAGGGCTTAGAAACATTTTTAAAAATATTTTATTTAATTAAGATTTCCCCATAATACAGTAAAAGTAGAACTACAGAAGATACAAACCGAATAAGTAAAATATAAAGTTCTCTCTTAAAAGTAATTATTGGCTCATATAACCCACAGAGGACAGTGGCTCCTCCCAGCTCTCACCTGGGATCTTTCCTTTCTCCTACCTGCCTCTTACCCTGGGGACCAACATTTCCTTTTTTTAAAAAAAATAATATTTATTACTTTTCCAAAAAATTTAAACACTAAAAAAAGAAAAAACACATACAATACAAAACATTAAACTAACAAAACAAAACAACAACAATAAAATAAATCAAACAATTTCATTATCCCATCTTTCGTTCACTTGTTTCCACGACCTCCTCACACCTCTGTATTCCACTTCTGTTAATTGTTTCAGCAATTCCTTTCCATCTTCCTGTTTTCTATCCTATAATTATCTTAACACATTCTAACCTTATCTTTCCCTGTAATACTCTATTAATCTATTTATACTTAAATCCTTATAACATTTCTGCTAAAGCCATATAACTTCATTCCAACATTTTTCTAACATTCATTAATTTTACAGTATTTCTGTAAATAGTCTTTAAACTTTTTCCAATCTTCTTCCACCGACTCTTCTCCCTGGTCTCGGATTCTGCCAGTCATTTCCGCCAATTCCATATAGTCCATCAACTTCATCTGAGACCAACATTTCCTTGTCTCTCTCACAGGGTCCTCCATCAACCCTCTACCACACCCTCATGAGTATACAATCATTCCTATTGTCTCTTTTAATTATACAGGCAGCAAGCAATTTACACAGGTCTTACAAGTGTAAGCCTATCTCACCCTGTTCCGCCGTGCCCCTTTTTGTGACGTTTTGAGGTCATTTCCAGGTTCAGCACATTTGTGTGGTCACGCGCATATCGGACTCGCCTAAAACAGTTGCTGCCTGTACATTTATCATCATCATCATTTTATTTTGCTGCTGTGGGCAGAAATATTTTATTTGTTTGTTTATGGGCTTTTTCCAGTTTTATATTTACAGATCATATTTTCATCCTTGTACAATAATTCACATAGACTTCACCACCCAGCTTTCCATGGCAGTTTAGATACATCTTATCTACCTGCATATCCATTAATTTACCCATCCTCTTTCGCCCCCCTTCCATATCATTGTTATCACCTGTTGATCGTAAGATTACCCCTACTTGAACGTTAAATTTAACGCCATATCTTTGTAGATATTCCCCGAAGTTTTCCCACTCATTGTCTGTTTTTTATTTTGATTTCATATTTTATGCTCGCTAATTCTGCATAGTCAGGCAGCCCTGTTCAGGGAAGTTTTTAATATGTGACATTTTAGTGTATTTTTCATCTTTGTTGGAAGCTGCCCAGAGTGGCTGGGGAAACCTAGCCAGATGGGCGGGGTACAAATAATATATTATTATTATTATTATTATTATTATTATTATTATTATTGTCACTTCATCTCCAGTTATGTCCAGAAGGAATGCTTCTGGTTTCTTAGGGAAAGTAAATTTAAAGATCTTTTTTAACTCAAAATTTCCAGGTGTATTTGCACTGCCACCACAGGTGGAGAAATGATCCCTCTGCTTCTAAGCATTTCCAGCAGAGCGTGGAACCTCTTTTACACATTTTGACCAATTTGACAGGTGTCAAATACCACCTGTAATGCATCTTTTGCATGTTTTCTCTTATCTGATAACGGGCAGAAAAGTTCATTGTTTTATTCCATATTTTCCCCCAAGCTAAGATTTCAATGATATGCCCAGTGTCTATTGCTCATTTTGTCATTGCCTATTTGATGAGTTCATCTTTAGTCTCCCATTCTAATATTTTTATATATTTAGATTATTTTTTGTGTGTGTTCCCTGATACCAGTTTTTCAAATTCTGATCCTCCTTGTTGCTGCCTGTACATCTAAGCTACTGTTAGTGTGTTGCTGTATGATCAAAATGTCTTCTTCTTTGGTGATCACTTGTAGCCGAGTAGGATTGTCTTCCATAAACACAGTTTTAACAATGAGTCTGTAAGTGACTCAAAATGTACGGAGACATTCACATAATTTTGCTATTACTGTAACACATATTGGATAAGATACATTTGTGGCTTTATAGTCCTTAAGGCCTTTACAAGCCCTCTAATATTGGCTTACAGAACTGTCCCTTAGATTAGAGAAGATTTCATTTTGACCCTGTTCAGCCTTTGAGTGTTGATGGAGCTGTAGTCTTACAACCTGCTAGAAGCCAGGCATGCTAAAGAGACTTTGTGTCAGGAACTGCCAGTACAGTGAATGTGCTTGCAGGGACTCTGCGGGTGGAGCAGTGAAAACGGGTAGAGAAACTAGTTCTACAATTTTAAAGGCAGTCTTTGAGGGAGAAAAAAGTAATTTGTGGTCTTTTAGGTCTGAGAAAAACGGAAGAGAAGTCTGTGCCGAGAAGAATTGTGGAGTCCGAAAGTGAAAGGTAATTTGTGTGCAAACATGGAATGTTTATGCAGCAACTCCTGTTTCAATTGGACAAACATTTATAATTCTCACTCATCTCCCCACCAGCAGACATTCAGCTAAATTGATCTGTTTAGTCATTTGCTGATTTACATATATACAACAGGACTGCAGCTTTGGGTGACTTGACCCTGTGGCAGTTGAGCTGTGGGGCCCTGCAGGGCTACAAAGTTCCCTCAGTGCTTTGAAACATGTATACGAAGCTGTTTGGTGCTGCCATCATTTGGGACTTTGGGTCACCATTATGTAGGCGATACCTCGCTGTAAAGCCAGCAAAGCAAGAGCCGCTGATACGCTCTCCACGGCTCTTGCTCTAAAGCAAGAAAAGCAAGAGCTGCGCAGAGTGTGTCAGCGGCTCTTGCTCTACTTTACAGCGAGTGACGGACGGGAGCCATGGCTCCGGCTGCGGAGGCATCCCTCAGCTCGCGACTGCAGTGGCAGCCGAGGGATCCCTCTGCCATCCAGTGCATTCGCTCCATAAGACACACAGACATTTCGCCTTACTTTTTAGGAGGGAAAAAGTTCGTCTCATGGAGTGAAAAATACGGTAGGTGTTACGTAACTGTACTGATCTTGCAGGATCCACACTTGCGGCTTATATTATATATTGTTAATTTGTTTTGCAACCTGCCCTTCCTCCCAAAAGAGCTCATGCATGTTATCAGACCCACTTAGAAAGTCCTGAACAATTTAGGGTCTAGGGTCTGTATGGCCTCTACCAGTACCAGCCTGCGTAGGCTTTATTGGGATACTTTCATGCTGGTCCCAGGCGAGTGCTGCTTGTTGTGTGGTGATGCAAGATATGGCCATCTCTGTAGTTTCACCCCAGCTGGGGGTGGGAATGGGCAGATAAAGCAGAGGTGCATATGACCCAGAACAGAGAGGTAAAGAAGGCTGAATTTCACACAATAATTTGCAATAACACAAATAAATGAGTGCTGCTTCTAGTTTAAAATGGTGGATTAATGATTCCTAAACCCTGTTACTTTGCAGTGAAGAAGATCAACAATCTGTTTCACTGGCAAGACCATCACGCCGAGCAAAAGCAACAGCTCTTGAAAAAACCAGAATGAATCTCTCCAAACTTCTGGACAAATAATTCAACTGACCGAAAAGTAGACCAGTGCAGCTGGATGTAAACCCACTTTTAAATAATTGTATGTAAAAAACAAAGCAAAGCATACCTGCTCGGTAACTCATTTTCTGCTTAATCCTTTTTGTGTGTGCACATGCAGTAAATGGTTAGACTTGGGTATGCAAAGACAAATACTTTCTTCTTTAATTTCGGGAGAGTTTTTTCTGACTTGCATTTTTTTTTTTAAAGATTTGACAGTAGTGCACAATGTGGATGATTTGCGAATAGTACCACCTAATGAGGTTACATTGCATATCTGGCTTAAATGCAAGCTGTATTCTGTTTCCTGCATAAGGTGCAGGTGCTAACCTATTTATGGATTATAGGTCAGTTTTTTTTACCATGCAAAATGTATAAATGTACTGTTGAAGTTACTCTTTTAAAAGATGAAATAAAGGACATTTACTGGATGTTGCTCATCTTTACCAGTTTGATGGCTGTAAGATTATTTTGGCTTCAAAGGTGGTGGTAAAAGCGGAATTATAAACATATTATGCAGAATTTTGGTAGATCGGACTGGCATAAAATTCTAGAAGTCTGAAACCTTAAAATTTCAGACTTATGGCCTTTATATTTGAGATGTATCTGAAACATAAGTCAGTTCAAGTTGCCCACTGTACCTTGCTATTATTATTATAATTATTATATTTATCCTGCCCATCTGACTAGGTTGCCCCAGCCACTCTGGGTGGCTTCCAGCATATATAAAAACATAGTAGGACATCAAACCTTTAAAAGCTTCTTTATACAGGGCTGCCTTCTGGTGTCTCATACTGTTGTTATTAAAAAGAAACCATTGGTGGTGGTGGTAGTGATAGAGATGGCTGATCCATTAGTCCTGGGTACACCTTGTGGGCTAGAATTCTCATCCACTAACTGTCACGTTTCGGTGGAAAAAAAGTTAGTGCTCATAATACTTAAAGCTGTGTAAAGGCATAAAATGCTGCTGTATTTTATTAGCAGTATTTTGGAAATGAGGTGGGTTTCTTTGAAATCTTGGTTGTAGAGTGAATATTGAATGGTTGATTTATTATATTGATTGTTTAAACTGGCTGTAGGATATAATATGCTCCATATTTGAAAACATGGTGCCAGGACTGCCTTCTGTGTGTGTGTGCTAGAAGTATCAAGTAATCTATTTTTAAAACAAACTATAGACAATGTAACCATTTTAAGACAGAAAATCCAGAATGTAGTTTATAACCATTTTAATCTTAGTTTGATGTAATTTCTACAAGTTTTCACCCCCATCACCAAACACTTAGCAAAATGTTGATAAAATGAAGGCTTAGGAAATGACTGAGTCTGTTTTCTCTACAATCAATGGCCCTTCAGATTATTTTTTTTAAAAATGACATACATTTCATAGAATAGGTGAAAATTGTGATTTAGAAAGCATACCATACATTTTAATAATTATAATCTGTAAGATTTTTAAAACCCTTTGCATTTTTATACAGCTTTGCACCAAGGTAAACTATCTACTGAATGTATGAATAACTTTTACACATCACGTTACATAAATATATTAACATCTGTGCACGAAATAAAACCAGAGAATATATCATTAGCGGCAAAAGAATAGAAAGAAATACAGCATACTGTAAAAAAGACAGTATCTCATTCTTATGACCTATACTGAAGTTGTTTCGTATTTACATGCAAAGAGTCACAGCCAACTAACAATATTCATGGTTTACTATGAAGCCACAACCCCAGCATGTCATCTCATGATCAAAAATGCTTATTCAGCAGAAAAAAACAATTGCACACAATGTACAAAACAATAGTGCAAGAAGAGCTGCAAACTCCTTGTTCTCTTCATCTTTGAGCTTTTGGTTAAAAACTATACAGCTGACCAGAGATGCTGTTGTGAAACTTAGCTTCTACTCCATGGGTAGATTTAAGGCACATCATTATTTTCACAGGTTGGGTGCTTATCTTGTGTCAAATATGTTCCAGTTTTCTGTTTTTTTCATATGTAGAAACTGGTTAGAGGGAGGACAGGAATTAAATTTAGATTAAAAATTGAAACTATCATCTAAAGTAGATGCAGCAACCTGAATTTTATTGCACTGTCCAGAATATCAGGTTTCATTGGCTTTCTAAGTGCTGCCCTGTCCTATTGGATTGAGCTATTTGAGCATACACAGATCCCATCTCACAACTACTATGAAATTGGATTTCCCAATCAGGAACAGGAGTCTCCAAAGTGATTAGCAGTGTCCTACTTCTCTATCTGGAAAACGTCACGAGGGTGTAGTGGTTTCGAGCAAAGTTTTAATTAACGCTTCTAAAAATGGAAAACGTTGAAACCTCTTGGGCTTTGCAGAGGCAGAAACTGTCTGCTTCCAGCGCTGGAATACTCTACAAGCTACGGACTTATTCTACTACTCAGAACACCTAGAGACATGTATATAAAATAACTTAACAATGGTAAAGTTGTTTGGGCTTCTCGGTGCATGTATTGGAACTGCAATACATGTCTATTCTGCCTTCTAGTGCAGACGTCTAGTGCAGTCATGGGTGTGAATCTCTGTTTAGGAAAAGCTACAACTTTCTCAAGTCTGCAAATTGCACAACACATGGCTCTCTGGCTTGTAGTAAGGCACAGATGTATGTATGCTCTTGCATAACCCTCTCCCAGTAATCGGGGAGATGAGGACAATTCTGGAATATATTTGGTTGGATCCTGAGAGCCACAAGCAGAATGACTTTTGCAGAACTTCTCTTCTCCCCCCACAAAAAATTAAAAGCTTCTGAGGGTTGGGGAACCCTTTCATATAGGATTTGAGGGATTACTTACACTTAGAGTTAATGGGTTCCAACCCCATTTTTGTTTTGCAATTATACATTAGGGTATTTGCTTGCTTTTAATGTAGAGCCTGTCCTGTACACTTCAAATTATTATACTTTCTATATCTTTATTCTCTGGTGGCAGTGGTAGATGGAACAGGCAACTATTAGACGTCTTTGCAGCTAATCTAAGTAGCATGGATTGATGATCTGAGAGTGCAGTGCTTGAAAGTGATTTCTGCAAATATTTCAAAGGGTATGTGGGAAGGACATTGGTACCTCTGCACACTTACTATATTTCCAATAGACATGGGTAACTGAAACTCAACTGGAACTAAGCTGTGTTTATACAGGCTCTATATGCTATACTCAACAGTATTTTTAAACGCACCTGTACATCTGCCAGCAAACATTTTCAATGTTTCACTAAAACCCACACAAAATACAGAAATATTTTGTGAGGTAACTGGATGAGGTGCCCAGGTTTAGCACCTTTCAGATGAACTTACTACCAGTTGCATAATTTTAGCTCAAAAAGAAGAATGAAGGAATGCCCTTAGCCACTGAACACCATGATTCCAGGCCATGACATTCTCTTATAAAGAGCCTGGCTTTTCTGTGCAATTAAGCAGCAAGATATATTTTACTTAGTATGTTAAGTTGCACATATGTTGAAAGGTATAGTTACACTACATATTATTTTCTCCTATAAATGAGTGGCTGTTTCTTTTTTACGGAGAAATGTCAAGAGTTGCATTTGGGGACAGCTATAGTATAGGCTATTGTGTTGTGCATCTCCAGGATGGGTCACTAGCTATACACCACTGGTGCGACAGGTTATGATCAAGACTACTCTTAAGTAAGCCAGTGACATCACTGAGATTTTAACTCATATAAGTCCTACGTTAGCTGCTACACCTAAAACTACATGTTCAGAACAGATTCAGATCAAACAGTATAGGAACTGGGCTGGTGGAATCCAAATGTCTAATATAACTGCACAAGTCTTACAGGAATGAGTGCATGTCTGCCGTTGAGAAAAAGGCCAAAGGGGACCATCAGTTAATTCCAACCATTAAAATCCAACTTTTAAAAACGGTGGCCTACATTCAAAAGTCTTGGATGGGGTACCAGGTACTCATGAATTGAATGGTGGCACTGGAGGCTTGGGATTTATGAGGACTAGGTGTGGGGTGTTTTTTTTCTAGTTTTGGCTGGTTCACCAGTTAAGGTTCTGTTGGGTTGGAAATGACTTGGCCACTGTACTCCATGCTCTGGTAATTTCCAGATTGGATTATTGCAATATGTGGGGCTGTCCCTGAAGACAACTTGGAAACTTCAATTGGTCTAAATGCAATGCTACCAGTTCAGTTCAGATCTCGTATTACTCCTGTTTTAAAACAGTTGCACTGGTTTCTAGGCCCAATCCAAGGTGCAAGGTGTTTAAAAGCCCTAAACTACTCAGGTCCCAAATACCTGAAATACCATTTCCTTCTCTACAGACCCTCTCAGGTGTTAAGGTCAGCAGAGGGGGCCTTTTTTGTTATTCCACTACCCTCAGAAGCTTGGGGGTGGCGACAGCCCGGGAGAGGGCATCTTCTATTGCAGCTCCTAAGTTGTGGAACTCCATCCCCACACATCTAAATCATACTGCTCTAGCAAATGCTGTAAACACCTCTTTTGATACCCAATATGTATATTTTTAGGATCCATCTTATTTCTGTGATTGCAAGGAGTTTTAAACTATTTTAAGAATTGTGTTTTAATGGTTGTGACCCACCCTGAAACCTTAGGGTGAAGGATAGGTAGTACCTACTACTACTACTACTAATAATAATAATATTCAGAGCGTAGTTGCCAACACCAAGACCCAGAAAGCCATGGTTTGTAAATGCATAATCTCCTGCTCTAATTAACATTCATGACAATCCAAACCTAAAGATCCCATGGAAAGCAAGCATCCTTTATGGCCAAATCAGCTTATTTACAAAAATACATAAGTGCAAGCTGTATTACTAATCTCCAAACATATGTATTACTCTATATTTGAGCTTTGTGCTTTTAATGCATCCTTGTAGGCCACTTCAAGCTCTCGCATGGCCAAATGCATAGGGTGTTATTCAACTTCATTTTACTCTTGAGAAGATCCAGTGAAATTAAGAGACCTAACTTAGCCACTTCCTTTCATTTCCATAGGACTACACTGAGTAAAGTAACTGCATTCCACCCAATGATTTACTCTGCATACTTCTAGAGCCTATATATAAGCGTGCACATCCTGGTCTGTAAATATGAACTAGATTTAACCTCTATCTTAGGCAGTACCTGACTTCTAAAAAAGATGGCATAGTCCTGAAGAGGATAATTTGTGGACAGGTTTCTATGTGCACTGTGCAGACCATTCTACTGTATCAAATGGCTGCTTTGGGGGAATGATGTCCCCTATATCTATCAGCCATGCACATTCAGGGATCTGTGCATACTCTGCTCATGGAATCCCTCCATCAACCTCTGCTGGGGAAAAAGAATTTCCTTCTCCCCATTGGGCTGGTGAGGGAAATAATGTAATTGGTGAACATTACTGTACTTGAAGATTTATAATTTGGGCCGTCTGAGCAGAAATACCAGGGCAAAGACACAATGGGACCGACAACTTTCAAAAGGTATATAAGTGCCCTTTTCACTATAGATGGCATAACTATACCTTCTAGTGCAAAGGTTTACATAACTCTGCGGAAACAGATACTGTAAAAAGCAGCCTGTGATGGATTAACCCTATAGTTACTCTTGCCAAATCTAACAATCCTAATTCTACTTAGGTTGAATCATTACAAAATGTTAAAATGTTCTGGCATTTTTATACATTTATTTAAAATATAATCTGCAAGATGAGTAGCTGAACACATGATTATTATTAATTTTTTTAAAAAGAAATGCCTACTGCGATTATACAATGTTGGATTGAACTTCCCCTCTCCCCCACCCAAAATCTGAACTTATAATCAGTTTATCAAGCAAAACTAAACCATAAACTGCGATGCTCAAGTACTAAAGAAACACCATCCAAGTAATATACATGTGCACAAACTCCTTGCTACACTGTTTCTTGGTGCTTCCATGCAGATACCTCAGACTGGGAAGGAAGAGCAGAGCTGCAGACTACAATATGAACCAAGCTATACATGATTGTCTGTTCTGCTTGATGAAAGCCTGGCAGGTCTAGCTCTGGGGAGGGGCGAGAGAGGGAAATAGTTTAGCCTCAATGGAAGTATATCTTTTTTCCCCACTGAATCTACAGAACTCCCCCCCCCCCCAAAGCTATGAACCTGGAGACTTTTGAAATCCATCAAAAGTACATGAAAATAATCGACAGCTCGGTGCAGAGGTAGATTTATTACTGGAATAATATCTAGGGACCCTACACATTTCAAGCTACACAAACTTCATCACCGTGGGGTAGCATCAGTCCTGATCGAGAACAAAACCGTTTCAAGTCACTCCCAGTTCCCTCTGCACTCAGTATGTAGTCCTGGACTGGGGGAATCTGTGCAGAGAAGCAAGCGTCTACTAGCGAGGCCAATGCAGGTGTGCACCTATTTTGATGCTCACCTGAGTCCAGCTTAATGAGCTGGATTGGGTCAGAGATTGGGGGAAACCCTTTCGACCCTAAGGTAAATAAGGACACAACAATGCTAACCCCAGTCCTCCACATGACATCTAGTTAAAGTCCATAGCTTCCACAGTTACATTCCCGCTAGTCTGTCTCAGGTGAGGTAACAGTGCAAGTCCAAGTATCCAGTAAAGATCCCTTACCAACCAAACAACTTGTCAACCAAGTTGTCTGCCAAAGGGACAATTTTAAGGAAGCTCTGCAGACAAAGAAAAAAGCTAAGTTTAACACCAAGAAAAAATATACATAAAAATAGGGCTCATTACAGCAATCTCAACTTCGTCAGAGAGAGGTTTCTGAAGCTGCTATTTTCGGCAGGGTTGCTTCCAAAGGTCTTTTGGGGGAAAAACCACCACGCATACATCTTAAGATACACACAAAATGTCACATAAAAACACAGCGATGCAATTTTACTCTGCATTGGGGGGGGGGGGGGTTGGAATTTTAGGAAGCCAGTTTGCCCAGCATGCAACTTCTGGGCACCACGACCGAATGGCTAACCATTTTAAAGAGATTTTGGCATGCATGTTCAGAAGTCAGTCATAAGAAGCTTACGAATAGGCACAGTCCCCCAGGCCACTTTCTGTGAAGACTATGCCTGACCATCAGAAGAAGCTCTTACCCCAGGCAGCAACCCAAACAGCCCCCAGAAAGGTAGTGTCTAGCTCTTTAAAGCAGTTTTGCTTAGTTATTACAGCAATGGCTTGCTCAGTTTTTACAATCATTCACAGTATTGCATGCTTATCAGGGACTACAAGACAGATGGACTCATCTTGACGATTCATGGGTTTTGCTGTTAGACTTGGGAGCTTCCATGAAGAGGCAACTGAAATGGGATCATGGAGTATTCAACAGCTCTGCTTGCAAATCCTCCCAGCAAAGGCAGTCCAACAGGTTTAAGAGGTCCTATAAAAAAGAGAAAATTAAGACCCGGACTTCACACATTTTCACATGAATGGTGTGTGCGTTCACAATATTCACAGATTTGGCAGAAGGTTCTGATGGTACAAAAACCCATTTAATCAGTACAAATATATTCTTTGCAATTTTTGTCAAATGCTGTTTTTCTTTATAGTTCAGCTAAATTAAATAATCCGGCCTTAGTAATTTCAATGGAAAGTTAAGCATGCATGCTCTTCAATCTTTTCCATTGAAGTCAATGGGATGTAAGGCCCGACCTTTGTCCAAAGCTTACAAATTCAGGATTTGTCTGTCAGTGATTTGCAAGTGAGCCACCTACATAGTGTTGTAAGACTTTATATTATTGCCTCAATTTTATTATTACCTAAATTATCAATTTAAGGTATTTACATCATCTAAGGAAGCGTATTCCTTTTATCTCTGTTTTGAGATAGCCACTTACACAGGGGTTATGTTCTGAACCCCTGTGTGCATCAGTGAAATGGGGATCACCCTGGAGATTGCTCCCTCCTCGCAAGCCAGATACTTGTTGAAAGCTTCCCTGCACCTCAGCTGAGCTGGTCAAGGCTCCCCGTTGTGCCTCCGGCTTGTAGGAGCTGGAGACACATGGGGGTTTGCACAGCTCACACACAACAAAATGAGATCTGGAGAGCAGCTGATCCGAGCAGCCTCAACAAACCTCTGGCTCACGAGACGACCCTTCCTAGGGCCCAAAGAGGACTCCTTCCGAGTTGGAGGCGCAGTGGGGCTTTCCAGCTAACAGTAGCCACTTTCCCATGTGTCAGCTGTTAGCCAGAAGGCTGAAGAGCCTCAGCAAAGCCCTGCTGCACCTCCTCCCAAGGAGACCTTCCCCAGAGCCCAAAGAGGTTGGTTGTCCCCTTTAGGCTCCAGGGAGGGTCTCCTTGCAAGCCAGAGGCTTTTTGCGGCTGCTTAGCAGATGTGCGGGAAAGTTTCCCCATATATCAGGTCAGCGGCTCAACAAAGCCCTGCTGTCCTTCCAGCTTCCACAGCTGACGAACAGAGAAGCGTCTTCCCTGAGCATCAGCTGTGGTAGCCCCTAAATTCACCTTAATAACATCTTTGTCCACTAATCCATTTTTGAACATTTTATCAGGCTTCATTGCCCGTAAGGTAAGCCACAAAAATCACAGCGCTGACTACCAAAATTAAGAAAGCAAACTTTTCAAGTCACAGTTCTTCCTCCACTTCCGATAAACCTGCCTTCCCATTTGTACAGTGGTACCTCGGGTTACATACGCTTCAGGTTACAGACTCCGCTAACCCAGAAATAGTACCTTGGGTTAAGAACTTTGCTTCAGGATGAGAACAGAAATCGTGCTCTGGTGGTGTGGTGGCAGCAGGAGGCCCCATTAGCTAAAGTGGTGCTTCAGGTTAAGAACAGACCTCCAGAACGAATTAAGTTCTTAACCCGAGGTACCACTGTACATGCCCATGCACATCTGGAGCTGAATTCTGGAGGTCTTTAGCTACACAGATCAATGTATGGTGACCAGTTAAATAGACATCAAATCTGCTCCTAGTTTAGATAGGCAAAATTCAGGGCATTGTATCGCTAAAAGTAAGCATTTCAAAATCCTATGGATTTACTAACATGGCTCAGTTGGTAGAGCACGAGACTCTTAATCTCAAGGTCATGGGCTCAAGCCCTATGTTGAGCAAGATTCCTGTGTTGCAGGAGGTTGGACTAGATGACCCTCACGGTCCCTACAATTCTGTGATTATACTGCCCCGCTGAGTAACTTTGGCTTGATTGTTCCCTTTCCACATTTTGTATGTAGCCTATTTAGTCCCCCTAAAAAGGGTATCAGTGTTAACAGAAATTATGTAGTTTTAGTATTTCATCTTAATATACAACCAGTGTTTGTTTTAGGATCTCATCTTAAGTACCACATTTTTTGCTCTATAAGACTCACTTTCCCTCCTAAAAAGTAAGGGGAAATGTGTGTGTGTCTTATGGAGCGAATGCAGGCTGCGCAGCTATCCCAGAAGCCAGAACAGGAAAAGGGATTGCTGCTTTCACTGCGCAGCGATCCCTCTTGCTGTTCTGGCTTCTGAGATTCAGAATATTTTTTTTCTTGTTTTCCTCCTCCAAAACTAGGTGCATCTTATGGTCTGGTGCGTCTTATAGAGCGAAAAATACGGTAAGTTCCAATATTTCACTCTCAAAGCTAATGTATTTGAAATAAGGCCAATTGCTTTTATCCAGAAAAATAACTGGCATTTGAACTTTTGAAAAGGATTTTTGTCCCCAATTCAGCAAGAGCATCCGGGGCAGATTCAAGCCCCCAGCTAACAAAAAACAGAATGAGAAAAAAAATAAAAAGAGAATGAGATGAAAAGAGAAACAGTAGACAAGGCAAATAATCCAGTTAGGGATGCCTGTAGCTTTCTTTTGCAAGTCTTATCTAAAACTTTGCATATGAGCTGGGATTCTAATGCATGTTACATTAACAATGTGACAAGCAGTCATGCTGTAGGTTTTTAAAAAAAAAATTAGGAGGAACAGGATAAACAAATAATAAATAATATTAGGAGGAACCCTCTCCCCCTCGTGGAAAATAGCATTTGGAAAAAAGCTGTAACTGGAACAAATGGTGCATTTGTGCTCTCCAGCTTCTCCCCCTCCAGAGAGACACCATGTTAAGGGGTGCAGTGAGAAGGAAAACCTAGCTCCTCTCCAGGTGTGTCAGCAGCAGTGCTTTCAGGTGGCACACATTTGGGTGCGGATCGTGTCCATTTTAGTTGACTATACTTGCTGCAGGCAGCAGTGCATTTTGAAGTACCTATTGCTATTTTATTTTTAATGTCTTATAAACAGGTTTGCAGAAGACTAGATTTGCTGATATTGTACTCATCAGCAATTTATCAGTATTTGCGGGTATTTTTTAAAGACTGAGCTATAGTGTTTTGCATTGCCACTCTGCTGTTTTGTTTTTATGTGTTACTTCTTTCTTAAAGAAATAAAAATGAATGAACAACTATAGCAATGCTTTTGGTACAGGACAGTAACACCTCCCCCCAACCCTAATGAATTGATTAATCAACTAATCTGCACAATTTATTAACATTTTGGTCTCAGATTAAGCATTGACCTATCAGTCCTTCTGCTTCTCTAATTCACATCAGAGGACGGTGGCAGAAAGCAGTTAAACATAATAGGAAAGGGTGGCTGGTGGCAAGTCCACACCCAAAGCACCATTGGTTACTTGGGCAACTGGCAGGTGCAGGTGTCAGGTCTGCTGGCATAAAATGTGTGATATTTCATAGCAGATAAACTCCAGATTAGGGCTGGGCGATAAATGGTTTTCAATACAGTGGTGCCTCGCAAGACGAAATTAATTCGTTCCGCGAGTTTTGTCGTCTTGCGATTTTTTTCGTCTTGCGAAGCACGGTGTCGGGAAAGTTTTGGAAAAGCTTCAAAAATCACCAAAGTCTTTAAAAACCTCAAAAAGGCTACCACACCGCGTTCTATGAGTTGCTCCTCGAAGTCAAGTCGCAACTGTATTAACGGTGTTAAGAAAAAGGAAACAAACTTGCAAGACGTTTCCGTCTTGCGAAGCAAGCCCATAGGGAAAATCGTCTTGTGAAGCAGCTCAAAAAACAAAAAACCCTTTCGTCTAGCGAGTTTTTTGTCTTGCGAGGCATTCGTCTTGCGAGGTACCACTGTATCGCAATATATCACCAGCTAAACATCGCAATATATCACGATATCTGAAGCTAGGAAGGAACTACGATATTGGCCCGAATAGAAGCCACATTTTTCCAATTGTGAAAAGTTACAAGTGTGGCTTATATCTGCAACCTTATGGTGTCACTGCTGAAACAGCTGGCCATGAGGGCCGTCGGGGGGGGCAGGACCATCCTGACCGCCTCTCCCAAGCCACCATAAGGAAGGGAGGGAGGCTACTGGCAATGCGGCGCGGCTCCCCCCACCCTGGAAGCAGCCCGGGTGCATGGGGCAATGGCACATAGCCTGCCCGCTACTCCCAAGCCTCCCCTGGCACCAGCCTGGGGAGGCAGTGCCAGGAGGCGGTAGTGTCAGGAAGCAGGTGCGCAGCATGCTTGGAACCAACCGCCAGCGCTGGCCGCCCCCAGTTCAGGGCAGTAGTGCCAGGAGATGGACCGCACCCACAAATAAGCCTTGAATTTTAAAGCTGCGGCTTATTTGCGGGTACGTCTTTTATTCTGGCCAATATCTGACCCAATATTCTGGGTCTAAAACTGATAAATGATGACAGTGAATACAAATGATCTGGGACTGCGAGCAGGCCTACAAGGCAGCCCAAACGGCAGCAGCCTGGCAATGGCAGAAGCACTGGCAGCCTGGGCACAATAATCAGCCTGCGAAGCATCATCATGGCAGTGGTGGCAGGAAACGGTGGCAGAAGCCATGAGGACTCACAGGCCACCACTGATTGTGCTGCCACCATGAGGCCTTGCAGGTTGTCGCCGCTACTATCAACACGTACTGTGGTCAGGGCAAGCTGTTTCTGCCACTGCTGTTTCTGCCTCCCAGCAGGCCTGCTGGCAGTCCCAGATTATTTGTATTCACTATGACTTCTCGCCGTACTTTCAATTGTCCTGAATACCACCATTTGGTAGCCAAGCCCAAAACCAAAAGTCCTGTTTCGATGCGTTTTGGCTTGCCTGCTGATGAAACTGAGTGTGTGATGATTGATAATATTGTCATTTATCTGTTTTAGACCCTTAAGAAGCAGCAGTTGCCAGGACATTGTCCTGTTTGCCTCTGTGTAGTTCCTTCCTTATTTCAGACATTGTGGTAGACTGCAATAATTAGCTGGTGATAACATTGCAGTGTTTAGCTGGTGAGCTACCACGATGTTGAAAACCAGATATCGCCTAACCCTTACACACATTGTGATTCATGATATATTGCCAGCTCAAATATTATGAAACAATTATCAAGATGTGAATTTCAAACCGGTGTTGGATGATATATTGATATATCGCCCAGCCATACTCCAGATATCTTGTAGGAGATGGGAGTCAGGGAGGAGGCTAAGACTTGTTTTATTTGCTAGAGATTTAGGGAGCAGATTGGTAAATGGTAAAAGGGGGAGATTGGTAAAAACGAAGTTGAAAGGCACCTTCAAAAGTGTTAACTAACTCTTTCCAAAACAACTGCTCAAAACTGCAAGAATAGAAGCTCACAGAGATCAGGAACGGTAGCATCAAATCCTTGAGGATGTCAGGATGTCAGTGTGGTTAATGAGCAGAATCAAGGAAGCTATTACAGAAGCCTTCCTTCAGAAGATGGAATCCTTGCCCATAGGAAGACAAAAAAGGAACACAAACACTGGCAAGAGAAATGCAGGCAAACAAGAGAGCCGAAAGAAGAATCTGAGCAGCATATTGCTAAAAACATTAAGAAAATGTAGTTAACTACCATCAGAACTAGGAAACCAGCCACAAAGGTGGTTGGACCGCTGGATAACAAGGGAGTGAAAGGGGTGCCGAAAGAAGAAAAAGAGACTGCAGAGAGACTGAATTGACTCTTTGTGTACGTCTTCACTGTGGAAGATGTACAACAGCACCAGGTCCAAACTGGTATGTTCACAAAGATAGTGTGAACAGCTAAGGCTGAGATCTATATGCATCTACAGATGAAGGGTGGTATACAAATTTAATAAAAATAATAAAATTAAAATAAGACAATTAGTGGCAATGAGGAGTTCTAGATCTTATTGGCCCATTAAAAATTAACTATTCACCTGGTGCAAATGGTATCCCTCCTGAGTTTTTTTCAAGAACTCAAATTTTATTATTGCTGGTCTGCTAACAAAACTATGCAACATTTCCCTAAAATACCAGCTCCATACCTGAAGACTGGAAAATGGCCAAATGTAACATACATTTTTAAAAGAGATCCAGGAAAGAAGATGTCATTTAGCATGTGGACAGGGACAATACCATACAGACTATGAACTTGGACTTTGAATACTCTTTTGATAGTTCCTCCTCAAAGACTCCTTTGTGACCCCAATGTGACAAGAGGGCAAGTCGTCGGATGAAACAGTAGCTGGATAAAGAACAGGAAGCAAAAGAGTAGGAATAAATGTTCAGTCCTCACATTGGAGAGAGAAGTTGGGTTCGCTCAGGAGCTATAGTAAAGGTAAAGGGACCCCTGACCATTAGGTCCAGTCGTGGCTGGACTCTGGAGTTGCGGCGCTCATCTCGCTTTATTGGCCGAGGGAGCCGGCGTACAACTTCCGGGTCATGTGGCCAGCATGACTAAGCCACTTCTGGCGAACCAGAGCAGCACACAGAAACGCCGTTTACCTTCCCGCCAGAGCGATACCTATTTATCTACTTGCACTATGACGTGCTTTCGAACTGCTAGGTTGGCAGGAGCAGGGACCGAGCAACGGGAGCTCACCCCGTCGCGGGGATTCAAACTGCTGACCTTCTGATCGGCAAGTCCTAGGCTCTGTGGTTTAACCCACAGCACCACCCGGACCCAGATTATCTAGTTAGGTGAGATGATGACATTTCCTGAAAACACCAAATTATTTGGGGTGGTAAAGATGAAAGGGGATTTTCAAGCTCCAGAAAGATCTATCCAAAAAGAGCTATCCAAACAGAATGAATGGGCATTAATACAGCAAAGGCAATTCATTGTAAATAAGTTTAACATGATGCACACTGACAAGATCTGAACTGAGAAACAGCTCTTGGGGGTGTGGTGGGCAGCTGAATGAAAAGGTTGAGCAGCCCTGAAAAATGTAAATTCCATATGCTAGGGATCATTAGAAAAGGGTTTAGAAATAAAACTGCTAACAATGTCATATCTTTAAACAAATCAATGGTGCACTCACCTTCAAAATACTGGATATAGTTCTGGCAGCTGCATCTCTAAAAGAATATTGTAGAGCTGGAAAAGGTGCAGAAAAGGGCACCCGAAATGATCAGGGGGCTGGAACAAACACTTCTATGCGGAAAGGTTATTTACATTTGGCCCTTTCTAGTTTTAATAAGGCGAGTAAAGGATAACGAGAAGGGCTTTATAGCTTTCTTTATACATGGGGTGAAGAAAATAGATAATACTGGAACATGGGGTCATCAAATGAAGCAGAATGGCAATTCAGAGGTCATTGAGTTCAATGAGAATTACTTTTAAGTAAAAAATATAGAGGCTTGCATTGTTAATTCCTTATAAAAAACAGACATTAATTGCATAGCAGCAATAAACTGTTCAAAAATACAGGATACAGGTGCCCTGAAAAATAATTGCACCAAAACACTCCCCTTTCCTAAAAGTACCACTGCATGAAACAGTTGGTGAAAATTTGATACTAGAACTTTGGCACTGCAATACAGGTACTTTAAGTTGTATTACTGAAGTTTCACATTAATGCCATTGTACATCTATGTCATTCTCCCATTCTGCCCATTGATTAATATGTTCAGAGGAGGCCTTATTAACTATGCCACTGCCTACAGACCTTCATTTGTGGCAACTTGGAGGAGGGTCTTCTCTATGTGACCTCTCAGTCTGTGGAATAAGTTCCCCACCGAGATATGGCTTCTGGAGAGCTTCTGCCAGCTGTTAAAGCCTATCTAATTACTCTCATTTCCCTGGGCCTCTGATGCAAGTTCAATGATTCCTGGTCTTGGTAATTGTAATATGGGGTTTTATTGAATATTTAATTGTTTCAGAATTGTTGCTTGGTTCTGAATTAGTTTTATTATTCACCGATTCAGTACTTGAAAAATAATAATACTGGAAAGAGCATGAATATTCTAAATACAGGACTATGTACTTTAAAGTGAGGCATTTTCTTACGGTCATTAGAAGATGGCACGTGGAATCTAATTAAGTGCCTAAAATTAATACCATCAGAGCTTTGGATTACAAATGGAGGCAGATTTGACATGATGTCTGCTCTGGTTACAGCACTGTCCGGCGAGCAATGGTTTGTTTCCTTTACATGCTAGTAAGTATGGAAAACCATGAACAACAGAGAAAGAACAAAAACAACACAACAGAAGTCTCAAGTGAAATAATGAAAGACATTAGAAAAAGTTATCAGTTTCTTTTTCTTAAAAAGGATATCACAAAGCTATGCCTGAAAAAGTAGCTATTATAGTAAGCAGAATTTTGTTGCCGCTGCCAATTTTAACACACCTGTGCTTTCTATGTAATTTGAATTTCCACCCCACCACAAGAATATATATATCTAAAGTTGCCAGATTACAACATGAGGTCCTGCCGGCCCCTTTAAATGCAGAGTATGTGGCTACAATATCGTTTTGCCTCATTCCTGGTGCCTTCATTTTCCCCATAGCTGCTGTAATAGGTAAAGAGGATGGGCGTTGAGGGGCAGAAATTGCAGCAGTCCTGTTTTAGGATTTAAATAAACAGGCAAGATTTGGTGGGGGGGTTTGCAATCTGGCAAACTCTAGCCTACCAAGAAAACTGGCAGCCATGAGAGAGCTCTTTATACATACATTAATATAAAAATGGGCAGCTCATTTTATAACAATGACTTCATGCTATAGACAGTTCATTTACCTAACCCCCCCCCCACCAGTGTGGTTCAAAATGATTGCATAAGGACACATTCAAGATAGAGTCCTCAAGAAATCAAAATATGCATGTTATCCCTCCACCGCCCCCCACCCAGTATGTTTATATAGGCTTGGAAATAATACAGATAAATGAAAAGGGACATAAGCTAAGCAATTAAACATTTTAGCCTCTTCCCCAATTTAGCACAATTCTGCATTTTTAAATATAATTTGGTTGTGTCTCCCCTCCCTGCAATTTACAATTTGCCATTCTGATTCTGAATAACTGGAAACTAGCCCCCCCCCCCCCAATTAGTCAAGATTTAAATTTTATCTTCTTTGGTTTCTTATATACCCATATTAAATGTTATTTTTAATTACACACCCAACCTTCTTTTCTAATTATGCCTTTATAATGAAAAGATTTCAGCTCTGTACTGTTAGTTCTCTGTCTGAATTCAGATTCCTTAGACTATTACACCAAGTAGTACTTGGTGTGTGCCCTGCTTTTTCCAATAATGGACATGCACAGCTGCTAAAGTGGTCAGCAGTCTATTTTCATAATACTGGGCTCTATCAGCGTAGGGAGGGGATATAGTTGTATCCCAGTGGATGCTTTTCCCATAGTATCTGTGTAAGGAAGTCTCATTGCTGCACATACATCAAGCTTCCTGGTTCAGGAAGACTGTGTGCTTTAAACTTTATTGACAGGAAGCAGAATTTAGTATATGCCTAACTTTTTCAAGACTGTGCTCAAAATGCTTTAAAACATCCAACTTGAAAATTGCAGAGGGTCTTGGCAAACCACTCAATGCTTTTCCTGCCTGTTGTAGCATTTCAACTGCAGTGTGTCAGATGTTGTATGGTTAGTAATTGCATTAGTAATGCTTCTTATATTACTTATATATTGTATTTTTATTATATTCCACAGAATTCAAATTGCAACGCAATAAGAATACAATTGAAGAAATAAAAGAAGCAATTAACACAATTATAAATCAGTATATTTAAGGTGACGGATAGGCCATCTCCCATCCTTCAACCACAAATCCACAGACAGAATGCGGACCACCTCAATGAAGCTTGTAATCTGCAGACCAGTTTGGGAATTCCTGCTTGAAAATATTGTACTCTCAAAGCATATGGGAAATTCAATTTTATACAGCAAAACATTAAGCAATGCTAAACACTTTTAGCATTGCATCGTTTAAAATGGTAGATTCCTGACTTTTGTAAAAATAATAAGAATGCTCTCTGTACTGAGCATTCTCATTTGTCTCATTTTAATGGAAAGTTAATACAGATTTTGTATAGGGGTGAGGGGGAGATGAAATAAAACTTACCCAGTTGGTACTTTGAGTAACAACTTGATACTTGGCCAGGGCTGCATAATTGCCTCGTATTCCTTTCTCTGATATTCAGGTTGGTGAGTTTGTACTGCGTCCTCCTCCTCTTGCTTGTTTTCTTAGGGACCTCAGCAGAACCATCTTCAAAAGTGACACGCTTGCTTGGTTTCTTGCAGTCTTGCTCAATATGCAGGTCTTTAACCAAGCTGAAATTCTTAGCTTCCTCAGCATCCTTTTCACATCTGTCAGACGTTCTCTGCTTAGCAGAGTGGGACCTTAAAGTACAGTGCCTTTTCCCCTGAAAGTAGCCGTGACTGGCACTACGATCTACAGATTCCGGAGTGCAAACAACAGTGCTACTGAAAGAATGCTGTTCTTCAGCCGGGTTGATTTTCTTCAAAAATATTCTACAATCCTTAAAGGTTTTGTCTTTCCAGTCATCTTCACCAAAGGCATGTGCTTTCCCGATATTTTTTTGGTTGTGATCTACGGATTGTGCGCTTGGTCTACAATTATTTGTCAAGCCAGGCTTTGTGCTGAGGTCTGTCAATTGTGCTTTCTGTTGATAAAATGCACCTGTGGTTTCATTTCCAGTTGAAGTGATTCTCGGAGAGTCTACAAGAATTGCGGGCGATTTAGTGTCTACTGTACCATTCTCGTGGCTTGTGCTCGTTTTGTTGTTAATTTCCTGACTTGTGTTAGCAAAACACTGGCTTTGGCAGAAGAATCGCAAATGCTGCTTTTTCGATTTCCAGTCACTTGTTCCATGATTATACAGCTTTTTCACTTGTCTCCACCGATCATGCTGCAAATTCTCAAATTTGGTTCTTCGTAATTTCGCTAAAGTGAAGTTACGTTTCCTCTTTAAGACTCGAGACCTGACTATTTTATGGAGGATTTGTATCTTTCCCGCTGATTTTGATGGCGTGGATAGTGCAAATTTTTTAAAGTGCTTTCTCAAAGGACTAGTATTACAATCGCATTGTCTTGTTCCAATTTTAAATTGTCGTGTACTGATTACTTCAACAGGATTGCGAGCATTCGCCTTTCTCACTAATGCCAGTGACTGCGTTTCCGTAGTTTGCATAAACCATGTGCACAGTTCATCTATATTACACTTTTTCTGGAAAAGCATTTTTATAGGAGAGTTTTCAAGCTGTAACACGCAGGAATCCAAAGGCTTTGATACTTTAATGCTATAGTCTTGTTCAATATGACACCGCTCATCATAGAGACATTTTTCAAATTCTTCTCCGTTCACGTGCAACCAAGTATTTGTTATCTGTTCATATCTACTATTTAGTTCTTTTAACAAGGAATCATTAGAAATGGAAGGATCCCACCATCTGAGGGAAGAATTTGATGAAATGGTGGGATCTGATGACATTTCATTAACAAATCTAAACTTATTATTCTCTGAACTTTTTTTTGCTTTTTCTGGGGCCTTATTTCCTGAGGTATCTTTGGGTGCCATGTTTGACTGTTTTATTTTTTGATTCTTAGCATTTTTCAAACAGAGCTTATAGGATTTGTGTAGAAAGGCACGTCTACAAGACAGTGAGTTAGAGGATGCTAAGGACTGTAAGAAAGGCAGCGATGGTCTTCTATCTCTAAGAGATTGTCTCAAAGGGATTTCAGGTTTACTTGGTGCTATTGTAATAATTTCATCCGAAAAATCCTTACTTTTATCATTCCAATAGCCTTTTGAAACATCCAACTTATTGCATTGTTGATCAACCTTCTTAGGAGACCCATGTTTTTCTAACACAGTCTCTTGTTCTAAAGGAGGCAGGCAGCTGTTAATACTCACTATTCTTTCCTGAGATGAAATCTGGTTAACAGTCACTGATATGCCAGATATTTTTACCTTTGCTGGTCTACCAGGTTTTCTAATTATATTTAAAGGCTTCTGTTTTGGTCTTACGATATTGCTGCAATGGGTTGGTAGAACTGGGCTGCTCTCTAAAGGTCTAACATATTCATAGCCAGATGCAGAGGTCTTGCGTTCAGTAGAGTTTTGCATACTTCTGTTTTTTGGCAAACTATTCCTTGTTTCTGAGTTCTGCTTCACTTGATCAGATTCACATACAACATGATTGTGAGGACTTGGTACCAAACTGACTACATTTAGGCTACTTTCAGAAACGCACCTCTTAGTCCTTCGTGACCTTCCAAAGACAACTGTCACAGTAATGTTCTTGTTAATATTATTGTCCTCTAGAACATCTGCATTGGAGCTCACGCTTTTTTCCCTAGCACTGATGGAATCACTTATATTATTGGCATTTTCAGCATCTACCTTAGGCTTTGGCGGTCGGCCAATTGGACGCTTAATCTGCTTCACAACTTGAGGACCTAATTTTTTTGGTCGGCCCGGTTTTCTTTTCAGAGAGGATCCATTGCCACTTTGTTCTACAGGGTTTTCATTTGGCTTATGCTCACCAATGTTTGTTTCATGAGCAATTACTGTAGGAAAAACAGGATTTACTTCATTTTTAGGGCTGTTTTCAAGAGAAACAGTTTTACCAGGATCCGCAGCTTCCAATTGTTTTTCTGCCAGCAAACTTGTTTTCCGCTGAAGAGAATAAAGGTCAATGTTTAATTTAGCGGAATCATTTACAGAGGTTAGCGTGTATTTCACTCCTTCGCTACTATTAATCTCTGAAAGGAACATAAGTTTTATAGGACTAGTGTAATTTAGTGCTGGAGAATTATCTCCCACATCAGAACTTGATTGCAAGTCCTCATTATGGTAAGTCAACGTATCTGAATTGAATGCTGATGATTTCAAAAGGCTTTTATATCCTTCATCAGACACTTTTTCTTCTTTTGTTGGCAGACATTCCTGTTTGCTATTATTGCTACATGGAGCATGAGCTTGTGACAGTACATATTGTCCCGTACTTCCACTTTCACTCATGCTAATAAGAAGACCATTTTTAGCATTATTGTTGGCTTCATACTTGTGCGTATCTTTCAGTTTGCTGGATATTTTGTAACTATTAAACAATGGCTTTTTAGTCTTTTGAGCCATATTTATTGTATCTTCCAAACGCTCTACAACAACATGTAGATTTGTGTTTCGTACAATCTTATTTATATCTTCGTTGCTGCACGTTTGGGCCTGTAAATCTTTGAGCATTTTTTCTCTTTCCATGCAGTTAGGTTTTTTCCCGTTTGAGGATTTTTGAAATAAAAAATTGTTTGTCACATACACAGAGCACCACACAGGAGGAATAACATTATGTTTGGTCCTGTCCAACATCCTATCATCATCTCCCTTCACAGAGACTGGATCCATATGTAGTTCACAATTTCCATGTATTTTAGCCAAGCGGCTTTGGGATGCTGTAGAAGTATTTTCTGAAAATGCTACTAAACCAGAATTGGTCTCTGAATTATTCAGAAGTAGTTCTACTGTCTCTTCTTGACCTATTGGCAAAGACTTTGATTTAATGGGAGAAAATAGCTGATATTTATTTTCATTAATTTGTAAAGAATGATCTTTTGATGTGCTATGATTTTCATTTTTGTTTGGTGATAGTTTGTATTTTTTTTTCACATTTCTTTTTGAATTTGCCTTTTTCCTTATGAAGGTTTCATCCAGACTGGCTATCTCTCTCTTAATTTGCAACGATTGTCTTTTAAACAGTGATGAATCAGGGGAATTATGCAGTGCAAATAAGGTTTCTTGCCGTTTGCGAAATCGTGTTTGGATAATTTTATTTTCTGCTTCTTTGTCATGCTGGCTCAACAACTCCATAAAATTATAATCATTTGCCTTAGCATCATGTAAGAGAGAGGTTATGAAGCTCTGTAATTTAATATCAGATTCTGTTCTCCCATCACTCTTAGATAATTTTGCAAGATTTGCTGTATCAGTAGTTTCAATTGATTTTAATTTCTCATTAATTCGATCCATTAAGTCCTGAAAGGCGGCAGCATTTTCAACTTTTTCAAGCTTATCAGAATTTATAAGGCTAGTTTCTTGATTTGCACTTAGAAAAGTCTTATCCACGTTACCGGCCACTTCTGCAATGCATAATCTATTTTTCGGTTCACACACAGAACAACTTCTTTCAGCTCGCGACAGGGAAGGAGGCTGATTACGATTCATTTCAAGTCTATTTAGAGATCCTTCAACTGATTCCTCCAAATAATCATATTCATCAGCTTCCACAGGTGATAATGTAGGTGGCGAAGGGCTGTGGCCTCTGCTAGCTTTGTTAATCTTTTGCCCTGCTGAAACGAGATTTGTACAAAGTGCTGTTCTTGCCGCGTGGCTCTTAGACTCCTTTAACTGTTTGAGGCAGCACCTAGGAGGACTAGAAGGCACAGGATTCCCTTTGTTTACCACTGTGTTAACATATCCAACAGTCACAGACTGGCACGACAAACGATCTAAGTCTTTCACAGAGACTGACAGAGGTGGCAAACAAGTATTTGGTCTTTGATTTTGTAAACAGCACCTTTTCATTTGCATGTTGCCATCACAACTGCAGACTGGAATGTGCACATCATCTTCAGATGCTTTTGAATGTATAGTTTGCGGCAGTTGGCAACTGCCAACAGAATCAATACATGATTCTTGGATTAAAAATTTCAACATAGCTAAAATCTGATGCCCGTGATAAGAGCATAACGATTCCAAAACCTTGCTTAGAGCAGAATTTCCTCTTTCCAATTTAGATGTTTCCTCTGATTTTGCATCATCTGTTGCACTTGAACTGAAAACGAAAAGCAGATCAAAACAAAAAGGAAATTGCAGTTAAATATGGCACAATATGACTGAAGATTAATTCTGATAAGGTACCAAAACTCTTATTTCAAAAGTTACAGTTCCCCTGAGGTTCTGCATATACATTGTATGGAACACATACAACATTAATGAATCTGCTAACATTATGTGCTACAACAGCAAGAAAAACTCAAGCTTGGCTATTAAATTATTTTTTAGTCAGATAGATTCTCCAATATAAAATATGCAACTGCACCTTCCATAAAATAGTCTAACCACAGAAATAATAAGCCTTCATTTACTCCAGTGAGATAATATTTTAATTTAAACAATAGTCACGATATGGTTGTCATACTAATCACATTTTAACTATGAGTAAATTACATTTAAATCAATAGGACTCTGGGCCGCTTCACACATGGCCAATTTCTAATACAAATATCATGTCTTAATAGCAAATTCCGTGAGTTCTAAAAGTACATTTTGAATTTATATTCAAAAAGCACACAGCGCAGGGAAAAAACCCTCAGTTGGTTGATGGTTTCCCCTACTAGTGCATGGAGCAAAACATACACATTTGAATTTATCAGACATGACTGTGTATTTGTTTTTATTTTGATTATATATTTTGTGGTTTTATATTTTGATTTTGTTCTGTGAACCACCCTGAGACCTCCGGGTATAGGGTGGTATATAAATTCAATAAATAATAATAATATATTCAAGATGTAATGAACTTCCTACAAGAATGTCATATTTCCATACAGGAAATTAGCCATTTGGTAAGCAACCCTTACTCTGAAAAAAATGTGTTCTGGAAGTGAAACACTGATATTAAATTTCATTTGATGCTTATTTAGGTTAAGTTACCAGTTAAATGAGAAATGTAGTAGTTCCTTTTATATCTTGAATTTAAGAAATCAGTATTATTTAAAAAAGTTTTACTTGGGCCAGACTATTTCCAATCTCTTTCTAAACAGGCAGCAGTCTGCTAAACATAAAAAAATAAATAAAATAAAATTGAATGGATACTGTGTAATGTTGGATATTTAACCACCCACTGAAGGTATTGTTCTAAAAATGCTGGCTTTTCTTTTAAAATCTGCATTGCATATATGAATTTGGACCCTGTCTTGCTTTAGTTCACTCAAAACTTTACATGAATGGTTTTCCTCATTCCTTTCAAGGGCAGAGTCAACTCTTGCTCTTATAGAACTATGTTGTCCTTCATTTAAATAAATGGGAAAGCCCTTATGGGTGCCCACAACATGACAACTGTGTGTAGTGGGTACCATTTTTAAAGTCACTGTACAACTGAGTCAATGAAAAGGAACCAAGTGCACATATATTTCAATTTATAGGACAAGTCTATCTATCTATGGAAATCAATGTAGTTTTTATAGTTTAGAGTAAATCTATATGGATGTAAATAGGGCTTCAACTAAAATAACCAGTTAAATATTTTCTCTAACTACATAATATTTAAAACTGTTACTACTTACCTAATGATTAATTCAAACTGAAAAGCTAATAGCTCATAGCAGAAAGTAAATACAGATCTAAGAACAACATTCCTCAATCATTAACATCTATCAATATTTTAAAAAGTACTGATTCAGAGAAGTTAACTTATATTAATATAATTCTGTTTCAGAAAAGTATGTATATTCAAACATATCACCAAACTCTGAACATGACACTAGCTGTCCATTTTTCTTTTCTAAAATATTTAGTGTTTATAGCTTTAACCTTATAGAATTGCAGAAAATGTTTTTTTTAAGATATACTTTATCAGATCACATGTAGCATTAGTACTGCTGTTGATTCAGAAGTTGTAAAGCATAGTCTTGCTCTTGTCTAAAAATAATATAGAATTTCTCTAGATTTACACTATTCCAGTCCCTGTTACCAGATTAAAAGCTCCAAATTTACATGTCAAGTGCTCCTAGGTTACCAAGAGTATAGAGTATTCTTTTGATGGCTCAGGTAGCTCTGAATAACGATTGTGAAGTAGTCCCAAAGAAAGGAAGACCCAAAGCCCATTGATAGAGAACATGCCTAGAAGCGTACATAAAATACAATATTTTATGTCTTTAGCTAAAATAACTGAGGCTGTAGGGCTGGAAAAGACCTCCATTTGAGACTTTGGAAAACCACTGCTGGTCAGGTTATGCAACGGTGGCCTAAAAGGACCAATAAGCTAAATCTTTACAATCGAAGTTCATTTATGTTTATGTGCAACTGTAGTGCATCAATTATAGTGTTGGTGGTGCAAAGTGGGTTTGGTACCATTGACTTCATATCATGTAAGTGTGACACAGAAAAAATAAAACTTCCTGTTATTGATCATATATAAAAGTCTCACTCTGACTTTTCACTGATTTAGATGGGACTTTAAATCCCTTCAGCAGCCATAGTCTATCCATCTATGAATGGAGACGATCTCTAGAGGTCAGTAAGCAACTGATATAATAAAAACCCAAGTTTTGCACTGGGTTATAGAAGACCCGTGTTCAGGCAATGTAGATATTGCAATCAGGCTTAATTTAGCAAAAATAAGGGGGGAGCTCCTTCACCCCCATTATCCTGGGTAACAGGATTTAGAAACACTTGTTTACCCCCCCCTACAGTTCTTCCCTTAAAACTATCCATTTGCACAATTACTAGTACAGTATGTGCAAGATTACCTCCTACTGAAAAGGCCATGGAAAAAGTCAAGCCATGCTTCCCAGCAACCAGGTTACAATGAGAAAAAAAGTCATCTTGCAAAATATTCAGTTTCAGAATGTGTTCTATAAACTTGAATAGTCAAGCACAATAATTTAGATTGGCATGATACCAGTCATTCCCTTTTACAAAGTAAATAATCTCTGCAAGGAAATGTATGCATTAAAAATGTTTGTATGAATTTCTCAGACCTTTCCACTTCAAATATAAATGTCAGCCCCTAATTGTGAAAGAATGACATGCTTCATGTTATTAGGGCACCAAGAATGGCAGAGAAATAAACTATAAATGTATCTGAAGGTATGATTCCCATCAGTGATAAAGATTGTAGAAAAGGAAACAAGAGGTAGTACATACATATACCTTGAGGACACATATACATACATAGAATAGCTTAGCTTCTCTACTGAATTTCCAATACTGTTTCTCGCTGCACATATAATGCCATGCATAGATTAGGCTACACAGTTAACAGTATTTTACTTTTGTTTTGACACTAAAGGGGAAGTTGCAATGAGATTTACCACTAGTCCTGTGCATTTTATTTTACCACAAAGTGCAGAAAAGTTTAAAAGCTATCTGTTGGCTTTAAGTGGGCATTTAAAAGAGCATGTTATAATAATATGGATTTCCTCATCTGGTCTACAATTAAAATACAGGTATTTACGAAATACTGGAAATTGAAACTGATTATAAATGTGAAAACGAATTTGTAAAATTTGCAGATCAGAACTGATCAGTTTCCCTAACCATGGGAAATGTGTTCTCCTGAACATATCCCATTTAAATAAATGGAATCTGCGCAAGAGGCAGTGGCCCATATATGAAAAATACTGCCCTGTGTCAATGTTTGTGCTAAGTGTGTAAAAAGTGCAATTGTAACTTATTGTAACTTTGCTCTTGTTATACCACTGTTGTCTTGCCCATGGATTAAATCAAATGAGGCAACATAAAAGTATTTTTCTTTTTACTGAATGAGCAAATCAATGACACATCAGTTTTGTAAATTTATGTGCAAAAGCATTGAAGTGCTTTACTAAAAATTACAACATAGAAACACATTAACAAATTCATACAATCAGATTTAGAAATATAACAACACAAAGAGGAAACAGAATTACAGTACATTTACAACACAAGACAAATACATGGAATTCATTAGAAAATATTGTAATAAATAATTCATGAATTATAGTGCAATTGATTTATGCATAAATAGAACTAATTGCCTAGAAATCAGTTATTAACAAAATCTGTCAAAAAATCAAGGCAGCCACAGAGTTTTACTAAATTACTGCAACAATGGAAATACTGCAATTTAAAAAAACACACAAATACAGGTATTTGTACTGTAAACAACTAAAAAAACAGTATTACTAAAGTTAATATACAATTTAATTTAATATAAAATAGTCATTAGCTACCAGAAATGGTTTAAACAACTTTACTGAGCAGTAGTTCTAAAAACAGAGGCACTGTTTTTTTTTTTTTAATATAAAATACTTGAGAAACATTCAAATAAGTAGAAAGCATGTAGGGCTTGCTTTCACCTTCATTTAAAAGTCTGCTGAAATATGTATTTTCAGAGACTTGTCAATTTCTAAGTAGCATCTGGTAACTGAATTTAAAAGTACTTCAAAATTATAACTTAAACAACCTTTTTAAAAGAACACATTAGGGATGGATAAGGGGAGTCTATGCATTTCCCTGCCTTTCCTCAGTTGTATAATCAAAGGTTCAGACCATTCATTAGAAATAATTACATTTCTTTTTTAAAACATACAGGTTGAGCATTATCTACAAACTATCAAAAAATATTTTAATATACTATTTCTGACCAAAAATAAATACAAGTACTAAAATGCTGAAAATTAATATTACATATAAAACTACCACTGTTAAAAGTCAATAGCAAAATGATCCCTGATTTTATGAATCCTGTTACTTTTTTGGTCAGGCCACCTTTTAAAATGATATTAAAAGTGTACTGTAATGTCTTTGATATATATATCTCTGACTAAAGTCTAATATTGTCTGAGAAATAAAAAAAAAAAAAAAGGCTGAGATCTAAGAAGTCGTGCATCAGTGGGAAATCCTCTCACAGTGGAATCCCCCTCTTATGTCACGTAACACAGTGGTCCAGAAGGTCTTGACCCTCAGGAACCATTTTTCAGGGGGAGCAAGGAACTGTAGTGAGAAGGATGGAAATGATGGGTGTCTAAGAAGGATCCCAGCTCATGTATTAAGCAGTAAACTAAGTCCCAATAGCTCTCCAAGTAAAATGTTCTAGAAAAGACAGTGAAACCTGTAATCTTTTTTTTTTTCTACTGGGAAAGACACAAGAAATCAATCATCTTAATCCTGACAAAAATATGGCTTAGTTCTTCAAAATGAAAGATGACCTGGACACCTGATGTTTGATGCTCTCTTAATTTCTCTAATACAGAATTTTGCTTTGAAAAGATTTCCTAATACGCAACAGAGCTGAAGAAGATTCAGCACGGAACTAAGAGGCCAGTTTTGTTACCTTTATTTTATATCGTCACTCCAGTTTTTAAAATATCAAAAAGAAAGGGTTGATTCCCCTCTCAATAGTTTATTATGAAATGTTACCAACTGAGGTGGATAGCATACTTTTAAAATATAACGGCATGTGAATTCAGATGGTATAATTCACAGAGTCGAAATAATATTACCTTACACAAAATGTTGCTTAGAACGTGTTCAGTCACACATGCATGGCAAAATACAGTGTCTGAAAATTGTAAGCTTTCCCATAAAAATCTAGTTTTTCAATGAAAAAGGCCATGGGTGTCTCCATTAATATGAGATATGATTTGACAGTATACCCAGGTTACATAGTATAAAATCTAGTGGCTATGATCCTTCCCTTAGGGGGCACATTGCCAACACATAAGGAATTTCCATAGGGTTCAAAAGCAACTCTGTTGCTCTGCTTACGCCCTGAGCCCATGTGAATTCACAGGTAGCACAGTGGATGGTTTCCGGGACTGGATGTGTACGTGTGTCCCAGACGTTCACACAGCCCCACTTGGTCAAGTTACATAAGCTCTGGTGCTTGCAAAAATTGGAGGTGCACACAGGGATCCCATCTCCCAGGCTGCCTTAGTGCACTGCTTGCGTGCTTACCAGGAGAGCCAAGTGGAACATGGTAAATCTATGAACACAAAGGGATTCTTCTTGCAGGGAAGGATCATGCCCAGTACGAATACTCTGAAATTCATTTAAAAAACTGTAATCTAAAGGTAACTGGTCCTCTGAGATTCTATGAAAAGTTATATATTTAAAATGAACTGCCCGGCTTCCAAACAGTAAATATACAAATAATCTCTAGTTACTGAAGATTCGAAACAGTTTCACTGTTTCATATCTGTAATTCTATAAGACCCTGAACTGTAAATTTGGTTATTAGCAAAGTGATGATGTATCGGCCCACCAAAATGAAAACCTGATGTTCATTTTGATAAAGTAAAAAGTTTTGAAATGTCACAGCAGCAAATACATTACTGTTACAAGTGAGGTTTTTCAGTAGGAGTGTTACACAATCCTTAAATAAAATGTAAGTAGTCATAACACCAACTAACTAATCAGCACACTTAAACCAAAATAACCATTCTCAAGCTCATTCTGTGCACATTATGAACATGCTCTAATCTGCATTCCAACTTTCATCTTTAACCCTTACAAGTTAGCTTATTTTCCACACTAAAGGAAAACAGTTAATTTTATGCCTTTAGTATTCCATCTTATTTAATAGTTAATCACTCTATAGCTACACTAAATTTGTCAGTTTTCACAAGTATATATTTTGTAAACACCAATTTCTTGCTAAACCAACAATAAAATGAAAAGAACCAAGTTTTATACCTAACACACGCTTTTTAAAATGAAACTTTATCTATATCAGATGTTTAGCCTTTATGTAGTTTCTCTTCCATAGAAAATTCTATATTCAGCTAATACTTCACATTAGTTTCCAAGTTAAGAAACTAGCACTGTCCCCTAAATTTCCCTTGATTTGTATTATTTTCAGCTACTTGCAACTTCTGAAAAATTCTGAGGCATAAATGTCTTCAAAGTATTAATCATGTATTTCCTTAATAAGATGGATTATTGAATGGCTAGGGTCACTCTTCATCAGTAAAAAAAAAAATGCTTCACATGACAAATACATGTTATTCCATTTTATGCTATTGACTACTGAATAAAACCTGAATCTTTTTCACTTATTTGTACAAGGATTATATTAAATACAAACTATCACAATTGTGATCGATTCTATCATTTTGTCCACAGTGAAAACCCTGAATAAAGTTATTCTTCAAAAAGGCATGTATGTGGTTTCTGAACTGTAAAATTTGTCTTCTGTCTAAGTGAATTTTTCTGTTTCTCATGTGTGTATGTTGAACACAGCCGCATACACACACACACACACACACGCACGCACGCACACAGAGGTTTCTAACAAATGAAACTATATAGGCTTGCTGCTATTTTTGCAGGTGCCAGTCCCTGAATCCGTTATGTTAAATAACCCAGTGTCTTGCAATCGGAGTTTCTTTTTCGGCGGAGTCTTCAGCGTTCCAGATCTTTCTTTAACTTTGTATTCTAAAGTGCTGTGAGGTACCCCATATATTCCTTGTGCTTTGGAAACACTCATTTTTCCACTCATTACCATTGTGATAGCTTCCTCCATTATTTCATGATCATATTGTCGGTAGCGACCACGTTTTTTCCTTGGCTGTTTGTTATCCTTGCGATCTAAACCATCTTCTGTGGATTCAGAGGTGCCATCAACAATTCCATTCTTAGCATTAAGACACAAAGGAGAGAGGTCCCCATGCAGAAAGTATGAATCAACACTTGACTGAGTTACAGATGCAGAACATTCGATTTTGTTCTGTTTTGGGAGTATATTTTTCAATTTTTGAAGAGCTGATCCTTCTAAAACTGATGGGGTTTTGGAAACATGGTACATAACATCCAGAAGTCCAGCACTATCAGGCTGTTGTTTGGGCACAGCATTGATTCTTAGCTGTGGAATTTTTAACTGTACTGTTGGAGCTGAAGTTTCATATTGTACATTTTCATTTTTTTCTTTAAACTGAGTGACCATTCTTTGTAGAGTTAACTGATGGAGGTAACTGGAAGCTGTTGGGAATCTTAATTCTGAGGTTTCAAGTAGAGTGAGTTTACTTTTTTCTGTGCGCTCTGCTTGAGCTTTTGCCCACAAGGCTACTTTTTGCAGCACTGCACAAGTTTCTCTACTGTCTTTGTAAGAGTAACTGTCATTGAAATGTCGAGTTTTGTTTCTAAAGGGTGCAGGCTTTCCTGCTGGTAAGGCTTCTAAGTGGAGAAGTAAAGTTTTTTGAGGTATGCCATAAAGTATGCCTGCTTTATTAATGTCCAGTGCTCCGGACTGAATGTCTTTCAACGCTTTTGAGAGCAAACCATCTGCAAACTCAGCACTTCTTTCCACATAGTCCTCTCTGTGTCTGTGGAGTCTCCTGGATGGATGGAATGAAACGATGGTGAACTGATGCATGAGAGACTCTCACACAGCTATGGAAGGGAAGGGTCCACTCCTTTATTATACTCCTTGCTTAGGTAACATCACTGCTTCTGATACTTTTAAGTCTTTGAGATGTGGTAGCTATTGATTACCATAGCAAAAGCTACAGTTCTGGTAGGACCATGTGTCAAAAATGATACCCCAGCTTCTACAGCAGCCCTTCCAAGAACTTTAAATCCTAGCTCAGTATTTGATAACTTTCGTATCTGCTTGCAATTCCCTTTTGACAGATGCTTGCAGAGTTACACTTAAAAACTTTACACAATTTAACATCCATTGAATGCCCCCATCCAAAAGGAGTTTTGTTAGTAGAAACGTGACGTTACCGCTAAACAAGTAATAAAAGAGTCAACCCCCTCATAGAAACTTCGTTGCAACTACTAACAGAAAACATATTAAGACATCCAACTAATTTTTCAGTTTTGCAATTAAGTCCTAATCTTACATCCTAATTGCTAATAAAACGATCTATTTTTTTCCACGACTATCTGAAAAAACAAGCAATTTTAAAACAACATGGAATAATTCTATTGAACTGTTAGTCTTTAAAAAAAAGTTTGCAAAAAGCACAATTGACAAAAAGAGCCTGCTATTGATGGAAGGATGCTAAAATTATAATATCTGTTATTTAACTATTATTTCAGTAAATAGTACATTTCAGCACATTAAACATCTAATAATAAATGGGTCTCTCAGCAGCATGACACAAGTGGTAGTATCAAAATGCAAGAATGGCCATCAAGAGCTCTCTCTTTCATTAGGAAACAATAAGGAATATAGCTGTTTCTTCAAAAAACTTTCTACTATTAAAATGTAAATATTTTTCTTTGTCTCTAAATCATGAAGAATAAATTTTCTTCAATAGCCTAGTTTCCTTATGTATGTAAGCATTCAGTAAAGTTTGGTGATTGTTCTGATAACTTTTCTTTAACAGAAAAATGTGAAAAACACAAAATGAAACATATGAGTTATATATGAACACACAATTATGAGTGAAACTCTTTGGCAAAAGCAAAACATGTGTCAGTAAACATTTTACAGAAATCGGTTACAAAAGAAATCTGTTTTCAAGCTTAAAATTTAATTTCCATTTATTACGTTTAACAAAACAAAAATAATGCTTATTTGCTTACCCAGACACAGAATTTTCAGAACAAGATCCATCATATGCTGACTGTTCCAAGCTTGTTTTCTTTGTAGAAAGATCTAGCACTCCATCCCCTATTGTAATAGCAAACAGTATAAGGATTACTTAGGTAAAAGATTCATTTTAATGTTCTTGATCATCAAAAAGCTATCTCTAAATGATTGTACCCCTCCCTCCTTATGCTGGTCTACAACAGTAATAAAGATTTGTTGTTGCTGCTATCTCTGACTTTACAAAACATCAAAGTACAAAGGTCGGGCCGCTGTAGGTAAGATCTACCAATTTGTAGGTCTCAATTTGTAGGTGGTCAACATGATTAATTCTTCATTCACCAGTTCCTCAAAGTCACCCTTGCCCTGCTACAATTAGGCTTGACTCCAAGAAAAGGCATTTTTCAAGCCTAGTTTTTGCTGAGGTGCATGTGATCTTCCTGTAGATTACAGCTGGGGAGTGAGGGTTAACCATGCCTTCCCCAACTGCACTCTCTAGGAAGATTCCTCCCCATTAAGCTTGAAAAAGCTAAAACATTTCTTTCAAGCCTAATTACTGGCAGTGGAGAGAAATATGAGTGCCCTTGGAGCATGCATGTGCTGTAGTGGTGTGTGATGAGTGCCCATGACAGTTTCTCGGGTTTTCAAAATGTGCTCACAGATCTAGAAAGGTTGGTGACCTATGGTGCAGGTCATGTACGCCCCCAGCCCCGGGGCCAAATAGGGTTCCAAGTTCCACATATACGCCTGATCTATACATGCAGCAGAATGGGAAAAGTGGTAAAATGTACTGTACTACTTCTGCCTGGAGAGGAAGAATGCTTTTTTAATGCTCCCCTATCCATGCCACATGACCAGGAAGCTGTCTGCAGACAAACACCGGCTCCCTCAGCCAGTAAAGCGAGATGAGTGCCCCAACCCCAGAGTTGTTCGCGACTAGACTTAACTGTCAGGGGTCTCTTTACCGATTTCCAGCAAGTTAAAACCTAGCATACCAGAGAGAATGGTACTAATCCAGTCTGTTTCACAATGTGCTAACCTTCTACTTGCAGGAAGATTTTATACACGGGAACATTTAAAAATGTGATTCCCGACCAGCAACCTGAAATGATACTGCCCATCCTACCATCTCATTCTGCTACATATATGTTTTACATTCAACTGATGGCAGATTTATATAAATTATGCAATTAGAATATATACCATTAAGAAGAGTAAATGAGCTACATAATGAGATGACAGAAAGCTACTTCTCTTACTGCCATATTCATAATTACATGGCAGTGGCACAATAGTGGGTAGTCTTAAGAATATCCAGCGCCGTGGTGCAAAGCTCCCTCTGGCGGTGCCCCCCCCCCGTTTTCCAGAGTTTTTAGGGAGTTTTAAGGGAGGATGGCTGCTGGAGGGTGGCTCCTCCAGCAGGGAAGAGGTGGAGGCTGGACGTGGCATCTCCCGGCTCAACTGGCTGCTTCGTGCCACAGTGGCCACGGCAGACGGAGGCTATGGGTGCAGCTTCGGCACGGCATGGAGGAGGCGGGCGAGGGCGACGAGCTGATGCCGGGAGACGCCACGTCCAGCCTCTGCCTCTTCCCTGGCACCCTCCAGAACTTGGCGCCCTGGCGTCCCTCTATGGGTAAGACGCCCCTGGGTGCATGCCCTGTTTAACTTAGGAGAAATGCTGCAGCTTAGCACAGAAGCACTGGGAGGCATATCCTTAATTATATAGCTTTAAAGAGAGTATCTTGGCAGATAGTTACAGATACTCAGCCATTTCAAAGTATAGGTTGAACAAATGGGTTGGAAGTGGGGGATTTCTCTTTAGCCTAAATTTCAGATATCAGAAATGAGTATGTGTTTGTAACCCATCCTGAGAAGTGCCTGGTCATTAGTACTCTTCAGGTATTTGATAGGAAAAGTGGGGGAATAGCAAGGTCTGACCAAAGCAAGTGGTGAACAGGTATATTTGCAATTCTGGGCACCTGTCAAAGTTGACCCACAGCCAGGTAGGAAATTAAGGATCCAGTACGATAGTTGGACCAAATCCCCACTCCTGAGGCCTATAGGACATCATCTTCATCTGCCTGGCTGAGCTGCAAGCTATTATTTCAATAAGTGTCTTTAATAACTACTTTTTGTAACAGCCATTGCTAATATGATTATATAAAATTTATACCTGTCAGCATTTTCAGTCATTTGACTTTGTCCTATTGTACAATGGAAGTATCAATAACATGCTTACAACCCATTTCACTGCTCAAAAGGGCCAGCTCTTTGGCATTGTACACACCTGGAGGGTATTAAGTTTTACTCCCTCAATCTTCATTGCTCAATGCAGTCCCTACTCCTCTTCTACTCATTTAAGATATCTGAAATTTAGGCTGAAGAGAAATCCCCTGCTTCATGGCCCACTCGTTCAGCTGCTGCAACCCCCAACCCCATCATGCAATCCCCAACCACATCAGGGTGCTTGGAATAAAACTACACATTTTCAGAAAGGGCATTTTCTGAAAATGAAAACAGCACCTGTAGAGAAGATGCATTAACACAGGTAAGTATGACTCCTACTACAACCCCCCACCCCCAATGTTGAAAGTCAAAAAGAGGCAAGTTTAAATGCTGGCTTCTAAAGTAAAACATACATATATAGAAAATTTATACAACAAAATAAATTAATTTTCACTAAATAAGTATATGTCTGTGAACAGTCTTATTCCTTCTGTTTAAAGAGGTTGTAGCAATGGAATAAAGACATTTATATACTACCAACAATTTATTTTGTGTCTGCAAAAGTCCATATATTAATCCATCCAACGAAAGGATAATTAAGACCTAAGGATGCTAACTTGCTCAGTATTAATTCTCTTTAATGGCATTTTGAAAAGTAAAACGGTTACTGCTAACTCTTTGTTCTGCATTTTTAAATAAATAACTTTAAAGATGCACTAATTTACATGGAGAAGCTGCAATACTTAACTCCCTTTCACTGAAATCAGTGACTTGACTTTGGAAGAACTATCTCCTTATTTCTTTCATGACGTCCTGGTTAGAACTAAATTACAAATGAACTTCATGTGAGCTGTCCCTTCTTGGTTTGATTTGGATATATGGTCAATTTAAGAGGGATTTTTAAAAAACAAAAACAGAGAACAATGCTTACAACTCTGAAATAACATCAAGGTTAATCATTATGCCCAACTAACTATACTTTCAATCTTCATTTGTGGCTGACAGCACATTTAGCAGAAATACGCAATTCAGTCTTGTAATTTGCCACTTGCCTGCACTAAGTAGCTGGCAGCCTTCCATGGGTAAGCACCCAAGTGGCAAATTATATTGTCCTCTACAATTTTCACTGCAGGTGTAGCCAGCACATGCGATTTCAGGGGCAGTAAGCTAGGGCTGGCTACCCTCCCATCAATCTGTTTTCTCTTTTTACTGGTCTTTAAAGGCAGAAGCCACAGAACCTGATACAGTGGCTGTGATTCTCTCATTGGACTTTCTCACTGGGCCTTTGTATCTAGGAGCTGCAGCAGCGAAGAAAATCAGTGCTTTTCTTATGCTGTGTGTGGGACAATAAGCACAGTAATCTCGTTTCCCTCTTGCTTGCTTTCACTTGGATTCAGAGTCTACAGGAAGTGCTGGTGGCAAAGGAAGGAAGTGGATGACTCCCACAGCAACTGGTTACAAACTGGTTACATTTTAAATGCCCTACTCCAGCAACTACTTAAGAGATATATTCCAAGAGGTTCTCAATTCATTTTAAAAAACTCAATGTGAACAGGTGTGTTTAAAATCTGCTCATTTAAATATGGTGCAGTCATACGTGCAAGAGAATCATGCATGATCTGTGGATTGTGGCACCTATCCTTACAAATTATTTTGTATAGATAATAGTAAGTGAAACTGTATTCAAGATAGCTTTCTTATTTATCATAAAACTCAATGAATTTCATTTCTAATCATATCAAACAACCAACCAACAAAAAAGAAATTTACCTTGCTGAGTATTCTGCTCTTGTATTCGATTCACAGTGAGGTCTAGAGGGCTATCCTGTTCTTCCTGAAATGAATTTTCTGTTTGGTTCATTTGGATACCTTTACATATCAGACTTGTTTCATATGACGAACCGTTTCTATTTTCTTGCATTTTACTACTTTTTGAAATGTATTCAATTGCAAATTGACGGATCATCTTTTTCATTAATTCCTGAGCAACTAAGGGAATGTTAGGATCACAGTTCTGAGGAAGATCTGTAGGGAAATAATAGCAAATAAACATATGAATTAGAATAAACACATTTACTGCATTTGCTTTATCCGTCTGCATCAAGACCTAATACTCTAATGAAACATTTATAAAGTTGTCGGTCTATGCCATGGGTAGGCAAACTAAGGCCCAGGGGCCGGATTCGGCTCAATCGCCTTCTAAATCCAGCCTGCGGATGGTCCAGGAATCAGCGTGTTTTTACATGAGTAGAATGTGTCCTTTTATTTAAAATGCATCTCTGGGTTATTTGTGGGGCATAGGAATTCGTTCATTTCCCCCCAAAAAATATAGTCCACCCCCCCACAAGGTCTGAGGGACAGTAGACCGGCCCCCTGCTGAAAAAGTTTGCTGACCCCTGGTCTATGCTCTACAGATTTCACTTATTTAAATAATAGCAGTTAATTCAACGTTTTCCGTAAGTCGTGTTGGCGCAACAAACTCAAGGGCTAAAATCCCAAAGAAAGAATACAAATATACACAATAGAATCGCACTTGTAGTCAAATAGTTATCTAGTTTCTGCTCTAAGATCTTCAATGCCGAAGAGGCAGCTGCTTCTTCAGCTCCTCAAAATACAGAAAATCTGGGCTAGAAAGTCCTCAGCTGCATAGAATTGGAAGGAACCCCAAGAGTCGGCTAGCCCAACCCCCTGCATTGCAGGAATCTTGCACGAGAAGCTTCCATGAATAGACAACCTTCACCCCTTACCCTAGTACCCAGAAGAAAGTACTTTGCCCATGCATTCTGAATTACTGCTATCATCTGAGCAGGACATTAATCTACAGTGGTAGCTTGGGATGCGAATGAGATCCGTTCCGGAGCCCCGTTCATATCCTGAACAGAACGTAAGACGCATCTGCGCGTCTCGCTGCTTCTACGCATGTGTGCGACGTCATTTTGACCGTCTGCGCATGCGTGAACGGTGAACCCGGAAGTAATGCGCTCCGTTACTTCCAGGTCACTGCGGAGCGCAACCCGAAAATACTTATCCTGAAGCATATTTATCCTGATGTATGACTCTACTTTTCAAGAAGTATTTATACCCCACCATTTTTTCCATTCAAGGTAGCTTACAAAAAAAAAAAAAAGGTACAGTGGTGCCCCGCAAGATGAATGCCTCGCAAGACGGAAAACCCGCTAGACGAAAGGGTTTTCTGTTTTTCGATGCGCTTCGCAGGACGAATTTCCCTATGGGCTTGCTTCGCAAGACGAAAATGTCTTGCGAGTCTTGAGATTTTTTTCACTTTCCCCCCTTTTTCTAAGCCGCTAAGCCGCTAATAGCCTTTTAGCAGCTAAGCCGCTAAGCCTTTAATAGCCGCTAAACCAGTAATAGCGCTAATCCGCTAATAGGGTTGCTTCGCAAGACGAAAAAACCGCTAGACGAAGAGACTCGCGGAACGGATTAATTTCGTCTTGCGAGGCACCACTGTATTAATAAAGCGATATCCCTGCCCCACTTGCAAACTGATTTTAAGGATCAATGTTTCCTACTGCAAAAATAGGCAGAAACATGTAATACTGTAGTAGGAAACGCTTAATTGGCACTAGGGCTGAACCATGCCTGGTTTTCAACATTGTGATATACCAATATAACACGATGTCTGAAATAAGGATGTAACTATGTAGAAGTTAACGGGGTAATGTCCTGGAAACTGCTATTACTAAGGGCAGTGATGGCCAAACTTGGCCCCCCAGCTGTTTTGGGACTACAACTCCCATCACACCTAGCTAACAGGACCAGTGGTCAGTGATGATGGGAATTGTAGTCCCAAAACAGCTGGAGGGCCAAGTTTGGCCACCACTGACTTAGGGGTATAAAATGGATACATGTTTACTTACCTTTAACATATTTTTACAACTGTTATTTTATGGTACAGAGTAACAGGGGCAGAAGGCACCGTGATAACTGGCTTCACAGTTTTCCCCACATCACAATTTTTTACATAGCACACATACACATTGGGATTCGCGATATATCGCCATGTTGCATATTATAAAAGTGTTACCACAATGTGAACTTCAAACTGATTTTTGACAATGTATCAATACATTGCCCAGCTCTAATTGGCACAAGAGTATATAGTCATGCATATATTACATGAAAGCTGACAAACTAAAATTGAAGACAACGTGAAGATTATTAGATCTAGAAATTCCTGCAAAGTAAATGAGGTACCCACACTTGATTGGCTTTTGTTTAGCCCTACAGGATCTGATGCATAATTTTGGTATGCTCCAGAAGCTGCCATTACTCTTGGATTCTCAGGCAGAAAATCATGTGGAAATATAGCAGTTATATATTATGTGCTAAATAAACAATGCCTGGAAAGCAGAGGTGTACACCATCATCCATGCCCTTGACTGAAAAGCCTAGTGTATATTTGCTCAAAAAGGCAAGAAATTATGGAAACAGTCACAGCCATGCATGCTATGAAGTGTATGTGTTCCAGCTGCTGACTACTGCTAACTACTCTCCCTTTGCTCTCCACAAGTAGCTCCAGCATAGATACAGGACCATCCTGCATACTGTTCTATGCCAACCAAAAGGGAGGCCCACCCCGTAACCAGTTCCCCCTTAAAGTAGATTTAGCATAAGGTAAGTGCATCAGAAATGCTTACCATTAGAAAAGGTTTTAAATTTTTAAAAAATAAAATAAAGAATAATATAAAGCTACACTGGGACAGACTGGCAATGGCAAACAGAACATATGAAAATTGCAAAGGGATGGCAATATCCAATTGCAGGGTTGCGTGCTGAAAGTGATTCAAAAGAACTACTAGACAAATACAATCAATTATGACATCAACTGAAGTAATATTACCTTTCTTGCGAAAGAGTGCATTTAGGTAATTCTCTGCTTGGCACTCAATTTTATCAGTGTTGGACTGGCCCTGAGATGATAGTTCCTCTGTAGGTGTTGACTGCAAAGAACCAATAATTGTCGTATGATCCTAAAAGGTATAAAGAACACTTCTAAATATGGGTAAATTATGGCTCTAAAAGTTTGCAAATAGTGACTAAGATTAAGAAGGCTTTCCATTTTAAAAATATGCAATCATCAGATCTTTTATACTGTAAAATAATTTGAATTCAAATAAGATTTTAATAAATATATTAGAAACCATCTCTTTCAACAATTTATAGCACACATACTTACACTGACTGTGTCTTTATGTAAATTACAAAAGGAACATTTTTCATCCATAGACCAGTCAGCCACTTCTTCTGGTTCACAGTCTAGAGGGGGAAATGAAAAGAAAATTATAAAAATAAAGTGTTAAAGAAACTTATAATTGACTACTACCAAAGGCAATTATCTGTTTAACTATTCTTAAGAAGAGATACTTTTGCAATGAACTGTCACCATGAGAAGATTGCATATGTACATAGCACATTGTTTTCAAAAAGATATACTGTATTAGTTTGGAGCCCAAGCAGAATAGTGACTTTTTCTGTTTATTTCAATGGAGCCTAAGTGCAAGTAACTATGACAAAACTTAAATTCCAGATTTCAGTGGGAACTAAGAATGACTAAGGCTGCAATCCCAAACCCCAGGATGCCCTCATGCTACCTCTACCTCTGCTATCTCTACCTAACTTGGGAGTATGCCCCATGAAACTTATTTTTGAATAAACATGCATAGGATTCCAATATAACACTTTCTATTGAACCCACTGAGAGGTATTCTCCCCTCTAATATTGGATATGTGAAACACAAGTTACAGTGGTACCTCTAGTTACGAGATTAAATTGTTTCAGAGGTCCATTCTTAACCTGAAACTGTTATTAACTAGAGGCGTGCTTTCGCTAATGGGTCCTCTTGCGGCCGCCAGCACACGATTTCTCATCCTGGGGCAAAGTTCTCAACTCAAGGTAACTCTTCCAGGTTAGCGGAGTTTGTACCCTGAAGCGTTTGTAACTTGAGGTACCACTGTATTTGCTTTAAGGAACTTTGAATATTTCTCCAGACTTCATTCAGATTGGGTTGTGTTTGTTTACAAAATTTAACACACCAGCATCAAGACTAAGAGTCTAGCACCAGCTAATTCTGTTTCTAACACTAGGATTTTTTCTAGTACCTAGAAGGCAGAGTAGTACTCTGTTAAGGAGGTGATGAAAATGCCATTGTCAGCTCCTGCTTAGTCAACCAACTGGGGGAATACAAGGGGCATGACAGCATAAGCAAGATAGCAGCAGATGCTGGTAGGGCAATGCAGTTGAGTTGCTACTAGAGAAAATGTTGGCTGTTTAAAGATCAAAACAAATGAACACAGCACTGTGTATTTTCTTGGCTGGAATCTGCACTCCAATAAATAAAACAACACTTTCTAGCACCTATTAATCTATAGAAATCCCAAAGGGACTAAATTCAACAGGTATATATGGTGGAAAAGCACCAAACTAGAAAATCCCATACTGTATCTATCTTAGGACGGGCAACTTAATTATAGAAAATAATTGTGTCACCATAAATTAGTTCCAACTGAACTGTACAATATACCATACCTTACTGTATTTAGTCAGTAGCAGGAGAAAACTCATAATAACACTAAATTTTATCATGTCAAATCTCTCCATATAAAATCATCCTGATTTTATGAAACCTAAACATTTTGATACCTCAGTTATCTCTTAAGTATTTTTAACTGAAATAAATGGGGCTCTAAAATGTTTAGATGGCGGGATTGTATATCTTGCGAGGTTAGTACGTAAAGTAAAATGTATGTTCTCTTAAGCAAGTACTGTATTTACAGATTTTTTTCTTTTTATATTATTTGTTACATTTATATTTATTTATTTAAAACATTTATATACTGCCTTTCAATGCAGTTTACAAAGACTAAAAACAACACAAAGAACAATAAACTATTCAGCATATAGACAACAATTTAAAAAAATAAACAGCAGGTAAAAGTGCAATAAATTGAGAGTTTAAAATGTGGGCAAATGAGGGTTGCTATTCAAGATAGTAAAAATGTTTTAAATGATTGGGTCATCAATCTAATTTCTGCCTGGTGCCTAAAAGAAAACAAAGTTGGCATCACCAGGACAGCATTTCAAAGATGCAAGCCATTCCCTTTGTAAAATGGGTATTGACAGATGACCACTGTGTACTGGCCAATTAATATCTTCCTTTCCTTCAAGAAGAATGCCAGTGCAACTATATGAAAGTAATAATAATGCTTAGCATTTATAATGCTTTTTATGAGTGTTGAGTTCCACAAACATCAGGTATGGTGAACCAATGAGTCCTGCATTTTGCTGAACTACAACTCCTACCAGCCTTAGCCGGCATGGTCATAATGGGATAATGAGGACTGTAGTTCAGCATCCTCTGGAGCAGGAGGGGGGAAGGCATGTTTGCCATCCTCATATACATTATCTCAGAAAACCTTTCCAATCTTCTAAGTTAGGTCACTATTATGTTCTTCATATTGCTGTTCAAGATGAAGGTAAGTGGAGGTACTGTCTTGACTTCACAGCCAAGATGTGAAAATGCTATCAATATTTAAATTAAACAAACAACTTACAAAATGAAAGGAAACTTTAAATGGCTTTAGTCCAGTCTTTGGTGAAATGCCTCACTAATTTTCCTTTATTGTTCCTACCATTGTGTTTTCCAACAGGAGCGGATGCTCAGGAGTAATACAGCATCTTGGACCATTTCCTAATTCCAAAAATCACTATGTTTCAAGAGGAATGTCAGCTGTAGCGGCATGAAAATCCCCTACAACTTGAAACCAGCTTGATTTGTCTGTCTCCGCAGGTGGCGTATTTAGGTAGGTAACCATATCTACAGAGGAGGGGAAGTCCACTAAGCCTAAACCCTACCAAGTAGCTTTGCAGCCATGACAAAAGAACCATAACAAGTTATTCCACCTTCGGATCACTGTCATCCCAATCAACACAAAACATGAAAGCAAGACTGTGTCCAGACACTTGAGTGGTGACAGATATTAACAGACAGACTCATAGCTGTCATGGAGATCATGAAATGCTATCATGACAAGTACCGGTAGATCTCAGCATGGATGAAATCCATGGGAAACTGAGACCACCCAGCTAACTTAGGTAGGAAGACTGTTGGACTGCAGATTGGGTGATACATCCACCAGAAGCCCAGTTCTGTCTCTAACACTGACCCTTAAGAACATTCAAAATGATTGCCAGAGAACTTTTAAATGGTGAAATTGCAACAGACAACACTACCAGCATTCTCCACTACCCGTCTTCTAGGTTTAATAGGTTTAATATACTGCAACACAGAAAAATCCAGTGGATAAAGCTGACTTTTAACTCAGCATCATCTGACCAGGCTTCTGTGATAAAACACTAGCTAAGTATGTTAATCAAGAATGAAATCTATTAATGGACCTGAATTGAGAAACAGAAGCTTAAAAACAAAAGGGATGCTGCTACGACAATGAGATGGGGAAGGGAAGATAACCCTCAAATGTCTACCAGCATTCTGCCCATAAGCCTATCTCTCTGCCCCAGCCCTACCTGCTCCTGCCTTGGAATATGCATACCAAGGCCACTTCTATTCCTCTCTGCCCTGTCCAGACAACTCATTTCCAAGCAGTTCCCAATCACAGTAGAGAAAAACCAACAAATCCCAACACAGAGAACAAGTAGACTGATGTACAAGGCACCCAAAAAATAGTCTTCCTGACTTCTTTGAAGTCTCTTGTTATTTTCCCTGCTAACATCTCTTTTCATGGCAGAAGCGATAGCGTTGAAGCCATAAACATGGGAAAAGCTTTACTGCTTGATTCTGCTGACTCTGGAATCTAGTCCTCAGCCACTGCACCAACTCTCTTTTAAAAAGTTTTTTTTTTTAATTAAACAATAATTTATTGAAAGAAATATATTTTTACAAATATACATTTGCACAGGATTCAGAAAAGTGAGACTTTATTCAGTTATGATAATAATGGTGTAAAATCATTACTGTTATCATATTTAATTAGTTCAAAAATAATCTTAGCAGTACACCGATTCCTGTTATTCCTTTCATTAGGTAATACCCCAAAAAGAAACTAACAGTGTCAATATTCTAAAGTGAACAAAATATCAGGAACACTTATGTTAAATCAAGGACGTTAAACTAATCTTAAATCAAGGTTAAAAGAAATGGAAAAGCACTTGTAGAGAACAGAACAAAGACAACAAACACTAAAATTCCCCAGCACAATTCCTTATTTTTCAAAAACATGCTTCAAATTGTCACATTATTTAAAGGTAACCTTTAAGCACTTCAAACTTTTTTTTACCTTCAAATAAACTGAGGTCTCTTCGTAGCCTTGGTCCATAAAGCCCTTCTAAAATACTTTCAAAACCTACCAAAAAGAAAAATTGAAACATTTTACAATTACATCAAAAAGTTATTTACACAAATGTAGCAGTGGGAAAAGTATATCATTGCATTTGGGGACAAGACACTAAATGGAGTTTCTTCTCAGTGATAATTGGCTGGTGGGTATCTTCTTTTTCCCTTCCAATGTCTTCTTCCAAGTGGTATTTTTTGGGGGAGTGGAGTTATTGATAGAATGGCACCATCCACGTTATTGATAACCTTGTACATAATCTCCCCCAGCCCACAAATGCATCTCGGAATAGAGCATTTGGGGGGGGGGGGAGAGATCACAGCTTGTGTGAGAACTCCAGCGAATTGCACCCCCTTAAAACTGTGTGTCCCAGCCCGCCAAATCTCTGAAATCCCTTCACACAATGTTGTGGCTTGTTCCCAAGATATCTGCTAGATATTTTGGAAAAAGGTTTGTCTGTCCATTTGTTTGTTCAATATACGTTTAGATACCTGTGTAGGTAACATTGCCATACTTGGCAGAGGGTTTCTAAGGTAGGGTCAGTGCTGTTTGTCGAAGTCTGGATCTCACAGAAACTTGTCTTTGCCCATTATTTGACATAGTTTTGCTTGAATCTTGAGATATCATCACCAAACTCAGTCCTTGTACTCCAGTGGTGGGGATGGAAGACTTCATCACCACCAAGATGCTATTCAGATGTTTGACTAATTTTTAATCAAGATGGTGGACTGAAACATGCTTTTGGAATAACTAGACATAATTTTTGGCATGATGGCTCCAAACTCACAAATTATACTATCCATTTAAAATTCACAGTATTTGTTGGTTTCTAAAAATATCCAGGCACTACTGGGCACTTCCTAATAGATAGTACTGCTAGGATTAACTTATTACATGGATTGTTGGTTAATATGAGGCTATCTTTATTGTTCAGTTCAATATTTACAAAGTTTATTTAAAAATTAAAAGAGTTACTGTCTATATTTCTCTGAAGTAAAATTACAACCCAATCCTGTCTTACTACAGTACTACATTATCTCTCTTTTGTGTAATTTATATTTTACATTTTAATACTCTTAAGAATTCACAACCAGTTTGGTTTAATATTATGTGTTAAGTAGACATCTGTATTATTATTTATTTGATAATGTTTGGCAAAGTTTGCAAGATCAAAGTTAGTATGACAGCTACGATTTATATACAGAGTGGAATGAATTTTGCCTCCTCCTTTCTTGTTCTTCCCTCAAATGATAGTTAACTTGTGGACACACCAAGGCTATGCTGTTACTCATTCCACCTCTAAGATTTAAGTATTTTGGAACACGGTTTAATAGCTGATTTGGGCAAGGTACGAAACTGGATGAGGAAGATCCTCTGTTACACAAATAGCTTCTTCTCCAGCTCTGTGATTGTTGCCATATACAGTAAGTTTAAAACACAACTGTCACTGGCTTGGTATATAAGTGAAAGGCCAGTAGCTACCTTCCTATTTTACATGTGCAGAATGTGCAAAGCAGGGCTTCCCCAAACCTGGGTCTCCAGCTATTTTTGGACTACAATTATCATCCTTGACCACTGCTCCTGCTAGCTAGGGATAATGGGTGTTATAGTCCAAAAACAGCTGGAGATCCAAGTTTGTGAAACCCTGGTGTATAGCATATATTTACGCTGCACATACGTTTTGGATCACCAAACATTACCTATATTGCATATGCTAAAAGCCTAATGAATGGAGGAATCCAGAGGCCCCTTCTGATATACCTTTGCTACTATGTATGGTCATAACACATTGTAAAGGTAGTTTTATTTACAAACTACTGTTATGATAACCTAGCCTCTTGAGACAGCCATCATTTGCATGGTTTATAAAGACAACAGGAAGCCAAATCAAAGAAGTGTACAGCTTGCCCAAAATGGAGGCAATCTAGAAGGCAGCATTAACCACACCAGGAAAGGAAAATATAAATGTCATTCAGTAGTCAAATACCATTCCTCTATTTTGCTTCTTGGAGCCCAGAGCTGAGCGCACAAACTACCCAGAAGGAACACATGTCCCACACCAGAGATACTGCCCCTTCCCATACTAGAATGATATATGCAAGACAGTAAACATTGAAGAAGTAGCCAAAATTTCAAAAGCTCCAATTTCCATTCATATGCTGCTTGTTGCAGAGAACACAACTATAACTTTGTTTGAAAGTAGACCTAGACTGAAAACAGTTTAAAGGGCAAGTCTTTTGGCACACAACTGCTTACAGTTTTATTATATACATACAGTAAATATTTTAAAACAGAAAGCATCTTTAACATTTGCATAGTTTTACTAACCTTCCCTCCTAGCTAGCTACCTATAGAAAAGAGGCATTTTGGGATACATGATGGTAAACTAACAGAAACTTACTCAATAAATTCATGACCAGTTTCAATAAATCTGGTCTTTGATGGTGTCACACATCCTCTGAAGGTTTGCAGCTTAAGTTGGGGACATTACTGGATGCTGCAAACCTGAGTAGCAGGTGGCAGCAATGGCCAGGATCATTTTTTGTTACCAGTTTGGAATGAATTGGGGGCAGGGGGACTTGTGGATCTTCAGATGTTGCTAGACTACAACTCCCATCATTCCTGACCACTGGCCATGCCAACTGCACACAGTCCGAAATTACTGGTCACTTTTTGTTTTTTTTGCAACTTAAGATCACCATCTAATGACCAAGTTAAGAATTGCAGTCACCTCATTTGCCCATGAAAGTAATCTCCACTGCAGGATAGCAAGGGCAGCTGTTAACAACTATTGTTGATATGCTAGCCTAGCATGGGTAGGCAAACTAAGGCCCGTGTTTTTACATGAGTAGAATGTGTCCTTTTATTTAAAATGCATCTCTGGGTTATTTGTGGGGCATAGGAATTCGTTCATTTCCCATCCCACCCCCAAAATATAGTCCGGCTCCCCACAAAGTCTGAGGGACAGTGGACCGACCCCCTGCTGAAAAAGTCTGCTGACCCCTGTGCTAGAGACACTCCATTGTGGAACTGTTTGCATAAGTAAACAATCCACCTGTGAAGCTATTTCATGTGTTTAAATGGATTACTTATCTCTTGTGGGTAGGAGGGAAGCTTTGAATCCAACTTTACAGGAGACAAAGCAAACTGCCTGGGTTGCTCCCAGCCTCCTGAGGATTCCAAAAGCTGTCTGTTGTTAATGAGGCACACATTTTTCAGTTTGCTTTCTGTTCTTTGCTCCCAGGTAGGAAAGGCATGATTTGGTCTGTCTCCCCTTCTTTTTTCTCCTCCAGGTGGTCATCTTCCCCCACCCCCTTATTTTAGAAGGGGTTTGTATGGACATTCTTTAAGCAAAATGAGCTTTGCTTGGGGGGGGGGGGAATCAAGGAAGAATGGGAGGTTGCTTTGTTGTTATTTTAGCGACAAGTTTATTTCCTCCATTTGTGGGCATTCCTTTCTGGTTTACATAATGAGGCACTGGAAGGATGCTTTGGAGATGTTTGGGACCTTCTCTCTTCCCCCAACCCCCAATGTTTCGAAGGAATACCATGGAATAATATTTAGGATGAATATTATGGCATTTTAAAAACTCATTTAAACCCACTTTGTAAGTCTGCCACCTCGTTGTTTTATTGTAATGAATCTCATAATATTGGACTCACATTGGCTGGGACAAGAAAACACTCTTGAGAGGACATGGCAAGCTTTAAGGGAGGAGGAGGGGATGGTGCTAACATGAATCTTTTAGTGAGATTCTCAAATGCTGTATATTAAAAGGAAGGCCTGCAAAATGCATTAACATTTACATATTTGGTTTGCCATGGTAAATGTGGCATCCCAGGTACCCAGAACCTTTCATGTAACAGGATTCTGAAGGCTCAGCTGTACAGGGAGTCCTGCAAAAAAAAATTTTCTTGCAAGTGGAGAGTTACTGCTCAAAAACAGTAAATTAGGTTGCAACCCCAATCCCATTTGCCTTGATATATTTCAGTAGGATCTATTTCTGTGTTAGGGTTATGGTTAGGGTTGTGTTGTTAGGCCTGTTCTTCTAATAAGTTTGATATACTGTTAGAGACATATTTAACTGTGATGCGGTACTTGCTGAAGCTGCAACATAACATATTGAGTTAAGACAGACGGACACCCCCCCACCCCCATATTTATATACTTATGGCTGACAACTATTGCTGAGGCTGAGCCCCATTTATGTTTGTGGTATCCAATTAAGAGCTGCTCTTAAAAATATGATAATAGCAAACTGTCACTGATGTAAATTGTGTATTAGTTCATGTGTTTCAAAAAAATAAACAGAAAGTGTTGCTGCATTTGGGGGGGGGTGTGACTAGCCATTTTGGTTTTGTGCCTGTAACCCAGGTTCTGGGATCCTTTGGCTCCTAGCTTTTCCATCTCTGTTTCTAACACTAACTGCAGATGATGGGAGGAGCCCAAAAATGTCTGGAAGGACACAGACTTTTCATTACTGAAATAAAGCAGCAGGTTTCAAAATGAATATTGATTTTTGTTCTGTCTCACATTTTTCAAACGTATCATTCAGTGCTGAACTGGATTTTTAACAAACCAGAGGGCAGAAGGGGCTGGTGGCAGAAAGCAGGGGCCAACATCACATAATGATCTTCTTGGCCAAATCAAACTCTAAACCACTGTTTCTCAAGCTTGGGTACCTAACTGTTATTGGACTACAACTCCCATCATCCCTAACTAGCAAGGCCAGTGGTCAGGGATGATGGGAGTTATAGTCCAACAGCAGTCAGGGACCAAGTTTGAGAAACACTGCTCTAAACCAAAGTCTCTGTGATCCTAGTTAGACACACTGTGCACTCAACATTGCCACTGATGAATGCTTATGTTCCTGTGTAAAGATGGCTCCAGCTTTATCAGTGAGACAGTAGTAGATCTGCCTTGGACTGTTACAGGATTTGCAGTTCTCATGCCTTTGCTGCCCTCCCACTCTTGCTAACAAATTTTACCATTAAAGAGTTTTTAAAAAGGTATGCTATTTCGTTCTTTGAATATTTAACCATATTTGACCAAGATCAAATACTAAGCAATCAATTGACCATATTTGACAATTGTGCCAACTCTAACTCACTTCTAATAATACTTTATAAGATCATAAAGTGTTCACATGCACTCCACCTTTATTTGCCAACTTCTAGTCCCCAATGAAAGATGTAGAAGACAAAGAAAGAAAGAATACAGAGTGGTGACTTCAAATGTAGTTTTATTTTTGAGACGGTGTGGAAGAGATATTTGGACTTCTTTTTTTTTAAAGAGTTATACTAATGGAGGAAGTGCCAAAGAACTTTTAAAGCTTATTGTGCCATAAAGTCATATTCTGTGGAGTCAGTGATCTAAACATCAACGTGGCTCCATCACATCTTTCAGTTTCTGAGAATACCTCATCACAGAAATAATAATGCTATATAGTATGGAGAAGAAAATTAAGGTAACATTGTACATCAACTTAGTTATGCACCTAATACCTAATGTTCAGCACAGTATCTTGTTTTGAGTTCATGGTGGCGCTAGAGTAACACTAGAAGGTGTAAAGGCTTGTTTTAAGATACTCAAATGCCCTCACCACCAAATTCAAGAAAAGTTTAAATACAGAGTTTTCTTTTCTGGTTCCCCCAAACTTAAAAGTCATAAAAGTACTTTCAAATATTAAAAGAATATAGAACATCTTCAGGTCTAAGAATGTAATCTGGAAATCTGTCACGTAGATTTCTTACGGCTGTAAAACAATGGCAAGGTCACACACGGTCTCAGATTTCTCCTTCTCTGCTACAGATTTCTCCATCTTCTGCATATTATGAAAGAAACTTGCCAATGTATTGGAAATACACCACACATACATTTCCAAGACATAAAGTTCATGAAGATATAAATCTGAAGTTGTGACTCCTCTGTATATTACATACACATATGGAAAAATGTTGAGCTATGGTTACTGTTTCAACGTGTAGCGTTAATCTGAATCAGTACATTTTTGCACAGATTACAGTATTGGCTATGGCCTATGGCAGGAGACAGAAAAGGTAAGCAGGAAGCAGATAAACACATTCCAGTCTGCTAACCATGGTATAGAAATTGGGTACCCATGATCTATGAACAGGGTGATTATGATACTATAAGAAAACTCTTATAATGTATGGCTGAATAACCAATAAATAACCTAAAGTATTATATCTCAGTTCTGTGACATGTTAATTATAGGGACATTCATTTTCTAATCTGTTTGACTTGGAAAACAAGTAGCATGAGTTAATAATAGTGAATTTTAAAAATCTTCTGATATCTGAAGCATCTCTTCAAGATATTCCATCTTAAAATGCAATCTTAATTTTATATAACAAACATGTTAAAATCTGCACCTGTACGGTTGTATTCAGTGTGAACCTCTGCAAACTGCATGTTCCTACAGGTGGGATGTGATTTTAATCCATTCTTTCTGCTCTCTATGCACCATGAAAAGTCTGTTCTGGATAGCAGAACCCTTTGAATAAATTGGAAGGTGGTGCTGGGGGTAAACAATATTTCCTCCTGCTGCTCTTGTAGCAAGAAGCCCCTACGTACTCCATCACATCTGAGAATGGGAAAAAAATATTCCATTGATGGAAATCATCCATAGGAGTACTGTCTGCAGTGTCCTATGCTGCGGAGCACTATTCCAGCAAAGATTTGGCAGGCATCTTTATTTTTTACTTTCAGGTGTCTCAAATACTTTTTTAATGCTGCAGTCCTTTGCAGCAGTTTAATTTGAATTAGGTAGCCACCTGTATGATCATCTGTAATGACACAAGATGTCCACCAGCAGGACAGCACACCAAATGGCAATCAGACCAGAAGAGGGATGAAGCACAACCAATGAACAACCAACTCTCAAAACGGATCTGAATGGTAAGGATGACAAAACTCTAACACTCCACTGCTTAGGAAGAGCTACCTGCTCCAATGCTCAGGGAAATGTGTAAGTTTTATGTGCAGAAAACTTGAGGCAGAGAGATATCAGCTGCAAGCCCAATTTAGGAATAGTGAGCCAATGATTCTCAAGCTATGGAACATATTACTATTAAGAATATAATAACAACCTGCTGGATCAGGCCAGTGCTCCATCTGTTCAGCATCCTGTTTCCCACAATGGCCACACAGACTGATGGAGTCCCACAAGCAGGCCCCAAGAACAAGAACACTCTCCCCTCCTGCTGCTTCCAGCAACTTGTATTTAGAAGCATACTGTCTCTGACAGTGGAGGCAGAGCATAGACCAGGGTGGTCCAACCTGCAGCCCACGGTCCACATGTGGCTCACGAAGTCTTTTTTGACAGCCCTCAGCAACATCCAAGAAAAGAACTTAAAGCCTTGAAAAAGGGTCATGCACTGTTAACGAAAGTGGATACATCTGTTTGTGTATTAAATCTGTTTACAGAGCCTAGGGCTTGCCGATCAGAAGGTCTGTGGTTTGAATCCCCGTGACAGGGTGAGCTCCCATTGTTCAGTCCCAGCTCTTGCCAAACTAGCAGTTCGAAAGCATGTCAAAATGCAAGTAGATAAATAGGTACCGCTCCGGCAGGAAGGTAAACGGCGTTTCCGTTTGCTGCTCTATTTCGCCAGAAGCGGCTTAGTCATGACCCACATGACCCGGAAGCTGTCTGCGGACAAACACCGGCTCTCTCAGCCTATAGAGCGAGAGGAGTGCACAACCCCAGAGTCATCCATGACTGGACCTAACAGTCAGGGGTACCTTTACTGTGTACCGGTATATTAAATAATTTTATTATATTGCGAACACTTTAATTTATGATATGGAAATTTAATTCAGTGTGTGGCTCACAGGCTCAGTGTCAAAATATTCTTGCAACCTACTGGGCATGAAAAGTTGGACTGCCCTGGAATAGCCAATAAAGTGAGAAGCTATTGATAGCCCTGCAGGATATGGAATACCTGAAAGGGGCAGCAGCAGCAAAGACAAGCGCCTATGTGCGTCTCCACATATGAAAATATTTACACATTCACATGTAGAAGAAAGTATGGTATGGAGGAGCGGAAAGGGGTGAAAGAGCTACAGTAAGTACAGAGGTGTGGCCCCAAAATCAGAAGGGTTGAGTAACTAGAATAAGCCAAGCCAAATTTGTGGATGCGTGTCAAACATGAAATGAACAGTTTAAAGTATTATTATAGCCTCCCTTTTCTATAGTCTTTCTCTGGACTCCATAAACGGGGGGTTGTCTGTACATGATTTTAAGTTAATGTAATTTAGTGTCTAGGCTGCAGAATGTAGTCTCCCCCTTTCACACATACACCGCTATAGCCTGGATTCAATATATAGTGGTACCTCTGGATACGCGCACCTCTGGTTGTGTATCCTTCAGGATGCGAACACAGCAAACCCGGAAGTATTTTTCCAGGTTTCACCATGCACACATGTGCAGAAGCAGCACCTCCGGTTGCGAATTCCTTGGGATCCGACTGGAGCTCTAGAATGGATCCCGTGCGCAACCGGAGGTACCACTGTATTTCAGAGAACACTGAATCCTAAATATGTTACCTAAGTAAAATCAGCAGCTGAAATCCTGCTCAAGACATCAGACTCATTAGATGCATTGGTAGGATCTTCCCACTAATGGTTTCATGGGCTGGACTCCCTACTCAGCCCCCAATACATAACAAACGTAAATCCAAGTTCATGGAAGACATCATGATGCCTTCTCATGTCTGTCACTCTATCTGACTGGTTTTCCAATTCCATATACCGTATTTTTCGCCCTATAGGACGCACTTTTTCCCCTCCAAAAATGAAGGGGAAATGTGTGTGCGTCCTATGGGGCGAATGCAGGCTTTCGCTGAAGCATGGAGAGCGAGAGGGGTCGGTGCGCACTGACCCCTCTCGCTCTCCAGGCTTCAGGAAGCTCTGCGCAACCCTCGGGAGACCCGCCCCGCTCCGGATGGCCGCGCAGAGCTGCCTGCAGTCCCGGGATCAGCGCAGCTCTGCGCGGCCACCGGGAGCCGGGCGCGAAGTCCCGCCCCGCTCCGGATGGCCGCGCAGAGCTGCCTGCAGTCCCAGGATCAGCGCACTTCTCCCCATCGCCAGCCCCACAAGCTCGGGGGGACAGCGGGGAGGCAGAGCGCACCTTCCCGCTGTTCCCCGACCTAGTTCTTACAGCCCCGCACCTGGGGGGGAAATAAAAAAAAATTTCTTTATTTCCCCCCCAAAAAAACTAGGTGCGTCCTATGGGCCGGAGCGTCCTATGGAGCGCAAAATACGGTAGTATTTTATTGACAGACATGCCAGTATTCTTTTTGCTAGCACCTAGTTAATCTTTTATAGGTCTACAGGTCCTGGTGTGTCTGTAGTGAAGATGCTGGACACGGTCACTCAGAAGAGTGACAGAACACAGCAGAAGGGTTGAGGCTTAGATTAGCAAGGAACACCAAAAGAACAAGAGCCTTTATTTGTTTATAGAAGACATACAGCACCCCAAAATGTTTGAGCAAAACTCAGAGCTCATCTAGTTTATTATGGTACCTATACATAGTCAGGAAATAATGAAAACAGATCAAAGGTCAACTTTTGGACAAGGCGCATGCGCACTCTGACCTACACATCCTCTAAGCCAGCGGTCCCCAAACGTCAGGGGATCTCTGTAACTCACCCAGGGGGTGCGTGGCACCATTCACATAACAAAAATGACCATAGAGTAGGCCTAGGCGATATATCAATATATAACCCAGGATCAGTATGGAGGAGAGACCACGATGACAGCTTCACTCAGTGGTATATCGCTGGTGGAACAGTCACCGCTCAAGTCCCTCTGCCTCCAGCACCCAGCGTGCTGAGGGAGAAACAAACTAGCCAGGATCTGGAGGCAGAGGGACCCAAGCAGTGGCACTTTCACCAGCTATATACCGCTGGTGAAACCGCCATCGCACTCTGCCCTAGGCAGAGGGAGAAACAAGCTGAACTGGCGAATTGCCGATAAAGTTTGTTCTTCCCTCCACGTCCTTAAACTGCTTGGCTGAGGAGCGTGCTGCTGCCCTCCCCTCAGCAAAGCAGTTTATGGAAACCCTGACCCGCCACCGGTTTGCAGGAGCCAGAGGCGGATGGGGGCTCTGTTAAAATGTTCCCCCTCCTCAGCTGAGAGTCCCGCCTCCGCTCCTGCTTGCACAAGAGTAGGAGTGGGATCAGGGCTGCTTAGCTGGGAAACATGAAGCCTGTCCTTCCCAGCTGAGAGAGCCCTGATCCCACTCCTTGCAGACTTCACCCGGGAGGGTGGGCTGTGTCTTTCCTCCTGGGGTGAAAGAAAGAGGCAGCACGCCCGCACGGGTAAAGGCTAAGGTAGTTAAACACATGGAGCCTGCCTAAGGAGCCCAGAGTCCCTTGCCGGTCACGCACAAGTATTGGCCACAACCCGCAAGGCGCAGCTCTCCCATGGTGAAAGCTGCGGCAGTTTCACCCGGCACCCCGCCGGCTGGGGCCAATGCAGTTTTTTCCAAAATCACAGTTTAACCAACATCGCTCAGCCCTACCACAGAGCTATCAAAATTTTCAGAAGTATTGAGGCCATGGCTTGGCTTTTGAAAAAGGGGGTCAACAGCACTTAGCTAAGTAGGAACCAGTGCTCTAAGCTTAATACACTTATCCAGAACTCTTTCAGTAGCAGGAGTGACTTCAATTTTCTCTCTGGGATCCTTTCAGCGGCCGACTGGACTTGGGACAACGGTACCCGGCAAAGTTAGAAATTTGAATAGGCTGATAGGAAATAAGTGAGATACACCTCAGCAGGAAAGAACAGCACACGGGTGAATTCCAAAGGGGGTGGCAAGCAGAATTTGTTTTTTGGCGGGGGTGGGGAGAGTTGAAATTAACTTGTTCAACATTCCTTAACCAAAACTATAGATTTGGGAATGGAGGAAAATTGAGGGACTTGGGCTGTAATCTATGTACACTTACTTAGAAGCAAGTTCCGCTGAAGTCGGACTTCAACAAGCAAGTGACTTCCTTTTCCCTAGGATTCAGGCACAACAAAAATGGTAAGAAAAGGAGGGGGGAGCAGAATGAGAGGAGTAAGTAGGTAGAAAAACCTAGAGCAGGCAAGCTGGAAAGGAGAGAAGATCAAGAAGTGAAGAGCTTCTACCTACACACTTTTAATACATTCTCAATGGTTTAATTACTATTTTGCAAAGATCCTTCAGTTTCTGCAGAATTAATTTTAATTTTTAAGTATTATTAATCAATTTAGGTTCCAAATAAACAAAGGATATTTATGCCAGGTAAACTGTGAAAGATAGCAAAGATAATATTAAGGGTATAAAATGTTGTTACATTCTCAACCAAGAGGATGACAAATATCCAGCCTTGCTGCAAATATAATGGGGGGGGATGGAAGCTGGGGTACTGTATTTTGTTAAATTAGTTAAAAATAAACTATGATTTAAAATGAATCAGCAGTGTGTTGCCGTATGCTGCTCAAAAATCTCTGCTTCCCTCTTGTCCTGCTCCTGCTGTTGACATGCTGGGGAGAAAACAAGAGACTTTTTTTGCATTATGTGCAAACCAATGCTCATGGTTATCCCCATCCACCTCCAAAAACAAAACCCATGAGCGGCAAGCCTGGCACACTGCCAGATTAGATACCTGAAAATGTTGGCTTTGCAATGTGAAACTCATTTTCCATATCCAATTTCAGAGGTAAATACAGTAAGAAACACTCCAAATCTCCCAGATCTTCACATTCCTCAAGCGCTTTACCAGCAAACCACACCAGTGAATGAATTCCAAAACACAGCCCAAGACTTCTTTTCCTTACAGGAATAGTTTGATATACCTGACAGTTATCTCACAATTAAAACAAAACAGAACAGTCTTTAACAAAATTACTGTTACTTGAAATAGAATACTATAGCCGAGTACAACAAATCAATAAAAGCAGACAAAATACAGATTTTGATAAGAGTGGAGTAGCACCTATTACAAGACACCAAATATGACAAATTTTATTTTTTTACTTTATTTTTGTCTTTTCTTTTAATATTACACTTTCAGCTTTCTGACAGAATTGCATGGCTTGAAAAATAAATAAAAAAGCCAGTGTTAAAGTGAAGTATTAAGTATCAGAATAGGTGAGCATTCTTCCAAATGCTATCATCCCTGCCCACAAAAGTTTTATCCACTTTCCCCAAGATAAGTGGAATTCAACAACACAGCTTCTATCTATCCCCCCCCCGACCAACCCCCCCCCCAAGCTACTAACATTAAGAAACAGGCAACGTTCAAGAACTTTAAAGCATATATATGCATGTCTGGGAATTAGAAAGCCTACCTGTTCTGGGAGCAGTTGCACTGCCCCAAAGAAGCAGGTATGTAGCTTGTGGGTATTTCTTAATTCCAAACTGTCACTTGAAGACCAGGTGGCTTGGGTAAACAAAAATATCTTTACTCTAGTGCCGATAATGTAGGGGACAGAATTACCTGCCTGGGGAAAGTTCTACACATGGGGCACCACTGCAAAGACGATAATCTATTGAGTCATCTATCTACACACAGTTCTTGTTGGGGGCACCACCATCAAGGCTTCTTTTGCAGATCTCAGAAGCACAGGTTGGCAGGTCAGTGTTTCCCAAACTTGGGTCTCCAGCAGTTTTTGGACTGCAGTTCCCATCATCCCTGACCCCTGGTCCTGCTAGCTAGGCATGATGGGAGTTGTTGTCCAAAAACAACTGGAGAACCAAGTTTGGGAAACAAGAAGGAGGGGTAAACAGGGCTGGCCCCAAGACATTTTGCTGCATAAGGCAAAGGAAACCCCCCTCCCATTATTCTGTATGTATGCTTTTGTTGAGATTCCTGCATTGCAGGGGGTAGGGCTAGTTGATCCTCGGGGTCCCTTTCAATTCTACAAATCTTACTACAGACTCTAAGTATAGAGGCCAATTATAATGGCATTTTCTTTAACACTGGCCATGGGACAGCATCCTCCACTACACTCTGGGACAGTAAACTAGCTTAGGAGATGCAGGGCAGATTGCTTGGCACACATAGCTCTGTCTGTTCCATGCCCCAAGCACCTGCCACCTGAGGAAGCTGTCCCACTCAGCCTAAAGGCTGGAGGTGTGTGATGGGGAATGCAGTTAAAAAAAGGGGGGATACTACATGGTATTGGGACGCGGGTGGCGCTGTGGGTAAAACCTCAGCACCTAGGACCTGCCGATCGCAGCATGGTCGGCGGTTCGAATCCCCACGGTGGGATGCGCTCCCGTCGTTCGGTCCCAGCGCCTGCCAACCTAGCAGTTCGAAAGCACCCCCGGGTGCAAGTAGATAAATAGGGACCGCTTACCAGCGGGAAGGTAAACGGCGTTTCCGTGTGCTGCGCTGGCTCTCCAGATGCAGCTTGTCACGCTGGCCACGTGACCCGGAAGTGTCTGCGGACAGCGCTGGCTCCCGGCCTATAGAGTGAGATGAGTGCACAACCCTAGAGTCTGGCAAGACTGGCCCGTACGGGCAGGGGTACCTTTACCTTTTTTTTACTACATGGTACAGAGAAAACACTCCGGATCAGAGGGAGAGAGGATTTAATTTAGATGAGTTTTTTTTTAAAAAAACCACAAAACCCTGCAGTGAGGCAGAGAAGAGAGAGCGTAATTCTTCATTTGTGGAATATTTACTTCCAGGCTAACAATTTCAAGTTATAATTAAGCAGTCGGAGAAAAGGGTGTTATGACTACTAAGAGCCAGCAAGGGTTTTTCAAAAACATGACATATGAATCTCATTTTTTTTTGACAGAGATACAAGCTTGATGGATCAGGGAATGCTGTGGATGTAGTATATCTTGATTTCAGTAAGGCTTTTGACAAAGTCTACCATGTTATTCTTGCTGAAAAGCTGTATTATTATTATTATTATTTATACCCCACCCATTTGGCTAGGTTTCCCCAGCCACTCTGGGTGGCTTCCAACAAAATATTAAAAATACAATGAAAATAAAAAATCAACCATTAAAAACTTCCCTAAACAGGGCTGCCTTCAGATGTCTTCTAAAAGACAGGAAGTTGCTTATTTACTTGACATCTGATGGGAGGGCGTTCCACAAAAGCAGGTGCCACTACTGAGAAGGCCCTCTGTCTGGTTCCCTGTAACTTCACTTCTCGCAGTGAGGGAACCGCCAGAAGGCCCTCGGCGCTGGACCACAGTGTCTGGGTTGAACAATGGGGGTGGAGACGCTCCTTCAGGCATACTGGGCCGAGGCTGTTTAGGGCTTTAAAGGTCAGCACCAACACTTTGAATTGTGCTCAGAAACATACTGGGAGCCAATGTAGGTCTTTCAGGATTGGTGTTATGCGGTCTCAGCGGCCACTCCTAATCACCAGTCTAGCTGCCACATTCTGGATTAGTTGTAGTTTCCAGGTCACCTTCAAAGGTAGCCCCACGTAGAGCGCATTGCACTAGTCCAAGCAGGAGATAACTAAAATGTGGACTGGACAAGATAACTGTGAGGTGGATTCGTAGCAGGTTGACTGACCAAACCCAGAGTTCTCACTACTGGTTTCTCATCATTCTAGAAATAAGTGACACGTTGGGTGCCACAGGGTTCCCTTCCAGGCCCATAATGACTTGGATGAAGGAATTGAGGGGATACTCATCAAATTTCAAATGACACCAAACTGGGAGGGGTAGTCAATGCTACAAAATATAGAAACAGGATTCAAGACAACCTTAACAGACTGGAAAACTGGGCCAGAACTAAGAAAATGAATGTCAATAGGGACAAATTTAAGGTTCTGCATTTTAGCAGGAATAATCAGCTGCACAAATATAAGATGGAGGACAAGTGGCTTGCCAGACCTAAATGTGAAAAGAATCTAGGGGGCCTTAGTAGACCAGAAGCTTAACACGAGTCAACAACAACAACAACAAAAGCCAATGTTATTCTAGGCAGACTGGATAAAAATCAACGATTTTTAAAAATAAATTTAAAAATCATTTTTTAAAATTTAAATTGGATATTTAAAATGCTTTTGGAGAAAAAATCTTTCTAAAGATAGTTTCTATTTAAGTTACATTACAGTCCAAAGGCTATTCATCAGGAAATAAGGATCTGTTTTCATGTGTGCTAAAACGTGGGTGGCGTTGTGGTCTAAACCACTGAGCCTTTTGGGCTTGCTGATCGCAAGGTCGGCAGTTCGAATCCCCACAACAGGATGAGCTCCCGTTGTTCGGTCCCAGCTCCTGCCAACCTAGCAGTTCGAAAGCACGTCAAATTGCAAGTAGATAAATAGGTACCACTCCAGAGGGAAGGTAAATGGCATTTCCGTGCACTGCTCTGGTTCGCCAGAAGTGGCTTAGTCATGCTGGCCACATGACCCGGAAGCTGTCTGCTGACAAACGCCGGCTCCCTCAGCCTATAGAGCGAGATGAGCATACAACCCCAGAGTCGTCCGCGACTGGACCTAACGGTCAGGGGTACCTTTACCTTAGTCTAAGTTTTTTGTTTTGTTTAACCACATCAGTTAGCAAACATGGATACATATGCTATAATGTTATTGTTTTAGTTAAATAAATTGTTTAAATTGTTATTAAGTAAATGATTATTTTTCTCCTTCCAATAAAGTACAGCAGAAAAGTTGTCCAAATATAAACAGTTAACTTATTAAACCTCACAATAATTTCATAATTATCTGTCTATGTATTTCTAATAGTATAACAAAATCAGTAATTTTTAATATAACTGTAAAAACTACTCTGAAAATTTATTATTCCAAAAATGAAAGCATCTGGTCGTAAATATTAAGATTATACCAGCAAGAATGAGTATTTCTGTAAAAAAAATATGATTTAAATCAAGTCTTACTGACAAGTGGTTTAAATCGAATTGATTTAAATCAAATCCACCCTGATTCTAGGCTTCATCAACTGTCCCAGTCAAGGGAAGTAATAGTACCACACTATTCTGCCTTGGTCAGACCACACCTGGAGTACTGTGTTCAGTTCTGGGGGCCACAATTTAAGAAGAATATAAAGAAGCTGGAACATGTTAACAGGAGAGAGAGACCAAGGTGATCAATGGTCTGGAAACCAAGTTGATAAGGAACAGTTGAGTGAGTTGGGCATGTTTAGCCTGAAAAAGAGGAGACTGAGAAGATCAGTGTTAGAAACTGAAATATAAAAGCTAGGAGCCAAATGGCACCTTAAACCTAGATTTCAGTCTACGGACTTTTTTACACGATTACAAAGCACATGAAGACAAGATGGGGGATCTAGCTAAAGATGGATAAATGCTGTGCACAAATGACAAATTAAAAAGAAACCGCACATAAGCAATCATGTAGAAAAGCTCTCTAGAAAAGATGTGACTGCAGTTTCATTCTAGCAAAAGTAAAAACCAAACCTCTTTTACTCAATTAGAGGGGGTAGTTTGCCAAAACTTGTATCTTTATAAACTTGTGAACAACTTTACAGACAGAATTTATTTGGTTCTTTTTGCAATTTTTAGTATCTGGAGGGTTTCAACCAGCCACAGCAAAACAGGTCATACAGAGAACACACTAGACTAGGGCTGGGCGATATCTGGTTTTCAATATCATGATGTATCACCAGCTAAACATCACAATATCTTGATATATCATAACATATATCTGTGGTGGCGGAGGGCCTCGCCAGACCTCCCTTTGGTGGAGGAGGGCCCCGCAGTATCCTCCGCTGCCACAGGGAAGAGTGCCACACCCTCCACTGCTGCGGGGAGGTACGGGGGGACCCTCTGCCCCTGCAGGGAGGCCCAGCAAGGCCCTCCGCCACAGCAGATACATATTGTAATATATAAAGATATTGTGATATTTAGCTGGTGATATATCGTACAGTTGAAATCTAGATATCACCCAGCCCTACCTGGAACCAGTTTTCTAACAGTAAGAAAATTTCAGAACAACATCCTCAATTGCACATCATTAACTATTCAAATTTATGTGACACACAGTGAACTTTACTTCTTTCTGAATTCAAGTTTTCTGCTCTCACAACTTCCTGTCACATAAATTCTGCAGGCCAACTCCAAAAGTTTGGTTTTTTGTGCATATTACTGACTGGTCCTGCAAGAGACATATTCCAAGTTACCTGTTCCATTAAGTTTACAACCGAGGTACCCAGTACTACATGAAAGGTGGTGTAATGGTTCTAATGATTCACCAGGATCTTGTCCATGTTATCTTTCAAATACATATGGCAGTTGGGCAACACAGTAGTTGGATATTAAAATATTGATTCTGCGCTTCCAAAAATATTGAATGAAAGTGTGGAGGAGGGAGAAATGTTTGTCAGGTAAAAATAGCCAACATGTGAGTCATGAGCCATTGAGCAGAGGGCTACTAGCCATGATGGAAATGATCGTGCTCCATGGACTCAGAGGCAATAATCCTTCTGAATACCATTGCTGGAAACCATAGAAGGGGAGAGAACTTTTGTGCTTAAGTCCTGCTTCCAGGTTTCCTACATTTATTCAGCTACTGTGAGAACAGGATGCCACTGGCCTTATCCAGCAGGCTCTTCTGTTCTTAATCAAGACATAGCAATTGCTTTACAAACAATAAGCACTGCTTCTGAATTCTCCACATTTTTGTAAACTAGCAATACTATGCCATTTCTAGGGATAAAGGGGGGAAGGAAGGATGCCCAACTATAAACGTTGTATTGCCAATAGATTAGACAGAAGGGGGGCAACCTGAAGACTGCACTTTTACCATTTTTAAGTAGGCTCTATAGACAATTAAAGTCCCCCACTTTCAAGAGTACATTTGAATATGGAAACCACCACCTGAACTAGATCATATGAATGCCCATACTTTATTTTTGCTTCCCCATCATTTTTCTTATCTGAGTGAAAGAGCTTTCGATCTGCAAGCAGCAATGTAGGGGGAAATAATGAGGTGCCAGAATTTGCAAGTTCTCAGCTGCTTATGCAACTCCACACTAATAATAGTAATAGTAATAATAATAATAATAATAATTTATTATTTATACGCCACCTATCTAATTGGGTTACCTCAGCCACTCTGGGCGGCTTCCAACATATTAAAACACCAAACTCAAACACTGCATAAAGCTAGCAGAATGGCTAAAGTCCATTTGACAAGAGGCCCCAAATAATAAAAAGCAATCCTTCAGCTTAATGCTATCCAAACATAATTCATACATCAGGTATCTCTCCAAATCAGTGTTTGAAATTAGCCAGGGGGCAGGCTTTCGGCCACTTGAGACCAAGTGAAGATGCCTGAGTGCCAGGAGGGCACCTTACAATCTCTGCCATCTGGAGGTGGATGCCTGGGGATCATTGGATCTTGACTGTTTTCACACACTAAAACCACATCTTGTAGAATTCTGTTACATTTTAGATGCACAATTGGAAAGAATTTCTGTAACCAAGATGCTTTTCCTGTGCAGCCTGAGAAGGAGCAGTCAACATTAAGAATAAGAGGTTGAAATAGGGCAATGTATGTGACTGTATATGTGTGCATGTGTATGTATATGTATGTGACTGTGACTTTTCTTAAGCTCTCAAAGCTCTTAACCTAGCTGAAGGTTATCAACTGAACTAGCCAGATGTTTAACTGAGAATCAATCAGTCAGTCCATCATTTGACAGATAAGTCTTTAGAGCATCTTGCACGAAAATGGCAACCAGACATTCTGTTTTGGCAACTGTAACCTTGGGTTAAGGAGCCATTTTGCACCTAGTTTATACAGCTTGAGTTTCCAACACTGCTCCAAACTACTTTCATTTTATTCTTAGCTACATAATGAACAGAAGCCAGCATACTACTGACTTCAAGAGATTCAACTGATAATTGCAAGACAATGTGCTTCATGTAAATTTAAATGATGCCAACCTAGATGCCCCACACTGTCAGAGAGAAAATGCCTTCTTGAAGCCTAAAACTGGAAGACACAGTTCTGAACAAAAATGTCATCTGGAGGTAGTTCAACAATAATATCCAAAGATCTTCAAGTAGCAGCACTAGGCAGAGGAAGGACCAACCCAAGTCACTTTGCTACTAGAACTACTGTACTGTATAAAAATCAAAGGGCATTTCCTTCTTCCATCCCCATCTCTAACATGGGGCACGACCCACTTGGAAATGTCCCTGCAAGAAACGGGAGCTGCACATTTTGATAGTGCTTGTACAACTTGGGTACGATCTGCTCATCTTATGTTAACAGTTCCACCCGAATGGGATAAGGCCAACACCTGGATGAAGGTCTGCAGGAAAAAAGCAAACCTAAGGAGCGAGAAATCGAGAGTCGCGCCGCCAACCCACGCTACACGAAAATCTCTATGTGCACACATGTGCACGCATGCACACACACACACCCGGCCACCAAATCCACAGCTAATACGTGGTTTTTGCAGCCAACGGAGCTGTCGAAAAGTTTTCCAAGAGCGGAGAGGGAGAGAGAGAAGAACAACGGTGTCCGACCCGACCCTATAAGCCGCCCTGGACACAGGATAGCCGGGGATGGGGGAGAGGAGGAGGAGGGGGAGAAAGGAGCGAGAACTGCCGTTGTTATGACAACCCCGGGAGGGAGGGAGGGAGGCTGGCGGGCGCAGGCCAGCGCGAGCGAGCGAGGGAGGGGGAAACTTCAAATCCCAACCGTCAACGCACGAGCGGCTTCCCCTCTTAAAGGGGCGGGCGCGCACAGGGACGGACCCTCTGAGGAGGGAACCCGGGACAAAAGGAGCCGCCGCTCATCCGCCCTCCTCAGCGCGGCTGTGGCGGAGCCTAAATCGGCGGGCAAGTGCCCCACCTCGCCCCTCCAGGCCTTTCCCTGAGGGGGAGTTGGCGGCCGGCACTCGGCGCTTCCCTCACGGCGGCGGCGGCGGCGGCTCCTCTCCACCGGCCGACCGACCCCCCGCCCCGCGCACACCACACCCCCCCACCGCCCCCCTCAGCCCCTTTCCCCTCCGCCTTCCTTACCCACACAGTGCATGAGCCGGTGCCGCCAGGAGTCGAGTTCGCGGCGGACTCCCCTGCGCTCCGCCGTGCAGCGGGGGCTCCGGCACTGCGAGGCGCCAGGAGCGGGAGCCGCGGCGGCCATTCTGCCTCTTCCCTTTCCCGTCTGCCTCTGACCTCACGCCCGCTCATTTGCATACGGGAGGGAGGGAGCCCGCGCGAGCGGGAGGGCGCCCGACGCGGCACGCCCGCTCATTTGCATACGGGGGAGCGCGCGCTCGCCACGCCTACTCTCTCAGATTCTCCTCAGGCTCCTTCGCTCGCGACTGTCTCTTCCCCGCTCAGGTTTCCGAACCCGCGAGAACGAAGAGGAGGACGGGGAGAAGCAAAGCGCCTGAGCGGATAGTATCGGAGAGAGGCAGGAGGTACAGCCGTTCCGTACTGCCAGCGGCGGGCGAGCGGGTGCCGGGCCGGTAATGCGCTGTGTGGAAAGCCGTTAAAACAGAAGGGCGGGCCTCCTCCCTGCGGACTACAAACCCCAGAAGCCCTTGCGCCAAAGGGCGGGCCTCCTGCCTGTAGCAGCTGCGAGATGGGCGGACCTAGAGGTTCGCGAGTCTTGTCAGCTTCGCGAACTGCATAAATCTGGTCGCTGTTTGCTGCTCTTCAAATTATGACATTTGTATACCGCCCTTCGTCTGTGCATCTCAGCGATTAATAATAATACAGTAATAATTTTATTATTTATACCCTGTCCATCCAGTTGGGTTTCCCCAGGCACTCTGGGCAGCTTTCAGCATCTATAAAAACAAGGCTCATAAAAATACAAGATAAAAACGCAAATTACGTAATAAAAGCCAGAATAAAACACAAACCAATGACCCCCATCCCTCCCACAAATTTTTAAAGGCCTTAGATTGTTTGAATAGCCAAAGGCTTTGGAGAAGAAAAAAGTTTTCACCTGGAGCCTAAAATATATGTAGTGAAGCCACCAGGTGAGTCTTCCTGGGGAGAGGATTCCAAAAATGGGGAACCACTGCAGAAAAGGCCAATTCCTGTGTGCCACCCTCCAGTCCTCTTGTGGAGGAGGCACACAAAGAAGGGGCTCAGATTATGACCACGGGGTCTGGGTAGTATTTTGCACATGCTCACACCAATCTACCATGATCTCACCGTAACATTAAGTAGTGTAGAAATAAAACAAACCAGTTGATCAACACAAATTACAGACATTCAGCTGCCCACAAATTTGTACCCAAAGTGCTAGTACAGTGGTGCCTCGCAAGACGAAAAGAATCCGTTCTGGGAGTCTCTTCGTCTAGCGGTTTTTTCGTCTTGCGAAGCAAGCCCATTGATGGGATTAGCGGATTAGCGCTATTAGCGGCTTTAGCGGCTTTTAGCGGCTTTAGCGGCTTTTAGCAGCTTATCAGCTTATCGTATAAGCATATACGCGGCTAGCGACTTAGAAAAGAGGGAAAAGGAAAAAAAACCCAGGAACTCGCAAGACATTTTCGTCTTGCGAAGCAAGCCCATAGCAGATTCGTTTTGCGAGGCACCTCCAAAACGGAAAACTCTTTCGTCTAGCGAGTTTTCCGTCTTGCGAGGCATTCGTCTTGCGGGGGCACCACTGTATTTTACTCGTCCCCCAGTGACCAGCTTTTTCTTACTCATGTCATGCATCATTATTTATGCATGTACAATTTTGTAAGAAAAATACAAAAACAATTAAAAAAAAACATAACCAAAGCTACTGGAAAATTAACAGCACACAATAGAGGACAAATCAGTAGGAAGGGGGGAAAGAACAATACAAAACTAATGAAACTAGGAGCTTCATGGCTATCCTTCCCCCCCCCCCCCGCTGATTTATGTTTAGGCAAAGGTAAAGGTCATGACTGGACCTAATGGTCAGGGGTCCCGACTCTGGGGTTGCGGCGCTCATCTCACTTTATTGGCCGAGGGAGCTGGCATTTGGCCACAGACAGTTTCCGGATCATGTGGCCAGCATGACTATGCCACTTCTGGCAAACCAGAGTAGCGCACGGAAACACCGTTTACCTTCCCGCCAGAGCGGTACCTATTTATCTACTTGCACTTTGGCGTGCTTTCAAACTGCTAGGTTGGCAGGAGCAGGGACCGAGCAATGGGAGCTTACCCCGTTGCGGGGATTCGAACCACCGACCTTCTGGTCAGCAAGTCCTAGGCTCTGTGGTTTAACCCACAGCGCCACCTGCGTCCCAATTTATGTTTAGTTGATTGAAAAATGTGGATTCATTTCAAATGCATTATAAACGAGAAGTACCCTTAATCTTTTTTTTTCCACAGCTGTAGGAGTTGCCAATAGTTTTCAAATAGCATTCCAAGGGACACTTGAAGGCAGAAGGGGGTCCTTAAAATCATCTCAGTGAGCGCCATGAAACACAACTTATAAATGCACTAATGATCTTCATTGCAGTGTACTGACAAAAGAGGAACATTCCGACTTCTGGGGGGTATTTTCATGGTGATATGTGTGAAATGTGAAGTGAGTGCACACCTAAGAACATGTCCCAGAATCTTTTGTGCTGTGTAGCAGCTGTTCATTAACAGATACTGTGGTAGGAAAGTGTAGTTTGGAGGCCAATACCACATTCTGTCCACACATACTTATTCCTCTCTAGGAAGGTTGTTAACCAATCCTTTTCTTAAACCAAAGCATTCTACTATCACTAATAATGGTAAATTATTACCCACCTTTTACCCTAAGGTTACAACAATTAAACAACTGACAATCACAAAAATAAGGTGCATCACATGTGACTGTGATTTTCTACATTATCTTATTGGACAGTTGATCACAACGAACACCTGACATATGCTGTGGAGTAGTTATCAGTTCCAGCCAGCTACAATCAAGGACACAAGATCCTCCTCCTAATAACATCCTCAGTTATGTTATGGGAGGTCAGCAGGGACCGACCAGGGGAGAATTGCTAGAGTACGCTTTTGCCATAAGTACCGGTGAAACAAAAGTTTGCAATGCAGTTATTTCAGTTCATATTACAAAAAATGCTTAGTAGAGTTTTCAAATAAAATAAAGAATAGAAGCAAGTTGAAAATTCAATTCTCAACTGTGTGGATCAGTGCCATCACCCTGGGCAAGGTGCCCTCCAGTCCCCACCCTCAGTGCAGTCCTAATGCCATTCCATGCTCACATAAGCATATTAAGTAGTGGCAGTGTTAACAGCAGAAATGAACATCCCTACCTGCCTTTTAAATAAGATTTTTATTTACAAATTTATAAAGAGCACTCTCATTAAAAACATATCAAGCTGTTATACAATATTTAACAACAAAAACAAAGATACATAAAGCAACATTAAAACATTATTTGAAGCATCAAATAGTGATTGGATTGAAAAGAAATTCATGTTACAAGAGCCTGTCTGAGCAAGACAGTCGTCAAGAGGCATGTGACTAAAGGGAGGAATGGTTCCCACTGAACTACAAATAAGGAGTTCCATAGGGTAGGGTCTGGCACACTATAGCCTTGGTCCCTAGTGATGGCCAGCCAAATCTCAGGGACTTTGAGAACTGCCAGAAGTCCCCCATAAGGGGATCAAGGTAGGACATAAGGAATCAGACACTCCTTGAGCAAAGTGGAAACGAGTGCTATTTTACTAGACTAACTGTCAGTACGCAGTCCAGCCCTGATCAGCAAAGTGCTGGGTGAGACTACAGACACCCACCGTCCTCATTTTCTCAGAGTGGTTCTGGGCTTTGCTGCAAGTGTCTGCAGCACATCACAGTGCCCCTGAGTACCACAAGCCCCTCTTCCTTCAAACAAATGTTTTAGAAATGGCCATCGCTCATAATATTTATCCCAATATATGTCAGCTCTGCTGTAGTGATTCAGTTCATAGTCAGTTCATAGTAAGGTTAACCGTGTTGTTTGCAAAGCAGAGCGAGTATCTTTAACAGCTGGATGTAGGCAGAAATTCAGCAAGCACCACCCCACCCCTTCATGGAGAAGACATCATCCTACTAGCTAGGCATTAGGCATTAACCCTGTATATTAGATTGCAATGAGGGAAACAGGATTTGCTGTGATACCTTCTCCACTTACATTTAGGCCACTAAACTTTTTTTACAAGTTGAGCTTCATATTCCTCCAGGATTTGGAAGCAAATACTCCTGCTTTGCAACAATGTACCGAAGATTCATAGTAGAATACTTCCATGTGGTATGGTTTGGGAAGTGGTGTGTACACAACGTTGGCTGCAATCCATATCTATTCTGTTGTTTCTTCGGAAACACAGTGTTTTGATGCAGTTTTCCCCAAACCAGTTTTGATCTGAATTGAGAAAAAGAATGACTTTGCTGTGTTTTAAGCTAGCAATGTGCACACATCATCGGTTTTCAATGAAATATACAGGGATAGATATTCCTTCCAGGAACCACCAACTTAATCCATTTTAGTTTCTTCTAGTACTCATAACAGCATGTTAGGGGGTCAAGTGTTAGAAATTGGGTTGTAAGAGGATCTCTTATAACTTGTTCATTTGAAGAGGCTACTCCATTTCTTGCTTAAAACCCTTACCAGGCAGATGTCGTAAAGACTGTTTATGACTACTATGTTAGGCTAGGGAAAAAGCAACACAAAGACACAAGATGTTCAATCAAACTGCCTAATAAGATTAAATACTCTTGTTTTTAGTTTGCATACATCAGTGGTTGACTCTCCTGGGATTATTCCTTGACAAGTACAAATTACATTTTCCTGTTTACTTACCTGACAAGTGTCTCCCCCTTTGCTCTCGAGGTCCATCTACCTGTTGCAGGAACCATGGCTTGTCACTGCTCCAGATGCATGCCTCGTGAATTATGCTAGTAATATCTATCATCTATCTATCTATCTATCTATCTATCTATCTATCTATCTATCTATAATGGCTTTTCTCCCCCCCAACCTTCAAACTTTACTGTGGTTATAGCAGGGGATTAGCAGCAGCCAGATACTAGCTGCCTGTTACAGGGAACATGATAAGTGTAGAACATTGCAACATAAAACAAATGAAGATGGCTTATTTCAGAAACAGAGAAACAACAAACTGTAGAAAGCTGTTTGAGGCACATACTGTAAGCCTGTAGCCTGACTTGGAAGAAAACACCACAGTTTATAATGGGACGTGCCTTATTCCCGATATATGGTCTTTCAACCTTAGTAATCTACTGACCTTTGTCTCAGCATTGCATTGCAACCCATTCTTACTTTAAAGATGATTTGATGAACAAGAACAGCTTTGCACATTGCAAGTAGGTTAGTTGATTTTGTGTCTCATAGATTCTGCAAGATCATTCTGTACTACATCTAGTGCATGTTGGTGATGTTATATAAATATTAAACGATATTAATTAAAAAGGGCAGCGAGAAGACCACAAGATCTAATCCCAAGAGGAATATCAGTTACCACATTTGCTACCTACTCAGTAAAACCTAGCACTGAACCAGTTCTTCTGCTATTTGTTAGCATTAATTGGCCAATTATTTCTTCTTCGTTTTTAATCAAAAACAGCCCCATTTTTTGGTACCTCTACCTACTTTGGAGGAGATTATGGAAGTTTTAAAAAAAGTTTTGTTATGAGAATTGCTACCCTTACTATTTCAGTCCCTGTTTCAGTCTCCTCTTCCCCATTCCAGTCTCTAAAAGTTACATCTCTACCTTGGTGGAAGGGGGAAGGTACATTTCCTTTCTGGTGCACAAGCCTGAATACTAAATTAACCAGGTAGTGTGCTTGCTGTTATTTCACAGGCTGTGGAGGAGTTGAAGGACTGCGATCCTTCCCTGCTATCTACCTCCTCATTCTAGTAATTGGACCTTATATACAGGTTTGTAACTACACATTTGACTATGTCTTTTTTAAAAGCAGGAGCCACCAGCCTTTGGAGGCCCATGGGCACGCTTGCAAACCTGAAGAGCTCACTTAAAAGTATGTGTATCCTACCCTCTCTATATAGAACACTCCAAGGCAATATTCTGTCAGCATGTTCCTTTAGCAATGTTTTCATAGACAAGGCCTACACTATGGGTGCATCTATACTACAAACTTAAAACAGGCTTTAGAACTATTCCGTAGACCTGTTGAGGAATTTCTGCCGTGTAAGTCTAAATGTGTACAGGAGGGCGAGGAGGGGGAGAGAGACATGTCAGCTGGTTCTTTCCTACCATCATATTCCTATTAGACTTGCCACCCACTCCTACCACCCATGGGGGGGCATCTATAGAAGCAGGTATCTTCTATGCATATAGGGTCTTCACACTCCCTTATGTTCCACATCACAAGGGGAGGCTATATGCTTGGAGCATGCTCCCCTCTGCAGGTGTTCCTGTAGGCATGGGTCCAGCTCTTCCCTTCTGAAATTCCTCACCACATGGACTGAATGCCTGAATACATCTCATACCCCTAGGGCACCCTGGGGTCTGGGAGGGGAACTAGGGATTCGAGACAGTTCTCTCATCACTGTGAACTAGGATTCTTTGGGGAGGGTGTGAACGAAGAGAGAAGAATCAGGATAGCAAATCTGGTATAACATACAAATTTGTAGTACAATTATGCCTCCTACAACTTTGTGATAAAGTAGTCCAATGTGAGTCACAGGTTTAGTATCTTACAGTTATGTTCACCATGGTAAATGTCAGTTCAGATGATAGCACCATTCGTGGTATTTGGTACTGGTGGTAGATTTAGTTCATTTCAAACAATATGGTTTGAAATAAGACCACTATGTGGTTCTTGCAAAGGGGCTGTATAACTAAGTATGTCATCACCACAGCAACTCGGCAGCAGAAAATATATTGAGTCAAACCCTACAGAGGATACACTACTAATTGCACTTTAATATTAGATATCCAAACAGGACCCAAAGCAGAGAAACATGAGTCTCTGCACAGAAGGAATGTTTGATAGCTAGATAGCCATATATTATTTTTAATTCTCCTGAGCTGCCCTGGAAGCATTTTGTGTTAAAGTGCTTGGAAAAAAATTACAAAATAAATAGAAGTAATGGATATAAGAGCCTTCCTATTGACCCCCCCCCCATCCCCAGGGGAAAAAACTCTCAACTATGGTAGCAGAGCACCCAGGGAGTAGCCTTTCTCCCCTACAGCAGCCAGTTTGACAGCAAAGCTAACAGCCAGCCCAGAGCAACATCAGACCAATATGTACTGGAGCTCTTGTTTAGGCTGTCTATACATGTTACTTGTTTCAGCAACATAAGGTAAAGGTAAAGGGACCCCTGACTGTTAGGTCCAGTCACGGACGACTCTGGGGTTGTGGCGCTCGTCTCGCTTTACTGGCCGAGGGAGCCGGCGTTTGTCCGCAGACAGGTTCCGTGTCATGTGGCCAGCATGACTAAGCCGCTTCTGGCGAACCAGAGCAGCGCACGGAAACACCGTTTACCTTCCTGCCGGAGTGGTACCTATTTATCTACTTGTACTTCGTGCTTTCGAACTAAGTTGGCAGGAGCAAGGACCGAGCAACGGGAGCTCACCCCGTCACGGGGATTTAAACCACCAACCTACTGATTGGCAAGCCCTAGGCTCTGTGGTTTAACCCACAGCGCCACCCGCATCCCTGCCAATACATAAAGGAAATGTCAAATTAGTCAACTAGAGTAATGTAGCATTATTGACTATTTGACAATGGATTTCATCATCACAGACTGTTTCACAGACTGCTGTAATTAAAAGCCTGGCAGGATCTTGCCCATTTTAGAATAGCAATTAATTCAGACTTCAGTGTTACTTACCTAGCCACCTATATTCCCAGAAGCCCAAGCCTACAGCTATCACACTTTGGAGAGTCCTGTATTTCACTGCAGGATCAGAACCATCTAAGGATCAGGCAACAACTGGATCTTCCAGAGGAAGAAAATCAGGCCAAGGTAGCTAGTTTGAAGGAATGGCGTAAAGAGAGCTAAGCCAAGGTCAGTTACAGGAATCTTAGCAGAGCAAGGACACATAGGCTTGCAAGCTTGCTCCTAGAAAGGGAAAGCTATACAAGGACAGAAAAGTTAAGTGAAATTGATGAACTATGCAGAAATGGCTAAATTGACATACAAACGCAGAGATAAGGACAACTGTGACTTTAAAGAAGAATGGGAACTTTTCACATATTACTTAAAAAGGCAACAAAACGAATTGGACTCCTTGGCAGGTTTTGAATAAACATACACAAATCTATTGATTGTTAACATAGTAGATACATAATATAAGGATTTATACAATTTTACAGTATGCAGAGAACAATATGAGTTGAGAAATCAGAGGAGCTGAGCGAAGTCTTGGGGGGGAGGGAGGGTTTGATGGGGAGGTGGGGGGAATGATGAATATGAGATGTTTTGATATTTTGTTATGTTGAAATTGTTAATAAAATATTTTTTTTTTTAAAAAAGAAAAGTTCGGTGACCAATCAGAAGGGAGACAAGTGGTGCAAGGTGCAGAGTGGTGAAATCAAGGGAGTACAGTTTTAGTCCAATACTAATTGTTGTTGGCATTCATCTGTCTCAAAAGAGAATGGAATGCGCCTCCAGGGGTGAAGTCAGACCGCTGGAGAATCACAGCACCTACTGTGCAGAGACCGGTAACTTGTAACTGCTGCCTTCTGCATTGTTTTTGCTGTGTTAGCAGCACCGAAGGGACATCTCTGGGGCCAAGCCTGGGCAGTGTGTGTGGAGGCCCTGGGCTGCTGAGATGACAAGACCTCATTGATGTGGTCTAAAGGAAAGCAGAGCAATAGGTTTGGCACCAGCTTGGCTACAGGAGTTGCCAAAAGGAGGCTTACAAAGACACTATCCAACCATGTTAGGGACTCCACTCAGGATTTGTGTAGGGTTTACTCCTTAGCTTTTTATTCTTCCAAAGATGTCCCACAAGGTAGCAGGTACGGCTTGTTCCTTGGGGTTTCACCCCGAAGCCATTCTCATGAATGAGTATAGCTGCAAGTCAGTGGAGGTTTAGGATCAGAGTTGTCCTTCTCCAATACTAATTGACATTTTCAGTTTTAAATTAGCTTGCTGCAATGCTAATTAACTCATTGCGTGGTATATGGGGTTTTACTGGAGATGAATTGATAGAGCAATTCCCTCCTGAATGATAGAGCATTACAGCTGATGGCATATCTCCATTTAATGCAAAACAATTCTGGCTGCTCTTACCTCTTTCTTTTAAAACAATATTTATGGATTAAGCTGCTTAGGAGCTAGGGTGTCCATTTCTGAGGCAGGAATAATGGATAAACTCCAGCTCCCAGAAGTCTGTAGTTCAAGATTCACCATGGCACTGATGTAAGCCTTTTTTTTTTTATATAGGCCAAGAGAACGGAATAGATAAGAGGCTAATGGTATACCTGCTCCAGAACAATTGCAGAAATCAACCAGACCTACTTTTTTGTAAAGTAAATCTGCATTGTAGCCGGCAAAGTAAATGGACAGTTTACAGTCTCATTCATTTTATTTTGGTAGAGAAGCGGGTAGAGGAATCAGGTTACCTTTACAGAGTTATCAAATGCAACAGTTACATCATCATGTTGTGGGATTTAGCCTGCTATAACCAGATGTTTTCCGGTGCACCTGTACCTTTGGAACAGGCTTGCTTTAGCACCTGCTCTTTCTCAATAGATGTATTCTCACTTAGAGCAGAGCAGTCCCAATAGTTTAAAAATTGTCCAGGTTTTAGTATCTGCTGTGGACTCCTGAACAGAGAGGTCTATTGTCTTTGAGGAAACAGTCTTTTTTTTGGTTTTTGAAGGGTTGGTGTTCTCATAGATTAATATATGTTCTAGTGGAAAGCATATGTATATATGAGAATAGGGCATTTAACATGACCATTCACTTAAGTATAAGCCCCACCCCCCCAGGTGTTTTGTAGGCTGCTCTGGAAATACATATACTAAAGAGCAGAATACAGATAGGTAGGCAAATAAATAAACTGCATAGTAACCAGTGCATTGGTTACCAGTACATTTCCAGGCAATTTAAGGCATTGGGTCATTATTTTCCTCCATGGGGAGGAAAAATAGAATATAAATTTTGTGTGTGTGTGTGTGTGAGAGAGAGAGAGAGAGAGAGAGAGAGAGAGAGACATATATACAGGTGATTCTTAACTTATGTGGGAGTTTCATTTCAGGGATAGCATGTAAAGCCAAAAATGCATATAGTGAAAAAAACGCATTGGGTTCAATGGCAGGTAGGATTGCCAAAGTACTTTCCCCCCGGACAACCACCCTTTTTCTGCTCACACTTTATTATTTTTCTAAATTTGCTGAGCGCATAAAGCTGAATGTATGCAAGTTAAATGTGCATAAGTTGCAAATTACCTGTGTACACATATATACACAAACACATACATAATACAGTGCTGAATGGTTTAGGACCAGGGTGCTTGGACTCCCTTTTCCCATGCGAAATGGCCACGTGCTTCAGCATTCCCCATAACGCTTTGGATGTGACTGGTCTAAATAAGTCAAGTGGAGGAGTCTTGGAATAATATAGCCTCCAATAGGGACATTGCATTTGTAACACCTATCCTAACCCCAAGGATCACGGCCCAAACTCTGTTCCCACTGCAACTAAAGGCTCTGCCCTGCCTGGTACATTGCATTCATTTTATTCTGCAACAGCTTGTTCTGCCCTGACTTACACGGAAAGTGTGTGTGTTTAAACTGGCCATAACAGTTTCCTTTTAAAAAAGAAAACATGTTTAATCTCAAAATGGATCCACTGTTTCTCCTAAGATTCCAGATGGCCTTTCTTCCTAGGAACAGTCCATATTTCCTGGCTGATATGTTTGGTAAAATTGTGACATTTTGCCCCCAGTTTTTGAGTGTGAGACTGCAATTGCAAATCTATATAATTTATCTTTCTACTCAATTACAATATAGCTTTATTAGTAGAGTGAATCGTAAGCGTGCAGAACTGGGCGTGTACTTAATGTGCCCTGCAGTATTTGGAATCAAAGGAAATAACTTTCCGTATTATATTACACATGTTTATGATATCTGTTGCAGCGAATGTCCAAAGGTTGACAAAAGCTAGCATTTATTAGCAAATCATAGCATTTACAAGGAGAGGGGGAAATGTCAGAACATTCTGTCATTTACTACTAGTAACTAGAAAAGTACTTGTACTCCCAGTAAATGTTGACATTTACTTAGCTAGATGGGATAATTTCCAAATTCAACCAAATAATATGCTCAGTGATGACATTTACTAGCAAATCCCATTTATTACCGAGTGCCCTGGATAAACGACAGATACCCAGATCCAACTGTGCATGCTTATAGCATCTGGGGCTATATGCACAGAGCCCTCTTCAAATGATAGTAATGCAGCTCCAATAAGCTGCTCAGTAGAAAGGATAATTCAGTCTGTACTTCCTGGTTGGCCAGTGGGCTTGATTTGTGCTTGTGTGCAGGGCCAATGGGAGCAAACAGTGGCTCTGGTGAAAGAAGGGCCAGTGAAGCAATGACCCATGGTACATGAGTCAGTTGTTATGGCAGCAGAGGCATGCTCCTGCTGGACTCTGGAGGCTGGTATGGAGCATGTACAAGAGGAGAGACTGTATGCAAGGACTGGAATTCCTCCAAGGAGTAGCTACCGTATTTTTCGCTCCATAAGGCACATTTGACCATAAGGCGCATCTACCTTTTTTTTGGAGGGGGGGATTCAAGAAAAAAAATATATGCGGCTCTTGGGGGCTTTTGCGGGAGTTGGGGGAAGTGAGAGAGCCTCGCTCTGTCCCTTCCCCCACCTCCCGCAAAAGCCAGGGATAGCTGCGCGAAGCCTCCCCAGGGCAGCCGGATGAAGGCTCCCCGCTGCCCTGCGGAGGCTTCGCGGGCTACCCCAGAGCTGCTCGACCCAAAGAACAGGTCCGGGAGCAGCAGAAAGGCTGTGCGCAGCCTTCCCGCTGCTCCCCGAGCTTGTGGGGCTGGCAGTGGGAAAGCCGAGCTTTCCTCACCGCCAGCCCTGGGTGGCAGTGGGAAGGCTGCGCGAAAGCTGCACACAGCCTTTCTGCTGCTCCCCGCAGCTTGTGGGGCTGGCGCTGGGGAAAGCCGAGCTTCCCTCACCACCAGCCCTGGGGAGCCTTTCCACTGCTCTCCGCGCCTCTGGGGCTGGCGAGGGAAGCCTGGGTCCCCCCCCCCCCCAGCCCCAGAGACCACACATTCACTCCATAAGACGCACAGACATTTCCCCTTAGATTTTAAGAGGAAAAAAGCGCGTCTTATGGAGCGAAAAATACCGTAAACAAACTCAGGTTTAGAAGAGAAGGAAGAAGATGGGAGTAGGCACACCCAAACATCCTTTCTGTTTGCAGCAGTGCTGGGGAGGGAAACCCACAACTGCTCAACAGCTCTTGCTGCTTTTAAAAAGGGATCCATTCGTGTAGCCCCATCAACTGGATTACGCAGAGGAACTCCATGTCTGCCATTCACACGGTTCCTTATCTAGATGGGGATTTGCACATGGATTTGCCTGTTTAGGCGAGCATACAGCCTCCAAGTTGGTGTGAAGATGTCTTTCTAATCCTCTTGGTTCATTGCGATGATTTCAATATTGACCAAGTAAAATCAAAACTGTTTAGAATAAACAATGCTACAGAGGTGCTGGAATTCAGTTCTGGCTGGAAAAAACCCCCTGCTTTCTACACATAAACCATGTTGTATGGTACCTGCATAGAATTTTCCATTAATTGGACAAACAGGTAGCTTACAGTAGTATATGTGTGATGTTGTCCATTCTGATTTTCTGCAGCCCTATTGCCTGCAAGCCCTTTTCCGACCAGAGGGCTGCATTGAAAGTTGGTCAACCACTCACCTGTATGCACAGCCCACACCATACACAGAGTCTCAGACAGCAGGTTTTGAACCCAAGGCTCTTTGCATACAAAGGCCTGTGCTATACCCACTGAGCTACAGTTCCACCACACGACTGTGACATGTAAGGATCTTACATATGGCATTCATATCATGTATGGGGAAAAAATTCCTTCAATGTTAATCTATTTAGGATGTCATGACACATCATGTTTAACAAATCATAAATATAACAAAAGCTTCCAAATTTAAGTGCTGGATAATATTATATACCTCAGTTATCTGAGACTCCTCTTCCAATCAATGCAAGAAAATGTTACTGTATTTACTCGAATGTAATGCGCACCTTTTTTGGCCAAATAATGTCGTGAAAGTTAGAGCGCACATTAGATTTGATGGCCCCAGCAAATAATTTTTTGGTTTCAAGGTTTTGACAATTGAGGTGCTCATTAGATTTGATGGTGCATTAGATTAATGTAAATATGGTATGTTAGGAAGATTTTGAGCAATCTTTGATCACGTACAGAAGAGCTGCTGTGTAGTGATTACTTCAAGGCGCTGGTGCTTTTATGTGTTCCTGGAGGTTCCCTATTGTAGATGGTTTCCTTGTCTATTTTAGTGGGCAGAACCTATCTGTGCACACAGTAGAATTCAAACATAAATTAGCTCATTTAAAAAACAACAACAACGATCCCTTGCATATGCAAGAAGTACTGAATAAACACGCATCTCTGAAGCAGATTGTCACAGAGTGCAGGATTCAAGTTGAATGAAAAGTTGCTCTGATGAGGAACCTTAGGTAAAGGTAAAGGGACCCCTGACCGTTAAGTCCAGTTGCAGATGACTCTGGGGTTGCGGCGCTCATCTCGCTTTACTGGCTGAGGGAGCCAGCATTTGTCTGCAGACATGTCCGGGTCGTGTGGCCAGCATGACTAAGCCGCTTCTGGCGAACCAGAGCAGCACACGGAAACACCGTTTATCTTCCCGCCAGAGCGGTACCTATTTATCTACTTGCACTTTGACATGCTTTTGAACTGCTAGGTTGGCAGGAGCAGGCATCGAGCAATGGGAGCTCAATCCATCGCGGGGATTCGAGTTGCTCACCTTCTGATCGGCAAGCCCTAGGCTCTGTGGTTTAGAGCACAGTGCCACCCGCGTCCCATTGCATTCAGGAACTTTAAGAAGGTCACAATAGCCTTCTGGATTATCCCACAGGCCCATCTCGTCTAGCATCCTGTTGTCACAGTGGCCAACCAGATGCCTGTGGGAAACTGGGGAACAGAACATGAGCGCAAGAGCATCCTCCCCTTCCTTCCTTCATTTTCCAGAAACTGGAATTCGGAAGCATTACTGCCTCAAACCTTATAATGGGCCAGGCAGAATCCTATTGGCAAATCCTACTGACAAATCCTCTTTGACCTGTGCTTTTTAGGCATGGAGCAAGTGGAGGTGTGTCAAACCCTAAGTTTTCAGAAAGAGAAAATGTTAAAGAGGAGTGGCAAAGATCTCCCCTGGGCGCCCCAACATTATGAATGCTTGAAGAACTATTAGAAACAATGCAAATCTACCCCCCAAAAAAGAAAAAGAATTGGAAATGAGCTGGAGCAAAGCTAATCAATTTCTGTTGTTTTTTCAGCATGCCAGTCTTCAAAATGTAGAGCAGAAACAGTTGTGTTTCTCCCATATTAGCTAACACACACACACAACACACACACTTATTTTAAGATGACAGCTTATGCAACACTGGAAAAGTACCTTTGCTCTGGAGGACTTTAAGATAAACAATTTACCCGAGGATTGAATTCAGATTATTAATTCTCATAAACAAAGCCTTATATGTC